AAAACGACTCAGTTCACTACTCCTCCAATGCACGTCAGTCAGAATATAATCATATGCATACTGATATGGCTTTGTCTCAGCTGAATCAACTCGTTCAACGCTCCGGATCTCAACCCTGTATGCACCAGTCACACTCGCTACACACTGTTGCAGTACATCCACCTTTTATCTTGTATTGTCACTTGCTAACTACTCTAAACCTGTCTAACAGGCGCAGCCTCAACCTCCACAACCCGCTCGACCTCATCCCACACACACACGCAATTTGACTCACAGGTCCCGAGTGACGACCAACCGTGGTGACAAAGACTACATCAAACGGCCTGAGGATGCGTTCATCCTTTTCCGACACGAATTCTACTCACAAAAGAACAAGGCAGAGGCTGCTGGTGGTGCAGGGGTTAGGACTGTAGAAATAATGTATCATTTATTATTTTGTATTAAATAATTAAATATAATTATATTTTATTAATTATTTGATAAAAAATTGTATCCAAAGCAAAAGGAAGCGATTCAAACGCTTGTAATGACTTATAAGTATTATAAGCAGATATTATACTTTCTCAAATAAATAAGTATGTCTTAGTCTTGTAATCTTAGAAAGTGTTATAATCACTTTTATAACTTGACAATTTATAAAATTATAATGGAAATTGCCAAGTTTTAAAAGTATTCTCACTTACTTATCTAACATTGTACTGTCATTACTTAACCCCCCAGGAAGATTATATGTAATTGGACAAATTTTATAAAATATATAAAATATATGAGATTACAAGTAAGTACAATACTTAAGACTTTTTCGTGATGATAGTGCCGGTGTGTGTATGAGAATGCCCTCAGGCAGGCAGGCATTGTGAGTGAGAAACAATGAGTATTACATATAATATGATATATACCAAATCCGTTTCACAATTTCACGTGCACACAATTTCCTTTTCAAAACACCCATCTCATTATGAGTGTCTGTCTCAACTCAACAGTCATTTTGTTTGGAACTTCGCCAGTAGTCTTGCCCTGAATGTGCTGTATTTCTTGTTGCTGCTATCTTACAGTAAGTTGTTCTGCAAGAGGATAATTATTTGCTCTTATTCAAACATGCACTGCGACATGAAAGGGATTAACTGTGCATCTGCAAATTACTGATGTGAAAACATGACTTCCTCTGTACCAGTTACACCACATCCTTCTCTACTTGTCTACTCACCTGAGGCTGATACTAATGTGTGTTTGCATTACACACTCCAATCCGCGTTGATCACAGAATCTCCACTGGGTTACGCCACTTCAAAACTTCTTTGAAACTTTCAATTATGTAAAAGACAAGGCTTCGAGTTCTATTATCTCCGAGTCCCCTCAAAGTGCATATAGGGTACCAGGGTTGCAAGTTTTCCCTACGTAACTATATTCTTCTAACTATCCCTGCATATAGAATAGCAATTAAACTAGTGATATAGGCAGAGTATTGGTCTGACTCCGAGCACGGACTGGAGATCTGAACCATATAGACAAGCCCCTCTTAGTTATGCTGAACGCAATCTTCTCAGTCTCACTAGATGCATCCGACTCCAACGCGCTGTGGATCAGTGCTTACTCTGTTCATTTGACACAGTGGGATAGGACTGTTCACTGTCATCTATCCGGATCATAATATCGAATGAATGTCCAGTCACTTCTATTATAAATAGTGCTTACTTTTTCAATAGATAGATCCGGCCATAACCACCGAGTCTTGGTTTCGCTGTATGCGAGGATCATCCTTCAAATGATAGGTTATATGTTCCACCTCGAATAGGTCAGTATTCCGGCACTTATGCGTAAGTACTGCGGGTGTGCAGACAACACATTGTGCCTATCCTAAGAATTCCATTTGTCCGTTGACATCCGGTTTAAATTGGGAATCGGCCTCGGGAATGGCGTGCTACGTCCCTGGCTAACGAAATGTGACTCCACCTCGGAACTTGACAAGGTTCATTTGGAGTGCTTAACCGACTTTCAGCCTAAACTATCATTGGGTGTACTGAAATTGCTTCCAAAAGCAGACTTTAACTTAGTTCTGGTAGTGAAATACTGTATATTGAAATGTTATTATAGTTGTTCTAGTAAAAGTATCTAACTTAACAGGTTTAAGAATCTTTGGATAGGTGTACTACATAAGAGGCATTCTGCCAAAAGGCAAGAAGCCAGCAAAAAGGCAGGTTTTCGGGCACGGATGGTGCATTTGTGAGGACAGATTATTCTCTACTAGTATTTGTCATGGTTTTGCTGTTAGAACTGTAAAATCAGACGCACAGACGCACATGCACAGGCGTATCAATACTAAAGTCTTATGTTTCATTAAAGGCCAAGCTCCGGTGGACGCCTGAGCGAAGTTCCTTCCACAGAGAATATAAAAGTACAGCTTCTCGGGTATTTTATCAACGAATAAAGTTTAGTGCACAATGTGTCGCGACGAGGCAGTGAACAACATTAGCAGACGAGAAATCAGGCCAGACGACTATTTCGACCTGGACCGTTAGTGAACGGACAGAATCGGGACGAACCTTGACTCCGGACCCACTAAATTTTCATCTTGATATCAAGGGATCTGGACACGCCTACATGTGCGCAAGTGGTCTACTAGCATAGTGTCTATGTTCTTAGAGGTCTAGACCTCCAGACAGGTGTCTGCGAGGTTCCTGAGCAGTAGACGGACGGCGCGGTTGCCATATCTCGGCAAAAACTGTGCAGAAGCTTAAAAGATCTTAATTCAATAGATAGTCTTCCTATCAAATGGAAACCTTGTCTGATATTTATGATAATGTGTCCACATGCGAGTGATCAACGATTAAGATGGAAGTTGAGGCGAAAGTTTAGATGTTCTCGTTATGCGGCTGTGGTGGCAAAAGAAAGACTAAAATTTGAGTTGGAAAATGATTGCCAGCTTTCGAATGCGCACCTTTGTACGAAGGACAGAATGAAGAGGCACGGAGTCGCAGGCCGCATCGTAGTCCCTAACGACAAAGTAGCTGGAATGACTACATGCTTGAAAAGAATTCTACTTATAGACAATGCAGTTACCTTCCTTTGAGCCTGACTCTCCCAGTCTGTCATTGTGCCAAATTAGTAACTCATCATATCAGGAAAAAATCCTTGCAAACGAAGAGCCGGAGAAGTCGGACGTGTGACTAGCGATCATATTTCTGGATGAATGTGCAAGGTCGTAAAAGTGTTACACATGCTTCGCATAGATGCCTGGCCTCCGAACCACTTCACATGAAAGCCGGAGGAAGCTGTTCATTGGAAGCGCCCATAGACAGCGGGAAGATATCGTCTCATACGGACGGAGATTGATAGGTGAAGGTCGCTCAAGTTTGAGAAGTCAAGAAGAAATGTAAATCGCTCGAGAATATAATGCATGTACCAGTGAGAAGCCGGTCGGTGAAACAGTGCAGATAGTTCCGGCTACGAGATGAATTGGCACCCAATGTGAAGAAGCTGGTCTGTCTCCTCGTGTGTAAGAAGCAAACTGCCTAAATGTTTGGCCGATCTGGCCGAGAGAAACCTTGAGCATTTTCCAGACCAGCTGAGAAAATGAAATGGTGAGTGTCGCTCAATATTCGACAGCTTCCAAACACAGACACGCTAATCCGGAGAAATCGACGATATCATTGGAGCATTGAGAAGCAGAATAGCACCACCGAAGTTCCTAAGTTCCCTGGGCATCTTGATGCGGATCGCTGCAACTGAATAAGGTGGGACTCAGCTGCTTTAAGCTCACGTCATTTCGTTCCATACATGATTTTCATTCAACTCCCCTGATTCAGGTCGTCCCCCAAGAGCATTTGAAAGGAGGATGAGACCATAATTTGAGCTGACGAGCTGGGGAGAAAGGATGTGAGATGTGATCGGTTTTAAACGGATCAATCATCAGATCCATTGAAGGCACATGTCTGAAGCTTCTTCCCAAACTTCCGATGGTTCAATGCGAGTTTGGAAAACAAGACGCCGCCAGGATTGATGTGGCTGTTGTCGGGTGGGTCCTTGTGCCGCTAGAGAGATCTGGGCACAAGTTGTGGCTCGAGATGATCAGAGATGCGCAGCAGTTAGTCAGGAACTGCCACGAGTTCTCCAACCAGCTGGTAATCTTGAGAAAATCGGATAGTCGAGTTAAAGCCATGTCTCTAATTGTGCCTATTGCTTCCTCGGTCTCGTTAGTGCAGGCGAAAAGCACCCTCAGACAGCCGACGCACTCCGATGCACGGGGATGAGGAGTGGAAGAGGCAGGGCCCGTGATCTTATGACCAATAATGCTGTGGAGTTGGTCATATGCGACGATGCTGCCTTTGTACACATGTTGGAGCCGTGGAATTGATTAAGGTCGGGAGATATGAGGACGTACCTGGCACAGACCCAGTCCGGTTCGGATGCTCGTACGCAGGCATCAGGAACGCCACCTGCACTTTACATCGTAGAGTGTAAAGGATCAATCGTCTCTGGTGCAGGAGAGGTATAAGGTACACTTATGGAAGGAAAAGAGACCTGGTGCGTTTGAGAGATGTGAAACGTGGAAACGCTCAGACAAAACAAGGACAAATACAAAACGCCAGAAAAGGCACCGAAATGATCGTCATGATGCAATATTACAAAACGATTAATTCACCTACATAAGCGCCATAAAAGGAAATGTCGACGTCATTTTCTGCTCGAAAACGTGATAGCCCTTGAGTGCGGAGTCGGTTTGCATTTCCTTATAGCAGCGCCAGCCATGGAGAGTTGTAAATCTCATACACGCAAAGCCATATCCACAGTATCCTCTACTTCCTTCACTAGCTCATACACGAATTTGCTCATTTTTTCTTTGTACGCACCTGCACACCCGACACACCCGACCAAAAAAAGCCACAGAACAGTCTCGAACAGCTTTGAACGATCCACACGGTTTCCTTCCAACCTCTAGATTCTATTTGTCCCTCTTGCACCTTAAAGAGTAGTCGCAGTCAGTCGTTCTTCGGAGGTAGAACTTGAGCGAAGAAACCCGCCACAGTATATTTGGTGCGCGATGCAGCAAACTGGATCCACTTTCAATAATCCGCTGACACCTTATTGCACCGCACCGTGTCATGTCTGATGTCTGTGTTACGACAGAAGGTTAATCAGAGCAGGGCCGTTTGAGCACCACGTACTCACACGACCTATACACGTCGGACCACTCTTCAAGGACTCTTTGCCATTTGATTCGCTTCTGCACTAGCTATTGCACCGCTTGTAGTGCACTGCATCGGAATCGGAAGTCGGAACGGGAGATAAACTATGAGTGAAGATGATGGAGACTCAAGTTCAAGTCCGTCTCGCACTGCAGGGACCGGTGAGCATAAGAGTGCGCCTCCGATGCCGTACGAGAATGGGAGACAGAGCACCGCGGAAGCGGGCGATACCACCCCGACACAGTCACGCAGAACAAGTCCCCTGCAGACAGATTTAGTCATTGAAAAGAGTGCCTTCTACAGTGGAAATACTGTTGGAACTTCCGAGTCGTGCACCGCTGTTGCGAACGGATTTGACGCGTCCGACGCGAGCGTCGATCGCTCTGAACCTAATAATTGTGAGTCCACAAATTCTATTGCCTCTTCTGGACGTCTGCCGTGAGTTGATGGGCCGGCCTCGCGGCTGGCTCCGCTCTTTCTTTAGCCCGAAGCGTGTGCGCTTGTTTCCAACCTCCCTCTCATCCCTTGCTTTCATCACTTTTCTCTATTTTTTTGTCTCTTTTCTACTTCGCAATATGCCTGCCCTCCTCATCTGCTAGAGCACACATCTTCCATGCTGACATTCCTTTACTAGTCGTCGATCCATTGTATGCCCGCTCCCCCCCAGATAGAGGACACACTTCCCTTGGTCTCTCCAGTACGTTCTCGAATTGTCCCTTTCGTCGCTTTTCCTAAAGAGTAAATTAGACGTTTATGACCCGCTACTTTCCCCAAGTCCCAGCAGCCCGCATCCCAGCCGTTCATTGACTCCAAAATTTCGTTCCACAGCGCCTCCCGCGTCTGACGGAAACGTCAACGAAGACATGCCAAATTCTTCCCCGCACTCTGGTCCCTCCCCTGGTTCGTCCCGCCAATCTTCCAGGAGACAGCCGCAGCCGCAACAGCCGCAGCAGGTGCATCAACAACAACAGCGTGGTCTGCAGCCGTATGGCTTCTACGCCTCCCCCTCAGCGTCGGAGTCCGGATTGCCTCGAAATACACCTTCCGTTTCAAACCAGAGTGGACCACCGCCATTTGTACATGGACAACAAGCAGCGGCCCCGCAGCGCTCAGCGAGCTTTACTGTACCGTACACGATGTCTCCATCGCCAGCTTCGCTCTACCCCCAACATCAGCCCCAGCACCAGTATACATACCCACAATTAAATATCCATGGTATGCCGTCCATGGCACATTCTCCAGCCCATCCATCGCCAGAATTTTATTCTGTTGGGCATAGCATGAGCCCAAGCCAGCCTCCGCTGTATGCCCCGTCATTTCACACTAGCGTTCCTCCAGAGCATACTCCAACGCCAACGCTCACATTCGATTATGATGGAGGAAACTCAGGACGGAGTCCCGCTCCGGGTGCCAGCTCGCCGTACTCGCCGCAGCAGTCATTTGCGCCATTCAACTATCATCCAACGCTCACTGCGACGCCCCAGTTTTCACACTCACCATTTTCTTCGTCTCTATCAACTCATCAAGTGCAGCATGCCCAGCGACCGCAGTATCCTCCACCATTCGCATATATGACAGGAGCGAGTCCGACGACGTCTGACGACTCAGCTGGGCAGCAGCCCTCTGCGAGGTGGTGGTATATTCCACCTCACAGCGCATCTCCAACTGCGGGATCATATCCAAATGTTTACTACCTTGACGCGTACGGCAATCCTTCTAATGCAAGAGGTCTGGGCTTGGGTCCTGGTTTCCCATCGTTATCATCTCCTTCATCTGGGCTGGTGCAGCCTGCAGCATTCCCTCTGCCCGATTCGGCTGTCGGCGCGGGGCCTGGGCCTGGGTCCGGAACCGGCCGCGGTGGAATTACGGCAGAAATTCAACGTGAAGGGGATAGTAAACCAGGGTCAATCGCGTCCCCGCCTGGAGCACCTCTCTCACCTTCATCTGGTGCTCCTGGCGAGTCGGTCAGCGAACGAGGACAACAGCAGCAGTTGAAACAACCGAAGCGGAAGTCTGTATTGCCAAATCCGCCTGTTCAACGCTCAGAATGGGTAATGTGGGTAGGAAACGTGCCCAGTGATGCAACGCACGATGAACTTTGGCGCTTCTTTACGCGGTCGAGTACGCAGAGTGGATCGTCAGATGTTGAGATGCGCTCGTCTTTTGGTCAACGACTGTCTCAACCACCACATCTGCCAGCTGGTCTTCTTTCACCATCCGGCAGTTCATCTGCATCGGATGCAAGTCCTGTGGATTCTTCAGGCGTGACGAGCGTCTTTCTCATAGCACGATCTAATTGTGCATTCGTGAATTATACTAACGCTGTATATCTTTCTTCTGCTGTACAGCGATTCAACGGTATTCCTCTTCGTCCAGGGGATGCAAGATGTCCACGTCTTGTGTGTCGTGTCCGTGGCAAGGAAGAGGATTTAAAAGCAGGCGTTGGCGGACAACGGGGAACGGGCATACATACACGCTGGGTCAAGGAGCAACGCGAACGGGAATGGGGCCGTGAACAAAACAAGCAGGCTGGCAGGAAAGAGGTTGTAATGTCGGATGACGACGCAAGCGCGAGCGAGCCTCCTGGGACCCCGTCGTCATCTGTGGTACACACGGAGAGTGGGGCAGAGTCATCAGGACAAGATGCACATGCTGTTCGGCGACCTCCCCATCATTCAAGTAGCTCGGGCAGCACCACCTCTGGTTTCTTAGCACGCTATTTTCCCAAACGGTACTTTATCTTGAAGTCCCTGACACAGGTAGGAGTGGCGACAAAAGCTGTCAGCAAATGTTTTGTCTTGTCTAACCGCCACTTTTCCCGTATAGTTTGACTTAGATCTTAGTGTGGAGAAGGGTGTATGGGCGACGCAGCCGCATAACGAGGCCATACTCAATCAGGCGTTTCGCAATAGCTCTGATGTGTACCTCATTTTTGGTGTGAACAAAAGCGGAGAGTTTTTCGGCTATGCTAGGTAAAAATGATATTAATTACAAAATCCTTCGATGCGCTAATCCTTCCGCACTAGGATGGCAAGTGCGATTGGCAAGACAGCAGACGATCGGGTCTCGTGGGCCTCTCGGTCGGACTCTCAACATTCTCATTCGCCAACAACATCGTTAGCTTCCTCTGTCGCTGGAAAAGGTTCTCATGTGAATGAAACAATTCCTGAAGAGAGTGAAGGTAGTTCGCCGGAAGGTAACGATGGCGGCAACACTAAGAGAAGGGAACAGGATGCGGATGAAGAGAAACGTTCCTATTTGCTTTTCTCACCAAGTGAACATCGTCTGGCGGAAGATTCTCCGAAGCCAGTTACCCCCGCCACACAGAAGCGCTTATCGAATGCAGAGGAAAGCAGCAGCAGTAAAGTCTCGCTGTCTGGTGAGGCGAATACCGCCCCACCGTCCGATCGCCACCAAGAAAAATTTGCAGAATCGGTTCCTCAAAATCGTACGTCCCTGCATCTCGCAACTCCCCCGATAAGTGCACCTGCGGTGATGGGCCGGTCGTATGGCGATATTACAACTCCTCAGGTTAAAGGGCTAGGGTCGGAGACGTTAGATCCGCGTTTGCTCCGTCGAAGGCTTCCGAGTGTTCAGTTAGATCCAGAGGCGCCATTGCGAGCAGTCCGGGAACATGAGGCGCATAGCGCGAGCGTTGAGAATCCACTAATAAAGATCGAGGATGACGACCGCGTGAAACGGAGGGATACACTCGGAACGTCCGTTTCTGCGTCTGGGTCTGGCAGCAAATTGCGTGAAGTTCTGCAGGCAGAAGAGGTCCAAGAAGAGATTGACCAGGAAACGAAGGTGGACACTGACGCCGGAAAGGATAAACAGGCTGGCACGGATGCTCCTGATGATCGTGCAGATATACCGCCGCAATGGGGTTCACCTTTCAAAGTACAATGGATTCGGGTAACGAGGCTACCATTCCATCGCACCCGGCACCTGCGTAACCCATGGAACCATGACCGGGAGGTGAAAGTTTCTCGTGATGGGACGGAACTTGAACCGCTTGTCGGGCAGGCGTTGCTGGATGAATGGGATAAAGAGGAATCTCCACACGTGCCTCCAACACCGGCAATGGGAGGTGGAGGCGGAGGTGGTACCTCGTTGTCTGCTATGAACAGACGTACAGGCCAGTTCCAGAGAATGCAGTCGCACGTTTCAGCTTCTACTACGGAGAGTGAAGCAGGTCCTAGTCCTGGTCCATCACGCGTGTATCAACCAAAACAGCGCCCGCGTTGAGGTACTTAATCGCTAAATAGCAAAATTGTAGCTATTTTGACCCTTGGTATTCGGTATCCCAGCATTCTTTCTAAGCTACTGGGAGGAACCCAGTGCCACATCTGCGGTGTGGTTATACTCGGACCAGTATGACTGGAAGTTGACATGGTAAGAAGCACTTCCACCGGTAGTCGCACGTCGTCCCCCTAATGTAATTCGCCGTTGCATTGCCGCCACCCGTCGCATCCTAAACTCCATCCTTTTCGTCATCGTTCTGGCTCAACATCATCGACGTTCACTCCTAATTCCCTGGACTTTCTGTTAGCTGTCTGCACACGCCGCACCATCTCACTTTTCCTATTTCTCACTTTTCCCTTGATTTTTCTTTGCACGACTGTGACTGCATTCATGTTGACGACGACTCTTGTCATTCACGACACAAGACGGCCGTTTACGGTCCACGTATAACCGCATTTTTTTTTTGTTTTCTTCGTTTTGTGCAGCTTTCCCATTCTCTTCCTCGCTGGCTGGTTCGATTTTTGGATTCGGAGAGTTGCACAACTTACTTCGCCTCGCACATACGCTCTTTACAATTCTTCTCTTTTGCATTGGTTATCCTCTGTTGTCCCCGAGTTTTGCATCATCAGACATCCTCGCATGCCATACACGGCGATCCCATGTCAGAATCTACTGTTCAATGTATCCCTAGCAGAAAAAGCCTAATCCCTCCCTTGCCTTGTTAGTTGTAACTAGCTTTTGGATGGGCTATTCACTATTCATCTACCTGTATGACCTATGTACTCCGGCATTATACACGTGCGCCCTGGTACCGGGGTTTGCATACACTTTCTAAAATAAACCAATATACGATGAACTTGTGCTCTCGTACAGAATTGATCGTTTGAAACGCACTCGAGTGTCGAACAGACAAACTTTTGAATTTTAAACAACCATAAATGTGTACGTACGTAAGGAAGTCGGAGCGGCGTAATTACAGTAGTTCCGGTGCTCTGGTTACATAATCAGATTCATTTGTAATACACTCATCCCTGAATTTAGCCTTGCCTCATGGCAAAGAAGTTTAGAAGAAGCAAGCGGTCCATCATGCCTCCGACATTATCGTGGCCTCTACAGTACCTTGTTCTCGGCGCTCACCCTCTCGCCGAACGAGGATTGTCAGATCTCCTCAGGTGCTCTCATGGCACTGTCACTAGCTCTGGCTTTGTTCAGAAGGTTGTTGGACATTTGCAAACGATGGGCTAATCGTGCACTGCCGCTTCTGCTTAAACTGTTCTCTGTGATTGGGCGGTACCTTGGTCTCCGACGATTTCGCGGTAAGGTGGACTGCACGAAGAAGAACGACGTTGCGCTCACTAGAATCGGCGATGGCCAAACGTCTGAGTATAACAATGGCGGAACGGCTAAAGGGGATCCGTCCTCAGCATCAAACAATCGTGCTGTAGTCCTCGCATGCTCTTCGGTTCCGTCAATGCCTACTACACCACCCGCGGCGCGTTCACATCACCACGCTAGATCCATAGACTCTTCCGCCTCGTTTCCTATGTCACCAACTAGTACTATCTCAAACTCACCTGGATTTCTGTCGGAAAATGACGCAGAGCTTTACTGTTCTTCGCCGCTGGAAGTGATTAAAGAAAACTCATTCAGAGAAAGTTCTATAATCGAAGGTGCTTTACATGCGGAACCTGTACAGTTCACTGCTTCACCGACCGGATCAAAGTTAATGAAACCCTTGAAGACTATCGCACCATCGGAGAGACCACGATACGATCGGAACATTGCTATGTTCGTGATTTTTATTAGTTAGGTCATTCCTTTATTGAGCATTTCACCGCAGAAAGAGTAATGAAGGACCTTGGGTACTCGGACCTCTGGCGACTTTTGACGTGTATAGGTAAGCACGGTATACGTTCATTTAAGAAAAGACGATTTACGCTATACACAGGAACCGAGATGTTGCGGGATGGAAACATTACGTTCATCCGGAGGGCCCACCATATTACCTGCTAGAAAAGTGTGATGGACACAGGTTTTCCTATTTGACGGAAGCAGACCTACAGGACTATTCCGTCCTAGACGAGGTTGAGGCCTTTGTGTGTGCAGTCGAGAGGCATACCACAAACTTCAATTGGGGTCGAGATATTCCGGAAAACGTTGAAGTTGTTCTCGAGATTGAAGACGAGGCGTGGAGCTACTACATGGTTGACTTGGAACAACGTTGTGTGTTCTGGCTTGATGATTATGATATGAGCTATGCATTGGGCGAAAATTTTGGCGTCGAATCACTAGACCATTTCCGTAAGTACACATTTCCGTCCTCGAAGAATAAACTACTTAGCTGCCATCTATGGTCAGGTAGTCAACTTGATTTTGAGTTTTGGCAGCACATCGAATATTTCCCTAACCATCGCAAGCTTGGCCCCGACGTTTTCCATGAAGCGATGGGAATACTTAATTACTGGAGAGTTGGTATGTTTCGGTTCTCTCGAAGGCAGTCTTGCCAATAATATTGAGTGCCCTAGACGTTAAGTCTTCTGCCGATTCCGCTGCCCCATACGATGCCGACGACCTTGACACGCTCGTAGTATCAGTTAAGCATCTACACAGTACGTATTCAATCGTCGTTGCATCGGAGTTACCTGTTGAGTTGCATTCCTATTTCAGCTGTCTACGAATCTGGTAACTGTGCTTATGCGATGGCAAGTGTCGGTGAGAATATGTTCCTTTTATGACGTTTGTTGTCGTTAATTCTGGTAACAGCGCGCATAATGGGTCTTACTAGTCCGTAATAGTATCAAAATCTGACTGAAACAATGGTTGATGGCCCTGTAGGTAATGAACGGCAGCTGAACTTTTATGGCTTCAGTGGCGCCCGTATCTCAGTATGGCAGAGTGTACGAGGGAATATCCTAAAGAAGCGCTCGATACTCATCAAATCTCTATCTCCTTTGCTATTCTATGCACCGGAGACCCATCTTTCGGGTGAGTAAAATCCTCTGGTTTAATTATCAATCTTCGTTCGAAGAACTTATTTTGTTAGGACTTGAAAAATTATGGGTGGACGGCGTGATAAGAGACCGCAGATGGAAGAAATATCAGGTATGAGGCGGATTGTTATGCAGTAGACATTGCCTCACTCTTTTTCTTCATTGGCCTCGTCCACCTATATTGTTTTTGATGTTTCGGATTATCTGTCACAGTACAAGCTTGAGAGAGACTGGGAATCGTTCGTGCTTACGGTCAGTTCGAAGGCACTGCTATATTCGTTCAAGACTCAATAATTGTCAGTCGACTGTGTTGCTAAATGCAAACGTCGCACTACTCAGCACACCAATTATCTTGTCGGATAATGGAGATGCTGGCCTGTGGGCATCACCCGCTGCCGTTGCAAGCCAAGTATCTATTGTCGCAAGTATTGCGAGCATTGTCACTGGCCTTCTCCTTGTGCGGCAGATTCGAATAAGCGGGAAAGACATTGAAGTTACAGCGTCTGATACTGTGCGTATTTGCCCAAGACCGTCACAAGCTAATCAAATGACGTGAATTTGCACAGATAAACTATCTTAGCAGTAGAAAGCACGAACAGCTCGGACTGGAGACAATAGCAATCCAGTATAGTCTGCCGTACGCTCTCCTTATGTGGGGGTTAGTATTCCTCCGTAATTCACTTTATTTATCCCTTTTCTTACTAAGTTCCGTTCTTATAGCGTAATAACTTTCTTAACTTCGATTGCCATTGCCTGCTTCTTCCGAGTTGATGGTACGCCAGACATAGCCGCGCAAATGATCTATGCTGTATCGTGGCTCTTTGCCATTCCTCTCATTCTCTGGACAGTGCTTACCGGCTGGGAAACAAACAACCAAGCGCACTGGTCCGAGTTACTCTCAGCTAGTTGGTGGAAATCTGTCATCTACAGGCATTGGAAGAGTAAACTGCCTTGGACTCGGCGCATGTCGCAGAAATCGGAGGACATTGAGGCCGACCAGGTGACCGGGACGGAGGAAGAGACTGCAGCTGAGAGCAAGCCAGAGCAACCGGCAGCACCAGCGGGACCGAAAGCTCCAAGGAATCGCAATTGGCGTGTACGAGTGAAGAACTTCGGACCGGTGCGCACTCACTTTTATTTTGGGTTGTCTTCTCTGGTTAACCTCTCCCTCCTGACAGGTTCGGCGATTGACATTCAACAGCTTTTTACGCACATAAATGTGCATCACGATTTTAAACCACGGATATAACTTTGGATGGTACGAAAATGTTTATTTGCATGGATATTGGACATCGTTGCTCGCATCTAAAACAATCAACACGCCACTTTGTATCTTGTTTTCACCATTACTGCATGTAGACTCACGAAACTCCAAAATTCCTTTGTCGGATGATTATTTCCATGACTCACCGAACCGGCAGACATCTGCATATTCATGAATAAACGCAATGTTCATTGCTGTACTTATAGTTTATTCTCCGATCATATCCTCAACTTTGTTGTGTGTCTGACTTAGTTGACCCGGTCCGAGCAAGCGATGAATACTACATTGGGCGAGATCTAATGTTATACTGACGGATTCCTTTTGTATGGCAATATTGGAAGGGACTAGTAAACCAACAACGACAAATTGGGAGATGTGAAAGAGGGATAACTCTCGTTTCTCTGTGAATACAAGCGGTATAGGTTTCGATTTAATGTTTATGTTAACAGGAAAACATCAGACAAATAAAAATTAGTATTAAGTGCTACCAGGAACTAACGCATAACTATCAACGATACATCGAAGGTTCGTAATAAAAATGGGTGACGGGAGAAACGAATGGATGTTAGAGGTGATTGCCAGAGGGGTTGAGGCTAGTCGATGGTTGTTAGAAAGCCTTAGGATCCGTGTATATAAATGCAAGATATTGTAATAATAGATTATGAAGAACGTAAAAGAGAGAGAGTTTAAAAACTAGCAACTATCCTCATTCCTCGAAAGGAGAGAAAAACATCAAAATAAAATCGCACCTATATTTAGTTTTATATGTTGCTTACATAATCAGACTTATTTATAACTTCCCTTCACTCACTCTCATTTACGTCGAGGTTGCCTGCAGGCAGCCAAGCGGCAGTCCATCATGGTGCCTCCAACATTATTGCGACCTCTACCTTACTCCCTACGCTCACCCTCTCGCCAAGTGAGGATTGTCATACGTTTCCATGACCGTTCATGGCTCAGCCACTAGTTCTGGTTTTGCTCAAGAAGTTGCTGGATATTTGTAAACGATGTGCTAATCGTGCTCTGCCACTTCTGCTTAGACTGTTTTCTGTGAATTGCGCAAAGAAGAATGATGTTGAGTTCACTGGAATCGGTGACTTCGAAATAACCGAACATGACAGCGGCGGCGACAACCAAGGTATCACATTTTCGACACCCGATGATCGGTCCGTAATCGTTGCGTGCTCTTCTATTCCTTCAAAGGCTACTGCATCACCTTCAGTGCATGCACATCATGCCACATCCATAGACTCGGTTACCTCGTTCCCTAGGTCAACAACTAGTACACTCCTCGACCCACCTAGATTTATGTCTGAATGTGATGTGGAGGCTTATTTCTCTCCGTCGTTGGGAGCGATTAAAGAAAACTCGTACATGGAAGGTTCTATTACGGATGTTCCTTTATGTGCAGAACCTGCTGGACTTAGTGCTTCACCAGGCCGTTCACGGTCAAAGCCCCTGAAGACTATTCTGCCATCAGATAGACCACGCTACAATCGAAACATTACCATGTTCGTGTTTTATGTACCAGGTTATTCTGATATCTTGCTCATTGTGCAACAGAGAGAGTAATCAGGGACCTTGGGCATTCGAACCTCTAGCAACCTTTGACGTGTATAGGTAAATGCTTTTCTGTTTCGTGTAAAAGTGATAATAAACAATACCTTTCAAAGGAACCAGGACGTTGGATCTTGGGAACGTTACATCCACCCAGAGGGTCCACCGTACTATCTGTTAAAACAGAGTGGCGAAAACAATTTTTCCTTTTTGACGGAAGCAAATCTACAGAAAACTTCTGTTCTTAGAGAGATTAAGGATTTCGTGCACAAAATCGAGACGCATGCGAAAGAATTTTCTGATAGGCACAAAGACATTTTAAACAATGTTGAGGTCGTTCTCGAAGTTGGAGAGGATGACTGGAGCTACTACATGATTCACTTGGAACGACGCTGCCTCTTCTGGCTCCACACGCATGATGTGAGCCATATATTGGGAGACGATTTTGGCGTTGAATCACTGGATCACTTTCGTAAGTCAATGTTCCTGTCCCAGAATGATAAATTAATGTTCTACGGTCAGATTATCAGCTCGATTTTGAGTTTTGGCAGCACATTGAATATTTTCCTAACCACCGCGAGCTTTATCCAGACATTTTCAATGAAGTGATGGGAATACTCAATTACTGGAGAATTGGTACGTCTCGACGCTCTTGAAAGCGGTCGTGCTCAAAATATAGAACACCCTAGATGTCAAGTCTTCTGCCGACTCTGCCGCCCCATACGATGCCAGCGATCTTGACACGCTTGTAAAATCAGTGAAGCATCTACACAGTACGTGTTTAATCATAGCTGCTTCAGCATTTGCTTTAGCTTCGCTCTCGGTCTAGCTGTCTACGATTCTGGTAATTGCGCTTATGCAGTTGCCAGTGTTGGTGAGAATCTGTCGCTTTTATGATATTTATTGGCAATAATTCTGGTGGCAGCACGCATAATGGGTCTCACTTGTCCGTACTAGTGTCAAAGCGTGACCGAGCCACTTATTGATAATCATTTAGCAAACGAGCGGCAGCTGAACTTTTACGGCTTCGATGGCGCTCGCATGTCAGTATTGCAGAGTGTGCGAGGAAACAATCCAAAGAAGCGCTCGACACTTATCAAGTGTCTATCTCCTTTGCTGTTTTATGCTCCAGAGACCCATCTTTCTGGTAAATGATATTTTCGGGTCCACGTATATATTCATTCCATGCAATTAGGGCTTGAAAGGTTATGGGTGGATGGCGTGATAAGGGATCGCAGGTGGAAGAAATATCAGGTATGAGGCAGACCTTTATACAGCAGATATTGATGACCGATTTTGATGTCGCTGGGCCCGTCCACCTTTCTCGCTTCGATACTTTGGATTATCTGTCGCAGGACAAGCTCGAGAGGGACTGGGAATCGTTTGTGCTTACGGTCAGTCCGGAGATACTTTCATTCACTCGAGACTCAACAGTTCTCAGTCGACAGTACTGCTGAATGCAAATGTTGCACTACTCAGTACACCGATTATTTTATCGGATAATGGAGATGCGGGCCTGTGGGCATCACCCGCTGCCATTGCGAGTCAAGTCTCTATAGTTGCTAGTATTGCAAGCATTGTCATTGGCCTTCTCCTTGTGCGGCAAATTCGAATCAGCGGCAAGGACATTGAAATTACAGCATCAGACACTGTGCGTACTTGTCCTATTGACTCGTGATCTAATCGGAATGCCTTGGGTTTGCATAGGTTGGTTACCTTAGTAGAAGAAAACACAAACAGCTCGGACTGGAGACAATAGCAATCCAATATAGTTTGCCTTATGCTCTGCTTATGTGGGGGTATATATTCCCTATAATGCGCTTTACTTATATACGTATATCCTTTTAACTAAGCTCTCTTTTCTTTCTAGTGTGATTACTTTCTTGACTTCGATCGCCATTGCTTGCTTCTTCAGAATTAACGGTACACCAGGCATAACCGCGCAAATGATTTATGCCGTATCGTGGCTCTTTGCTATTCCTCTCATTTTTTGGACAGTACTGACCGGCTGGGAAACAAACAACCAAGCACATTGGTCCCAGTTGTTCTCAGCTAGCTGGTGGGGGTATGCTATCTCCGAGCACTGGCCTCGGCACATAAGGCGGAAACCGAGAGACACTGAGGCCAGCCAGGAAGCAGGGGTGGTAGAAACCGCGATTGAAAGTAGCGTGGAGCAACTGGTAACATCGGTGGGACCGAACACATCCAGAAGTCGAGATTGGGGTGTACGAGTGAAGATCTTTGGACCAGTAAGTCTTTTCTTATGTTATGTGTTGCCTTCCCTGCTCAACTTGTCTGTTCTGTCAGATTCGACGACCAACACGTTTTTGAATAAATGTCACGAACTTCTCAAATGACAGACATACGCAGGCCGTTGAACGGATTTGAAAGCATTATTTGCTTGGATTTAAACACTGTTGCACAAACATATCTGCAATTGAACTTCATATTGTTTGTGGATTGTTCAGTTATCACTTCTGTATGTAAATCTGTGATATTCTATTTGTCAGGCATTCTCTTCTGTAATTCACCAGGGTACTAACTTTTGTAAATTCAATGTGTCCACTCCTGTAATTATAGCTTATTTCCCAAACATATTGTTGGCCCTCTTAATTGGATAAATCAGCCAGCCCAGACTGTACAAGACATAAGTAGGGAATTGAGCAGGTCAATATGTATTGCTGGATTATTTTTGTATGCCCAGAATTTAAGGAGCAATCTGACAACAGAGTTGGGAATGTGACTCTGAGGTTGCTCTTGTTTCTCTTTTAATACCTAAGGGAAATGTCAACTGGTCCATAATTACATTGTTGCAAAAAGCAGAAATATAATTTAATTGAATAAATATTAAGTATTAACATTGAAAATTTTGTACCAAGACTTGGCAATCAAAAAGACTGGAAGAAATGAATGTTAGAGAGGTTAAGTTAAACCAAATGTTTATAGCAAACCTTGGAATCTTGAGAGTACAAAATACTACAAAAAGGTTTTTAGAAAGTGTAAGACTAGTTCTAAATATTAGTGCTGGGGTCTATAGTACTACTACAGTAGGAAATCTCATATGGAATACAGTAGTAAGGAATAAATCTATAAAGGAATAGGATTTCAGCAAAACAAGTGTATTCCCTATGAGATTTTCTACTGTATACTAATACACGATCAATATTGGGGTAAGGCTGGACCTAAATTTAGCTACTATGTGCTCTGATTACATAATAATATTCATTTATAACTGACAATCCATCTGATTCCAGGTTCCTACATACGAGCGTCTAAACCTCTAGGGCAGTGCAGTGCAGGCTGCCTGCAGGTAAAGAAGCAGCCTTTCATCATGGCACCGCCGGACTATCGTGGTCTCTACCTTGCTTCCTACGCTCACCCTCTCATACGAGGATTGCCAGACCTCCTCAGAAGCACTCATGGATCAGTCAGTATCACTGGCTTTGCTCAGGAAGTTGCTAGATGTTTGTAAACGATGGGCTAATCGTGCATTTCCACTTCTGCTAAAACTGTTCTCTGTTATTGGACGATACCTTGGACTGCGACAATTTGGTAGTGAAGTAAATTGCACGAAGAAGAACGATGTCGGTCTCACTGGAATCGGTGATGGCCAAACATCTGAACATAACAATGGCGGAAGCGCTAAAGGTGTTTCGTTTTCGACACCTAACGATCGTGCCGTAATCGTTGCGTGCTCGTCTGTTCCTTCGATGCCTGTTATACCACCTCCGGCGCGTACACATAACCATTTCAGATCGATCGATACATCCGCCTCGTTTCCTAGGCCTAGGTCACCAACGCTCTGCAACGCACCTGGAATTTTGTCTGAAAACGACGAAGAGGCTTATTGCTTATCGCCGTTGGAAGCGATAGAAGAAAAGTCCTTTAGGGAAGGTTCTATCGCGGATGGCCGTTTATTTGCAGAACCTGGTGGATATACTGCTTCACCGACCGAATCACAGTCGAAGCCCCTAAAGACTATTGCGCCATCATTGAGATCACGGTACGATCGGAACATTGCTATGTTCGTGCTTTTTGTTAGTTAGGTTATTCCAATATTGCTCATTGCGGAACAGAAATAGTAAAGAAGGACCTTGGGTATTCGGGCCTCTGGCAACATTTAACGTGTATAAGTGAGCACTTTTAACATTTACTTTTAAAGAAAAGACGATTTACTGTATCCGTCACAGGAACCGCGACGTTTCTCGATGGAAGCATTACGTCCATCCAGAGGGGCCACCGTACTACCTGTTGGGAAAGTGTGGTGGACGCATCTTTTCCCATTTGACAGAAGCAGACCTACAGAACAGTGCCGTTCTAGAAGAGGTTGAGGCCTTTGTGTGTGCAGTCGAAAGGCATGCCACGAATTTCAATTGGGGTCGAGATATCCCAGAAAATATTGAAGTTGTTCTCGAGATTGAAAACGATGCATGGAGCTATTACATGGTTGACTTGGAACAACGTTGTGTCTTCTGGCTTCACGATTACGATATGACCGATGCATTGGGAGAAAGTTTTGGCGTAGAATCATTAGATCATTTTCGTAAGTCCGTGTTTCCGTCCTCGAAGGATAAATTACATAACCACCGCCTGCGGTCAGGTCACCAGCTCGATTTTGAGTTTTGGCAACATATCGAATACTTCCCGAACCACCGCAAACTTTATCCCGATATTTTCAATGAAGTGATGGGAATTCTCAATTACTGGAGAATTGGTATGTTTCAGGAATTTCGAAATTAGTCCTGCTAACAAGGCGGAGCACTCTAGATGTCAAGTCTTCTGCCGATTCTGCTGCACCATACGACGCCGACGACCTTAACACACTCGTAGTATCAGTCAAGCATCTACGCAGTACGTATTAAATCGTTGCTTTACCAATGTTAAGTGTTGAATTGCACCCCCGTTTTAGCTGTCTACGACTCTGGTGACTGCGCTTATGCGATTGCAAGTGTTGGTGAGGTTTTGTCTTCTTTATGAGATTTATTGTCGTTAATTCTGGTGACACAGCGCGCATAATGGGTCTTACTTGTCCGTATAAGGGTCACAGCGTATATGGGACACTGATTAATAGCTGTTTAGGTAATGAACGTCAACTGAACTTTTATGGTTTCAATGGCGCTCGCATTTCAGTATGGCAAAGTGTACGAGGGAGTAATCCGAAGAAGCGCTCGATACTTATCAATTCTCTGTCTCCTTTGCTATTCTATGCACCGGACACCCATCTGTCGGGTGAATAAATCATTCTGATCTGCTTTCAACCCTCATTAATTGCAATTAGGTCTGGAAAAATTATGGGTTGATGGAGTGATAAGGGATCGCAGGTGGAAGAAGTACCAGGTATGAAGCAGATTGTTATGCAGCAGATATTGCTTACCCATTCTGATTTCATTGGATGCGTTCGTCTTTATTGTTTTGGTACTTCCGATTATCCGTGACAGTACAAGCTTGAGAGAGACTGGGAATCATTCGTACTTACGGTTAGTCCGAAGGCTTTTTTCTATGCGCTCGAGGCTCAATAGTTCCCAGTCGACTGTGCTGCTAAACGCAAACGTTGCACTTCTCAGCTCGCCCATTATTTATTCGAATGGAGACACGGGATTATGGGCATCACCCGCTGCCGTTGCAAGCCAAGTATCTATAGTTGCCAGTATTGCAAGCATTGTCATTGGCCTCCTCCTCGTGCGGCAAATTCGAATAAGCAGTAAAGACATTGAAATTACAGCATCAGATACCGTGCGTATTTGCCCAATGCCCTTGTAGCCTCATCGGAATAACGTGTTTCTGCACAGATAAGATATCTCAGTAATAGAAAACATGAACAACTCGGACTCGAGACAATAGCAATCCAATATAGTCTGCCTTACGCTCTGCTTATGTGGGGGTATGTATTCCTCTATTATGTCTCTTATTCAACTTTTTTTTGCTCAACTCACTTCCACGTCTAGCGTGATAACTTTCCTGACTTCGATTGCCATCGCTTGCTTTTTCAGAGTCAATGGTACGCCAGACATAGTCGAGCAAATGATTTATGCTGTATCGTGGTTCTTTGCTATTCCCCTCATCCTCTGGACTGTGCTTACTGGCTGGGAAACAAACAATCAAGCGCACTGGACTGAGTTACTCTCAGCTAGTTGGTGGAAATCGGCCATCTACAAGCACTGGAAGGGCAACTTGTCCTGGCCACGACGCACGGCACAGAAATCGGAAGACATTGAGGCCGACCAGGAAACAACGACAGAAGAAGAGACTGCGGCTGATTGCGGCCCGGAGCAAGCGGAGGGCCTTGGGGGACCGAAAGTTCCTGGTCATCGAAATTGGCGTATACGAGTGAAGAACTTTGGACCAGTACGTGCTTGCTTTTTTAACTATATAATACTTTCCCTTGGCTGACTTGTGCCGGTAGGTTCGACGATTGACGTTCAACAGCTTTATGCGATCATAAATGAGTATCACGATCTCCCTGGCCGATGCATGTATGCTGAACCAATGGATAGTCTTGAAATTATTACTTGTTTGGATATCGGACATCGAACATCGTTGCCCGAACATATACACAAGCAGTCATGCTGCTTTGGATCTTGGTTTTCATCACCTCTGCCTGTAAATTCACGAAACTACAGATTTCTTGTTGGGTGTTCACAATTGTGATTCACCAAAGTTGTAGACATCTGCACTTTCATGGTAAATTACATGTATGCTCTTCTGTAATTATAGTTTGTATCCCAGTCATGCCCTCAGCTTTCTCGTTTGCATGAATAAGTTAACTTTGATTACGCAAGTCGACGACATATGCGATGCATTGGGCAGTTGGATCGCTGAATTGCCTTCGCGTGCCTAAGTTTTGGGGAACAGCAGCCCAACTATGTACTACAAAATAGGAAACGTGAATCGAAGTTAGCCCTCACTCTCCTAGCATACCCGAGGGGAATAAAATTTGGTTTTATATTTACATTGGCGAAAAATCGAATAAATATTAAGCGTGAACATGAATAACGTGTAATTATCAACAATGAATCGAGAGTTCGTAACGAGATTAGGTTGCGCAAAAAAAGAAAAGGTATAATGTCAGGGGTATTGAGGTAAATCAGGTTCGTTAGAAAGCCCTAGGGTCCGTGAATAAAAGTCCAAACACAACATGAAGAAATCGTGAAGAGCATAAGAAGAATTCCAGATGTTGACGTCTAAATACCATAGTCCCTGAAAATAGCGTCCTCGTTAGAGGTTCGGAGGAGCTCTCTGCCGATATCTTCACCACGCTGGATCCCATGCACGGACTGCAAATGCCTCAAAAGAGCATCCTTTCGTGCAAACTTTCCATAGCAGAGTTCACCGTTGGTCTCTAGAAAAGCAGAATATAAAATAGATCGATTTTGGGGGAAAAGCCATTAGATTAGAACGTGCTATTTAGCGCGGATATACACGGAATTCAAAAACACGTACTCAGCATACCCGGGCACATCCACTCAGATTTATACTCGGGATGTGTCTCGAGGTGACGCTTGAACGTGCGCGTCTCCTTCCATTCTTGATTGGATCGTTTGCAGCCTGGATAACGGCACTTGTATACCCTACCTTCCTTACTGCCGCTCTCTTCCCTATGGAGAGGTTCAGATCTGTGTTGATTCGCTTTGACAGCCTGGTGCTTCCGCTCGTACGGCTTGCTAGTCCGGTTGACTTTGGACGCTGGGGTACGAAACGGGCCGTGCATTGGCGCCTGGAATGCCATAAAGTCCTGGCCGATCATATTCTCGTGCATTAACACAGGAGGAGGAGCTGGAAGGGCGTATTGTTCTTGATGTACATCCAGAGGAGGGAAGAGCAGACCGGGATGCGGCAGATCAGAGGCGATGGGCCGTGAAAAGGCCTTGCTATCGAGACCGAATACATTCTGTGCGAAGACGGCGTTGGCTGCAATACCCAGTCCAGTGGCTCCAGGTATGGTAGGCTCCTTTTCCCAGTCTGACTCGTCAGGGCAGTAGATGCTGCTGTTGGAAGGCGATAGCGCGGGCGTCGGCATGCGTGAACTAAGCGTACTCGGAGCAGGATGCCGCTCTGCGGTAACAAAGGCAGGAGTGGCAAATTTTGAATGCGGATAGACTGTTGGTAAATAGTCTCCGGCCTTGACAGTTGGTCCGGTCACTGAACAATGCACGCCTTCGGCTTGAGCAAACGGAATCACTTTCATCAACGGGCTCGATTCGACTTCCTCGAAGATCTCATCCAGGTCCAAAGCATTACGAACATGGCGTGGTGCGTGCTGTACAATTGGTTGAGCCACTACAGTTTCAGCTTCCGTTTGCGGGGCGGAGCCGATCGACGACGAAACTCCTGGTACATAGGCATTCTTCGGGATAGCGCCTTTCGCAAACGCGCGCTCTTCCTCTATCGACACATCCCAGGCGAACTTATTCCACTGCGACTCTTCGAGCACCCAGCGCTCGATATCATGGGTATAACACTCCGGGATCTCCCTACAAAGGCTTGACGACGTAGGGACAGAGCCAGCTGTTCCCGTGGCGCCCGCGCACAGATTGTATGACGTCAAGAAGTCCATAGATATAAGATTTGGAACAGAGGGAGCCCGGAGTACGAGATGGTATTAAAAGGGGAGAAAGGAAAGGGGAGAGAGTAAAAGGCACGAAAGAAGAAACGAAACCAGAAGAAAGGAGAGGAATAGCGATACGTGCATTCACTGCGACCTTATATATGTTAAGGAGCGGAGAGGATAATAGTCTTTCTAAGGAATGCTTTCATGGGCTCTTTCAGAACGGAGCACGGCACAGCAACCAGAAATTCTTCGTTCCCCAACATGTCCTTTCTCAGAATCATCAAGCATCATCAGATTAGCCATACTGTCATTGAGAGCATCCAAGTTGATAGGGAAAGAAAGAAAGAAGACCGACATAGGGATTCATACAAGATCGAGCCTCCAGAGATGACAGACTTTACGTATCCCAGCTACCAAGAAAAAGAAGGGTAGATTTCGTGCCTTCCGGAATAAGAGCACATTTGTCATTGCTGCTCGTAGAGATGGACAACCAGGGAGCACCGCCGCGACGCCCCCAAGGCCTAGAAAGCACAGCATCCTGTAATGATAAATGAATCTCTGTAGATTTGCCAGGAAAAGGATAACGTCAAAGGATAAGTAGTTGGACAGATTAGTCATTCGGCAATCCCCTTTCAAGCTCAATCCCTAATGGCAATTCGAATTACTTTCATGGCAGCGATTGAAATGGCTGATAATATTAAAGGTAATGATTCATGAATAAGTACATGAAGACAATTAAACGAATTATGTACAGTTAATGAGATTGATGGAGCACTCGGATCATTACGGAGCTTCAATGCTATCAGCAATGTTGCGGCCGAAGATCTCAACTACGAGTATGTTGGCCCAAGCACAGTACTTATTAGGGATGGGGGAGAGGAAGCATGTCAAGTTCCGTGGAATAATTAAGAAGTCTTACGGGTGATTGGCGTTGACATAGGAGAATCCAGAGTCCACTGTATCATTATCAAAGAATAGGGCATGATTGACGTCAATATACATATTGCATTTTCTCCTCCTCGGTCCACTTTGTAAGGTCGTAGTACGATGGACCTGATGAGGCTTTTGGTTTATACCTGCACAATGCACGGAGTCAGTAAGGCGTGTTGAGAGCGTTGAGAAAGAGCTTACGTCAACAGCCCCTTCATAGCCGGTTTCAAGCGAAACGTTGGATCTTGGAAATTGGCATCCTGAGCATCGGCATTGCCATACCAAACTGTTTGCCCGCCTTCGACACTGCGATCCTCACCCTCTTCTTCATCATCTTCATCATCATCTTCATCTTCATCTTCGTCTTCTTCACACTTCTTCTCATCTATGTCATCGTCTCTCTTCCTTCTTTCCGCCTCACTGAGCCCCTTTACGAATTCTATGTACGCTTTTCTATGTGCGTCATAAATGTGCTCTCGTTCCGCCTGAGTGCGTTCTCCAAACAATTTCTTGCCATATCCCTTTAAAACCTTGTGATAGCAAGTATCGAGGGTTTCCCACCAAGCCTCGGCAAACTCTGTCATCTCCTTCAGAGAATCCTCGAGTCCTGGTATGGTTTCCTCACTAAGTTGTCCCGCGGCCTCGAGTTCCCGAAGAGTAGCTATAAGGAATGCGCCGAATGCCTGTTCCGTAGCCCTGACATGTTCGCCGTCATCAATGCCTGGCACGGAACGTTATCAATGTACTGTACTCCCTAGCTGAGAAGACAAAGGAAAATTACCTACAAAGCCATCCGGTGAGCATCTCCTTGAATTTCGCGAGCGCATCCAAAGCATGCCAAGCAACAAGCCATTTTTTCTTGGACACATATTCGTGAATAGTGTACAGTGTTTCATCAATAAGTTCTAGGACACCATAACCGAAGAAGTCTAAAGGGAATGCGCTATGACAAAGTCTGAGAGTACGTTTGACATTTGAGCTCACCTTCGTAGACATACATGTCGTGCATGCCTGGATCCCGATCTTTGGCCTTCTCCAGCAACTTGACCAGACGTGCGAATGCATCTTTATGAATTACCACCCCATCCAGGGTAAAAGTATAGTTCTCAGGAAGAACAAACTAAATTTTACTTGAACTGAGCATCAAATCGGTTAGGATTCGACAATATCAACTCACGACGTCTGAGTCTGATGGCATAGTGCTGGTAGTGATGGTTGAGTTTGGAGTTGCAATAAGCGCGCCCCTCTATTTCGACACTTATGCTTTATTGACACTCGCGTATCGGAGTTTACACCGGAGTTTACATGCTAGTGGCTCCTCTCAATCGCGTACAGCTTTCCTGATCATTATCAATAATGCTTCGAAAATAGTTAAATAGATTACAATGATTAGCCTTTCCAAATACATACTTGAGGCAGTCGATAGAACTCACATAAATCAAATACACTTTCATGAAATTAGATAGAGTATGCGGATCATTACGAAGTTTCAATGCTATCAGTAATGTTACGGTTGGAGATCTCAACTACGAGGATATTGGACCAAACGCAGTGGTTATTTGGGGAAATGGTGGGTCAAGGGCTGTGGAGTAATCTAAAAGAATTATGAGATAATGGCATTGGAAAGGGACAAACTAGAGTCCATTGCGTGATTATCCGAGAACTTGCATCCATCGTGATCGACGATTAATATGATATCCCTTTTTCTCCTTCTCGGTCAACTTTATGAGATTGTAGTACGACGAATCTGACGAGTTATCGTGTGCATGCCTGTAGAGATGCACAACAAGTTCAGAAAGTACGGTAGAGAGCATTGAGAAACGGCTTACTCCAACACTTCCTTCAAACCACGATCTAAATCGAATGTTCGATGTTGGAAGTTGGCATCCTGAACATCAGCATTGCCGTACCAAGCTGTTTCCTTGCCTTCTGTACTGCGAATATCATTGTCTTTGCCGACTTCTACCTCTCGTTTCTCATCTATCTTGTCACCTCTCTTCCTTCTTTCCACCTCGCTGAGTCCCTTTACAAATTCCACATACGCCCTTCTGTGTACCTGAAGGATGCGTCTCCTGTGCGCCCTCCAAACAGTTTCTTGCCGTATCCCTTTAAAACCTTATGACAGCAGGTGTCAAGGGTGTCCCACCAATGCTCGGCAAACTCTGTCATATCAATTAGAGAACTCTCAAGTTCTGGTATGACTTCTTCATTGAGCAAACCCGCCGCCTCAAGTCCCCGGAGAGTGGAGACAACGAGTGCACCAAAGAACTGTTCTGTAGCTCTGACGTGGTCACCATCGTCAACATCTAGCATTAAACATTAGTATACTCCCTCGATGAGAAAGCAGAAGGAAATTCACATACTAAGCCAATCGTCACACATCTCCTTGAATTTCGCAAGCCCATCCAAAGCATGCCATGCAACAAGCCATTTCCTCTTGTAGACATATATGTTAATAGCGTGCAACGTTTTATCGATAAGTTCAAGGACTTCATAACCAAAGAAGTCTATGAGGGATGGGTCATTAGAACGTGCGAGCGCATGTCTATCATTTGAGCTCACCAGTATAGGTACGCATGTTCCGCGCGCCCAGGTCCCGATCTTTAGCCTTCTCCAACAGCTTGACTAGACGCACGAATGCAGCATCATGAATTAAGACTCCTCCTGGGGTGAAAGTGTAGTTTTCAGGTGGAACAAACTAAAATTTACCCTGAATGGGCATCAGTTTTTTCTGAGCTTTAATGCTGTATACTCACGGTATCTGGGTCAGGTGGCATGATAGAGGTGGTGGTGGTTGGGTTGGAACTGCAGCACGCGAGCCATTACTTTTTCAGCCGTGCTACGTAACATAGAGACACTCGCGAATCGGAGTTTACGGCGGAGTTTGCACGAAATGGCGCGTCCATATCGCGTGAGACACTCAGCAATGCTTCGAAAACAGCTATAGTTATGACAACGTCAACACAAGATAAAGGCATTGTGAGTTATCATGGGACTACATGGAAGACTGGACTTCCAAACTTACAAGATAATAAGGATACTTTACTGTATTCTGAGCAAATTTGGGCATTGCATGTGTGTCCTACTACTGCACCATTGCAAATATGCATGTTGTGTGTGTCAGGACCACTGACGAGATGGGTGTTGAGATCACAGTCTTTACCCCTGGGGGTCCTACTTTCGGTTGTGCGAAACGGGCATTCCCACGGTCCTCAGAAAGGACTGTCGATCCATTAGGTGAGTGTAAGTAGTGTCCCCAGTAGAGTAGAAGTTTTGCAAGAGTTACTCTACAATACACACTGACAGTAAAATAAGAAAAAAATAAATTTAATAAATTTAATATTCTGAAGAAACTTTTGTCAGAGGGATTTGTCTTATAAATAAGAACTGAATGAGGTACAATAGAAATACTAAAAAAATACTACTTAAATCAGCTATATACAAACTAATATTTTTTTTTAGCTAATTTCCCTCTGACAAGTTGTAGAGAATGAATTTGAACAAATTATCAAGTAGTTTTTAATGTGATAACTGTACTTTGTGTCAAGAAGTAACATTAAGAGAATTCCTTGTTCATACAAAAGTTGATACGCGTCTCACAGTTTTTATTCAGACCTTGGGTGTAGATCATTGACTGTATACAACTTGTGTAGACAAATAAAATCAACGCTTATCTTTTTTGTTGATTGCACCACTTTATTATATTGAATATGATATAATATTACTACTCATATAAATTTTTGAGGCATAATTAACATACTGTATTTTTTACACTGAATACATGTGCGGGGACAATGTCACCACTATATTTCATCTAAAAAAGGCAAGATCGGCGGCGGAGTCCAAAATCCCATGGACGCGCGTCACTTGGGAAAGTAGGACCCCCATTACCCCCAGAGCAAGCAAGAATTAATGAGAGATGGAGATCTAGAACTATGACCCATCCAGAAAGGGAAGGCACGCTGACGTGAGCAAATTGACGATAACGACTCAGCGTCTGATTTTGAAGTCTGAATAACTTTTTACTCGGAGCGCTTGCTATGAAGTGCGATTATTTCAATCTTTGCAACGTGGGCAGATGGCATGTTCTCCCGCGATAAGCTTGGGTTATTGTATAATTCTCACCCGTTTCCGGTTTATCCAGCACGTCGCCAACGTGGACTTAGACGGCGCCTGCAGCTCCCCGTTTGCTATCAAGTTTCCCATCATCAAATGGGCTGTCAGAGTCAGGACAAAGCATTTAACGATATGTACAGACGAAACATCACGACAAAAGTGCTACTCGGGTCAATTCTGACAGATAGACACGAAGAGCGTGTGCGTTAGGTGGATGCGGACAGCAAAGCGCGCGATGTCCGATGACGCCGCCGCCCGCGCAAATCGTTCTACTGATCCTCGTCGCGCGGGGGACGATTATTTTGGCGACTGCCACGCATACGCGCGTGAGCGGTCCGCGCCCGACTTCTCGCGCAGATGCGGTGGACTTATTGCAGCCTAAATGGGCTTCTTGGACTCAGGCTTCCCGCTGTTCCGGCTAATATTCATTCGTTCGAAGCTGCTTCTATTGAACTAGCCGCCTCCCTCTGGTATCGATGATCAAATTCGGGTGTTGGCTCTGTGCCTCGTACAGGCATTAGATCTAGTACTTATACGTTACCTGTGCCTGTCCAACTCGCTGCGTCCTTCTCATGGTCTTCTGCTTGCCAGTTCACAATAGTCCGCTATGCGTCGGTCGTCAAACGTCCCTCTCTTAATCGCTCTACGTCGGCGTGCTCGCACAACTGCACTATGCTTCGTGGTTCTGATCATTATCACCATCTCGTTGTTCAAGGGACACTCTTCCGATCTCTCGGTTTATGAAGAAGCAGGAAGCAACAACGCTGGTCGAGTATCGAGATTTCTCGAGGTCGTTACTCCTTGGACACGAGAAAGGCCTGTATATACATCTCCACATCCAGCAGTAGACCCGGAGGCTACGGGGATCGACAAGATCCCGGAGGTACCACCCACGCTACAAGAGAACGACGAAGATGCCTTCTCCGGCACCGATGCCGTTGATTCCGCCGCTGATCCGGAACAAAATGTCCCAAAACATACTTGGGACGGAAATGGTCTGCTAGTCGTGAATCCTAATGCCCCGCATCCAATATACGAACTGGTTCATCGTGCAGAAGCTCAATGGAACGAGAAGCAGAAACGAGCGAGCAAAACGATTGAACAGGCCGTAAAGGAGTATAAGCGGAGATACAAGCGTTCGCCACCAAAAGGGTTTGATCACTGGTAAGTTGTGCGCGAGAGAAGAATCTTTTGTCTCATGAAAAGATCTTCCTTATTGTAGGTGGAATTATGTACAAAAGCACAACGTACACCTCCCGGACGAATACGACCAGATCTACCGCGATCTTGAACCCTACTGGGGCATCGATCCGCACGATCTCCAAGCAGCTCAGGCAGAAATAGAGGCAACAAGCGATACTTTCACGCTGGGAAAACCCACAGAAAATGATGCCGTCTCGCTGGTGAACATGACAGTCAGTGAAGCGAGGAAAAACCGGATTAGTGACTACTTGTCGTGGGGCGCCAAACCACAGTTGGACATTCTAAATGATGTTTACCGCTATATCCCACCGTTTCGAGCCACCTTCAGCCCTCATGACGGTCCAAGTGAACTGGTGGACTGGACTTGGCGTAAGGCTGCAATAGACGCTGCCAGGAATGGCACTTGTCAGTGATTTCGATTCGTTTTTCTTCTAACCGGGAATTTGATGTGACGGTTCCTATAGATCTGAAACCTGAAGGCCTGCCACAACAAGATAGATCCGGTTGGTCTGGCGCATGTCCACCTGATTCTCCTCTTTACCTCAACCCTCCGAGACGCGATGAAGAACCTACACCACAAACACCGAAAACATTCATACACGACCATCGCGCTTCAATGGATCCATGCTACCACCCACAACACGTCCTAACACACGGAACCTTCCTCACACACGGCACGGGTCCGAACCCAAAACGCTTTCCAGCTCCTTTACTAAGTAACTGTGCGAGTGCACTACACGGTGACATCCGCGCCACGTCAATGCAGCAGGCATCAGAATTCGCCATCGATGATCCACGTTGGGACGATAAAGAGGATGATCGGTTGTTTTGGCGTGGAACGCCGACAGGCATGTGGCACCATAGCGGTGTCAATTGGCGTTCGAGCCAGCGTGTGAGGCTTGTCAACCTAACTGGTTCTGAATCTAGCACGGGTCAGATACTTAATACTGGATCGTCCGACTTTGCGTACGTAACGTACTTAAATCCTGACGTGTCGCCCGGTGAACCTGTTGGCGAACCTGCATGGCATACGCGTCGAAAGGCGAACAATGCGCTTATGGACGTGAGCTTCTCAGGTCCTTTGACGGGATGTGAAGCAGGAGCTGTATGTGATGAGATGCAGAGTGAACTCACCTGGGGTCAGAGAGTCGAAGCAGGTGTGCACGGAGCTGGAAGGTATAAATATCTACTTGACGTCGACGGCAACGGATGGAGCTCGCGATTTCGAAGACTCATGAGCTCACATGCACTCGTTTTCAAGTCGACGGTCTTTCCCGAGTGGTGGACGGATCGTGCACAGCCCTGGGTGCATTACGTTCCAGTCCAGCTAGACTACTCGGATTTGTATGACTCACTTGTGTTCTTTGGTGGTGGGCCGGAGGGCGAAGGCGCACACGAAGAGATGGCACGTAAGATTGCAAGTGCAGGCCGTGAATGGGTAGAGAAGTTCTGGAGGAAGGAAGATGTCACCGCATACATGTTTAGGTCCGTTTCTTCCTCTCGTTTTGAGTTGTTGACTATGGAATAATTATAACGATGCATTGAACGACAGATTATGGCTCGAATATGCCCGCGTCATGAGCTTGGATCGAGATATCATGAATTTCCATCTTTCATAAAATAATCTAGTCTTTCCGGTTTATTTTTCTTGTTTTGCGTCTCGAGCTTTGCAATAAGTCTTGGGTCATGTATTTGTAGCCCATAGCACCTCTAGTTTATAACATAGTTATAATTCTACTTAGACGTGGAAAGTCGATTCTCTGTTTTTGTATGCTAATAACTCGGACGCTTTGATGTGTCTTTGGTATGAGATGGATCTATTTGGCTCAATGATACACTGCATCCGACTTTCCCCACAATGAACTTCAGTCTCGCAGATTCTTGCGACTCAATAAATTTCCTGGAACTAGACCATGATAAAATCTATTGGCCTAATCTAACTGATGAATAAGACGTCTATGGCAATTCTACTTCCACACTTTGACTTGACACAGCCTCTACACCTTTTCGTCTCCGCTTCTCTACCTTCTCTGCCTTTCTCCGTCGTTTCTCCGCTTTTGCGTCTGCGCCCGATTTGTGTTCTGCGGTGCCCTCCGCAAGTACATCCTCTTCGACAAGTGATTCGCGTTTCTTCGTTTCCTTGTTTCGCTTCCGGTCCTCCTTCCTACTAGCGTCCACAGAAGTACCAGTCCCCAGCTCAACCTCCTGGTCAACATCTCCTTTTCGTTTCTTCTTCGGCTTGCGATCGTCTGCCTGAATATCTTCAGTCTCTGTAACAATGCCAGTTCGCTTTCGTTTTCGCTCCTTTGAATGCCTTGTGCCGCTAGGCGTTGTTGGTTGAAGTTCCTTCTCTTTGCCCTTATCCTTTCGTTTTGTCTTTAACTTCGCCTTTTCGTTAACATTCTTATCCTTCTCCCTCATCTCCGTCCCCTCTGTATCTCTCTTCTTCGCCTTCTTCTCTTCTTTCTCCAAATTCTTTCTCTTCTTCTCCTGTCTCTCAAAACTTTGTCCTTGTCCATCTGCCATAATATCTTCGCAAGTAGGCTGAGTTACTTCATCAATAGAGCTTGCTTCCAGAGTAACAGGTGCAATTAATGTCGATTTGACTTCATTAATCTCTTCCACCGTGAAATTAGAATCCGGGCCTAAAACTGGTCCACGGAAGAATCGAGAGTAAAGGTTTCTCCTTGCTGCCTCTCGTTTTGCTCGTGCCATAAGACTCATAGACGGAATGTTTGTGGATGAGGATGCTTCCGCACATGGAGTTGACGAGCCAGAGGAGGACGCTGGAGTACCAGAAACCGGTCGCTTATTTGATAGAATTCCTGTGCTTGTGCGTGATAAAGTAGGTAGAGCAGGGGTAGATGTGGAAGGTTCCTTCACATAAATAGAGAATTGATTAGGGAAGATTGTCACGACGGAAATTTATTATATGCTCACGGAGTCACTGGAGTCGTCTTCATCTTTATGGACCTTGACTTGTATTGTATTCGCTGCTACAGTGAAGAGGCTATTTGAGCAAAATTAATTAATTGTCGAACAGATTTCTGCGCGAGAAAGTGGGGACATACTGATCCCAGAACGGGAATGCCTCGTCTCTGTCCTTCCCGAGACCAGAAAGCGTTTTCTTCTGCGGAATCGCCAAAGGTCGAGAAATTGAGCCTTGTCTCAAACCAGAGCCTTTTCCAGACCATCCTTGAGCGACGAGATACGAATGACCATCAAGTGGCATTCTATCTCAAAAAGAGTTACAGAAAGTTGTTGTGGACGGAAGCAACAAGGTTTTTGCTGCTCAATAATTTGAATGGAAATTTGGTGATGATGCCGTCACTGATCGACGGTCACGCGCAAACTTGCGATGCGACTTGCTTTCTTTCCACCACATCTAGCCATTCCGACACACACAACGACCGAGCGCAGAAGACGCTCGTCGACAACCGACTAAATAGTAGGGAATTTCTTCTCTCACACCTATGGAAATGACGTACACAGCGCTCGCAAAGTCGCTTGGTATCCCATTAAAATCCACCTCATCTTCCACTTCGACCACTTCTATGAGTCCAGTGTCTACCTCCGTGCAGGCGTTGGCTTCTATTTCTACAGCTTCTACTTCCGCGAAAGTCGAACAAGACAAAGACTCAAAGGATGTGGTAATGCACGAGGAGGAGGAGAGGAATTATGAGGGGGAGAAGGAGGACAAACCAGAGAAAGTCGAGACAACTTCTAAACCACTACCCCCGGCTCGGAAAGACTCTACGCCTCCTCACGTGGAGACGATGCAGGATTCGAAAGCTGACGGCGGGGATGAAATGGATATGGACGTAGAGTCAGATGCAGATGCAGACGGAGAACTGGACGCAGAAGGAGAGTCGGATATCGCTTCGTCTCGTCCGTCTCCAGGCCCAATCCCTCCATTGGACAGTTCTCAGGAAGGGAATTTGATTGAATCGCAGACCACCCAAGCAACTAGTGTCTCGCAAAGCAGTGATGCTGACGTAGTCGTTGATTCAGCGGACGCACAGTCGAAGCCGCAGCCTGTCGATCGAGAACTCAGTATGTGGCCAATATTCTTTCTTTAATCTGCCCCGTCTCTTTCACATGAATGCTGAAAGCACTGATTTTGCGCAGTGACAGATACACAGTTAGATCAAGCCAAAGTCCTCGTGCTCGACCTTCTCGGATGGGGTGTGCCACCGGAGTACCTCCTCCAGCGTGGCATCTCACATGCTCTCCTCTATACCGTCTTCACCGATTTGCGATTACGCCTTCCTGATAGTATCATCGAAGATTGCAACAGACTCGTCGCCGCACAGTCATAACATTAGGCGAAGACGCGTGGACTGGATTTTCGGACGGATGTTCCCATCCTTTCTCCGGCGAACTTATAGCTTATAGTATCACTTTCTTGGCCTCTTCGCTTTCGTTGTTCCTCCAGTGTCTTTTTATGCATTTGTGGGGACATATACTTGACATGCATTTCACAACACGCTGCTTTTTCATTTTACTGGTATTTAATCCGCTCTGGATTTTAGACACTGTATTTCTACGCATTTTCACGACAGAACTGCCGTTGTACCATGTCTATGCTTTGACTCCCGATTAATATTGTGTGTGTCTCGGAGTCGACGTGTAATCGACTTTAAATCATGAGTGATCCGGTGTCAGAATGTGCTTGAACTATATATTGTACAATTGTGTTGAATTTCATACACAGATACTTTTAGCCAGTGACAGCATTTACAGTAAGCCTGTGTGCTGCTTCAATGAAAAAATGACAGTGCCTAAGTCAGAATCGAGAAATAGGAATCTGATTTCATCCAGATGACATGGAACCTAGCTCGATCGTGCCAGCGGGGTTGTTGTACGATTTTGCTGCTGTTTCTGCGTTCCTACTCGCTCTGGTTCCTGACATGTTTCTGGTAGGTCTGATTCAAGTAGCTCCTTCCACCTAGGTAATCCTACCACCCCCGGAAGTTTATCCCAGATACCATGCCGATGAGACTCGACGTCTCTCTGAAACGTATACTTGCAAAGCGAACAAAGAGGCATGTCTCTCTGCTCTAAGTACTGCACGGTCTGTAACATCCAACGGAGAGGTCCTGTACGAGTATACCACGACCTAGATGCACGTGAAGCTAACCTGGCGAAAGTATGTGAACAGGGATCTAGGCCTTCGACTTCTGGCGGTCGGTCTTGATCGTGATTGAAAGGACGTGATGGATCTTCTTCTCGTCTCCATCGACAATCGCGATGTGAACGTCGTTCGCCGCAGAAGTGACGGACGTAGTCGAGGACGAGCTCGATACGATGCTGATACATGTGTGTATAGTTCGTGATGTCCTCAATAGAAAGCGTTGAAGCCGGTTTAGGAAGTCCCGTGCGTGATTCAACAAGGAGCTTCGGGTGGGAACCTTGTAGAAGGTCGGAAAACGGGTATACAGATAGGAAGTAAATCGCTGAGGGTATTACAATGCATACGTTCGTCTCTCGGGCAAGGTTGAGCACATGAACAGGATGAACGTAGGGATAAGTGAACTCTCCAGGGCCTACAGGGGCCTGGAGTGCTCGGTCAACCATCGCGTCGTGACCATCCAACATATACGACCAGGTCTGTGCAAGCGCTTCAATAGCTTGCTTTCGTAAATGCGCAATAAAGTATTTCGTCGAAAGCCGTAGTATAGATGCAAGAAAGAAGAAATCTTCAACATCTCGGTTATAAAAGGTCCTAAAGCCACGCTCAGCCCATGTAACCTCTTAAAGGACCATTAAGACTCAAATAAATACTCACACTCCATCATAGATCGCCATTAGCAAATTCGACAGTTCCACAGGCAAGTCATACATTCGTACGGTTTCCACTTTCTCTACATCATTTGAAGTCAATGGCGAAGGCTGAGGCAAAGCAAGCATATCCTTAAAGATCTCGGACTGTCGAGCAAGTACACCGCGATGGATTTTGAAGCAGACATTTCCATCGGCCTGGAGAATAAGATTTCCGTCGTCGAACCAAGGCTCTCCTTGCTGAGGCATTTCTGTCATCGACATGGTGGAGATGAGCAGCAGGAAACAAAGACGAAGTCAGCATTCAGACGCGCGACGCGTAGATCCACAAAAATACTTGAATGAGTCAAACGGAAAGAATCTTGATCTGTTGCTAGTTGGTAATTATAATTCTACATTTATAATAATAATACCATTTATTAGCATTAAGCCTGTTTAATTTACACAAATGACAAAGATTCTCAGGAGGTTGAACACATTGCTTTTTTCCAGTCTGGATGTCTTGTTATGTCTGAATTTCTATTACATACTTCTTTTAACAAGTTTTTTGCCTTTCTTTCAATATAATAAATGTTCTATTATGAAAGGAAGAAACTATATTGTACTGACTTGAAGTAGCTGAAAGAATTTCAAACAGAATGCTACACTGTCTTTGCTGAATATAAGTATGTTGACTGTAAGACTTTTATTAACTACTTTAACTGTGTGTTAATTAGGTACAGACAAACACACAAGCAAGATCTTCCCCCTTTCAATCAGCATAATAGACTGAAGGTAATGTATAATGTTAGAGTGGGTAAGGAAGTGGAAAAAAAATAGAAAATAAAAAAAGTCAAGGAACCAAGTTCTAATTCCCTGGCCGGGAGTCGAACCCGGGCCGGCCCGGTACACATCTGAAAATGCAGAATAGTGAAAGCGGGCAATCCTAGCCGTTGGACCACCAAGGACTTGTAGTGCAAACTTCAATGATCTCTTTCCTTGTAAATTCCTACGACGGGATCATTCTTAACTTTCTTGAGCTGCATCTACTTGTCCTTACTTCACCACTTAATCGAAAGCACAATGGCTCGAAATTCCCGTTCACGCTCGCCTGCTCGTCGAGAACGTCAGAGATATGCTAATGACGACCGTTATGACTCGGAAGAACGGAGGAAAGATCGATCTAGAAGGCAAAGAGAAGAGGAGGACGAGCGCAATGTACGAAGCGAGAGGTATCGGCGGAGGCGGTACGATGATGACGAGGAAAAATATGGGCGACGTTCAGAGCCTTGGGAACGTGACAGAGACGCAGACAGAGACAGAAGGCGGGGCCGAGACGAGCGGGATCGCGAGTGGGAGGACAAGAAGGACAGGAAACGTGAATACAGAGACCGGGAACGAGAGGACGAGGCTCGAGCAGGTCCCTCAACGTCTCGACGGGATTCAAGACAACCTTCTTCTGTTCGCTCTTATTCTAGGTCGAAATCACCCTCTTCGGACAAGGAGAAAGACAAGGTCAAGCCAAACTTCAACCAGTCCGGGTTGTTGGCGGCAGCCACGAACACAGTTCGGCTCGCAGATGGGACGTCTACGGTGTTAAAGTACAATGAACCTCCGGAAGCTCGTAAACCACCTGTTGGATGGAGATTGTATATTTTTAAAGGCAAGGAACAAACCGGTGCGTGTATTAATGTCTCAATTCGCGAATAACTGCTGATGGCAATTTCTTTTCTTTCATAGACTTGTTACACATCCACCGTCAAAGCTGCTATTTGATTGGGCGGGACAAGGCTGTAGTAGACATCTACATCGAGCATCCCTCCTGCTCGAAACAACATGCCGTCATTCAATGTAAGTAAAATTAAATTGTGTACAAATTGTTCCATGTCTGAAAGTAAACAGACCGGCAAGTGCAGGAGAAGGATGAATTTGGATCGTCCAAGGCGGTGGTAAAGTAGGCCCGAGTCCTATTCGCTATTTGCCCTATTCTAAGCGCACTTTACAGGCCTTTCATCATAGATCTCGAATCGACAAACAATACATTTGTGAATGACGAAGCTATCCCTACATCACGATATTACGAACTAAAGACGGGAGATGGTAGGTTTGCTTGAGCCTGAGTCTTCTACTGGTCGGTTAACTCAGTTGATGATTTCAGTGATCAAATTTGGAATGTCGACTAGGGAATACGTCTTGTTACACGACGAAGTATGAAAAGCTTCCGAAGAGGTGGTAGAACTTTCTCAATCGATTGTCCATAAATAAATATATACAAATTACTTCTCAGCAGTGGTTGGTATGCAGCGTGCGTCAAATACGCCTTGCTTCCAGAGATAAACTAAAGTACTAGAATAGACCGACGTCCGAAAAAAGTCAAGAGAGAAGACTAGAAAAGGAATGTTTACCTCGAGTCCCAAAGAGGGTAAGGAATCAGATGAAGAATACGAGATGTCGGATTCATCCGTAGTAATATAGTCGTCATAAAAACCACGTAAATTGCAGGGCATCTCACGAGCGCCACTACGACCATGTGGAACCTTCAGAATTGCTGCTTCACCACCCCTTTGCATCCACTTGATCGTTGATGCCGTAGCATAGCGTCGCGTCGCGAAAAGAGAGCACCGCAGTATTTACACTCCGCAGTTTTGTTAAGATGCACCGATTCATGGTGCCGTGTCACTGAGCGGTGTCCACCTAAACATTCGTTATGAACTCTACAGCGCCATTTGTTGTCTGCGATCTGTTCATAGTCTCCGCTCTCAAGCGCTACCTTTAGCAACGTATTCCCACTTGATCTGTCCCCTCGTCTAGGAAGCTGCTCAGATTCCACAATCCTGGGTGTATTTGCTTGAATGGTTGCTGATGCACTGGACCTACTTCGCTTGCGGCGTCGATACGAATCAGCTGTAGATACCGTCAACCCCCAATCTTCACCATCCTTGGTGTACGTCGCCGAATACGGCTGCTCGGGCGCACTCAAATCAAGAGGGGGAGGACTCGAATGCTCGTTTTTGATTTTTGACATGTCAGGTCCCGTGATAGATGCGGGGGTATCTAATCGCCTACGCTCCACAGAGCTAGGGCCCGGAATTGGCTGCATATACGTTGCGAGAGTGTTGATCGTTGCCCGTCTGGGCCTGGTCACGTCCGTGCGAAATTCTTCATTTCTCGGTGATGGAGACTCATTACCTCGGTGCTTCTCTAGAACCGCCTCTTTCATCCCGGAAGCATAAGGTTGGGTGCTGACACCCAGGCTCGTCACTGACCTTGCTGAGTATCCGGTATGGACCTTAGCCGGAGGTTCTGACGTTGTGGGCAAACTAGCTAATCTTGCACGTTCCGCTAATCGACTCGAGCTGTATTGCACAACAGAACTCGAAGCGGACGCGGGATTGGGAAGTATAGGTGACACCACCGGCATTTTTTGTAGCGGACGGGCTGCAGGCGGTAGCTTGGGCGGAAATATAGGCTCGTTGAGCCTCCGATCACGAATAGCGGATGTCGACGATTGTGGTCTGTCGTGATCGGAAGCGTATGGACTGTCTATTTCGTCGCCGATGTCATCGATCCCCTCCAAACCACTCGCCTCAGAAGAGAAGGGAGACATCGGAGGCGCCTCGGCGTAAGAACCATCAGTAACGTAGCCATCTGTTATGTTTTCTCGTCGCCTCTTCCCCCAGGCATCGGGTTGCACGTGCTCTTGGTCTTGAGGTGGCTCGATATGTCTCGGAGTAGTGCTGATACTGGCCCTAGAGAGGTAGTCGATAGCTTGAGTCTTCAGAATAATTGCAGAAGCGGTGTACGCACTCGCCAGAAGTTTCTGGATGTGTCGGCCATGAGGGGGCTCTGCATACTCACGCCATTAAATAGAGCTTATTCGGTTAGTAATTTGCACACTGACACCTCGCGAAAAATACGCCGTCTATATCGACTGCGTGGATCGAGCTCATAGTCGGATCTGGAAAGTGATATATGAGCGGGGACAAAAATTCACATGATCCAAAAAGAAACATATACAAATTGAAATATTTGTGCCCTTCGCCAAGATAGTTATCCGCCATCGGTTAGGGGGATTGACAGGTTTTGACGTCCCCGAAATTTGGACTGAGGGAGAGTGGTGAGTGTCGAGAGCGGGAGCAGAAGCGGACATGGCTTCGAGAGTGTATTTCTTTATATACATTCTGGAACGGCACAAGGTTGTCACTGGAGATAGTTTGTGGCCCGACCGTGTACGAGCAGCTGATCGACGAATTAGAAAGGTCCCATGTGGCCACCCTTGGCCACCGGCTAAATGGCAACGTGTTCCAGATACGTACACACCACAACTAAGGGACGCGTCCTGCCATCACTAGCTCGGTCCCCGTTCTGGAGAGTTAGATAGTGCCTATCGCCCCGTCGATATTTTACGCTCGAGAATAATAGAGTTCACCCGTCTTGCGGTAGACCATTTCGAGCGAGCGAGACAGCACAAATTTGAGTTGCAGGAGCCAGAGTGTGGGTCCCGGACATCCGGATCAGATTGCGATCAGCTTTCGACCTCGAGTCGGTGAGAGATACAATCGCTTCCCTGAGATAAAGACAAGGGATGAGAAGATTGGAGAAGTTGCGCATAATCGTTCTCGTATCGGCCGACAAACTCTCCGATCAAAAGTCAGGCAGATGTTACCCCACACCAAAACAAAACGGTGTTCTAATCCGGTAGTGCTAGTGTGTTCTTCCCTTCCTCTCATTTATCGATATTTGTCGTTGTATTCTGCTTTGGCCACACCTGTTGCCCTGTGGACGAGACCAAACCAAACGAATCCTTAACTGCGAAGAACTCATAGGGTTGCCTTTTGTCTGAGCGAAGGAATGGGTATGTATGTATGCCGGGGCGGACGATCCGCTACGTCTGTATTACTTTCCTTTGTTGTCGCTTTCTTTTCACCCAAATGCCGGATGGATCGACTGCAATGTAAAAGTCGCTGATCACGAATGCGCGAAAACACTTTAAACGCCTGTGACGGTCAGTCGGCCATCTGCTTCCGTTTTGACTTGGGCTTCTGAGTGGTTCTGCCGTTCTGTGCAAAGGTTCAGAACTTAAGGTACGTCGGTCCCACTATCCACGCGGAAAACGGAAGCCCGGTTATGATAGTGCGATAAGATTGGTTTCTCGAAGTTGGGTATTCCTAAAAACTGGGTGGTGCAAATGAGGAAAAGGGATGAAAAGGATAGTTCTGACTGATCAGTTATTCCACTTTGTTTCAATTTTAAGAATCCCGTATTTGCTCATGTTTTGTGGCGGCGCAATGATCGCATTGATGTCTTCAAAGTTCAAACGCGACTTGCCGAACACTAATATTATTTTCCTTTATGCACCCTCTTTGTTCGCTCGGTGGCCCATTCCTATAGTTAATATCCGAAAAAGCTCTTTCATCAAACGTCTTGTAAAATTACGCCTGAACGTAACCCCGCGATGTCCACCGAAGACCTCATCCCTCCAAACTCCTTCTCCTTCCCAGAAAACATCAAACTCGACCTTCACGACCTAGTCGTCATCCTCCTCCGTGAACGCCTCCTCTCCGACACTCGTTTCCCCCACGCACGTCTCTTAGAAACCTGCGACGGCTCTCATCCACCCTCTCACGTCCCACAAAACTCCCAAGAGTCATTTCGCCTCAGAGACACACCCAAAGTCGGTTATTTTCTATTAAATAACTCAAATGGAAAAGACGGTGCAGCCGAAGGCGAGGGAGGACCCAACGCGGAACCGAGTACTTTCTTACATGAAAAAGCGAAACCGTATACGGATCTTGAAGAGGACGAGGTAGAGACTGCCTTTTGGAGAGTTAAGAACCACGATAGTGGCTATATGCTTCATCATGCATTACAACTCGTCCTAGATTCACTCCCCAAGTCTACAAAATTACGTATACGAACACCTGACGGCTTCGAATTCTCATGCAGTGCTCAGTCATTCGCAGTCGCCGAGATGGATATACTCCCAAAGGAACTCGTATACATCAACAACATGGAACGACTAGAACACGAAGAGAAGCATATAGAAATGGCAATGGATCAATACGTCTTTGCTGAAAAACACGTTAGCGAACCGTGGGTCTACCTCGTGTTTGGCAAGACCAACGATCTACCAACCAAAAGACGCAACACTCAATGCGTCGCACTTGACATAAACGCATCAGTTCTCGGATTACGCGGGAGCGCGGGAGAACCCTTCGTGATGGAACGTCGGAAAACTTATCACGAACAATTATTACCACGCGTAGCTGAAGAAGACCTCGAACTCAACCAATCCCAACGCATATACGCTATAAATCTCGAAGATTCGGGACCTGCTGCGGAACTCGCGAAACGTATCCTCTCGCGACTGGAAAGGATTACTCGAGGCGAAGAACGATACTGCTCTTATTGTGGCAAAACAGCTCCTAAATCTCAGTGCTCCAAGTGTCGAGGGAAGTCCCAATACTGTGGAAGTTTATGCCAGAGAAAAGCATGGTCGTATCATAAAAGATGGTGTAAAATTGACGCAGCCGCAGCGGACTTGCCAAAACTTGAAAATGATGTCGAAATGAAATGATAAACTAAATTCTTGATTTGTATTTCTACCGCCGCATTTTGTATGCTCAACCGTTAATGTGCCTAAAATTGTATTCCACTAATAACCTTTGTACATTTTGATGGGTATATGCGTGTATACGTAATAAGGCAGTAAGAACCATGTGTAGTCCAATGGAGATGGATTGCAAGAAAATACATAATACATATTCTACATCGCAAGTCTGGTCCTTGATTTAAGAGAATACATACGCTTGGTATTGCTTGGATAACCATTACAACGCGGTTAATCGTAAATCGGCATAGGCAAAAGCCTACAAGCAAGCGTTCGTGAGCCCAAACCCAATAAGTAGAACGAACACATGCATGACTCACCTATCGGCATTGAACAAGAAATTATTCGCAACGTCCTCTCCTTCAAGGAACCGAGTCGGATACAACACAAGATGCCCACGCAGTTCTCCCAAAAGCTTCTCCATCTCATCGCGCTCCCACTTCTCAAACGGTCGATCTGCACGTGATGGCGTACGTCGGATATCATCTTTCGTGCCCGAATCTTTAATACCCAAGTTGCTCGGCGTCTGTGACCGATTGTTCTGAGTCCGGCTACTGCTTGCACTCGTGCGAACGGAACCCTTGGCCTTTAACGTGTCGTGTCTTGAGATATCATCTGCTTTCTCGTTGGACTCCGCCTCCTTTGAATCCTTCTCGTGACCCAAAGCATCCTCGTCCCCCGTCTCGGAAGGGACACGGCCTACAGGCTCGGATGTGTCCTTAACCTGGGCTATCGTCAGCTTCTGATAAGAATCGTGCCTACAAATAGGACTGACTGGTTTATTCATGCGTTCATGATGAAGCACGAATTCCTTATACTGCTTCCAAGTCGTTACCGTATCATCAGGAATACAATGGAACACCTTTCGGAAGATCTCGGTCTATGGTAACACAAGCACATAAGCACATGCTCCTCCAGCCCATCAATCACAATTAAACGACTTACGTTATGCACAGCACATGCAACCCATACATTCTTCCAAAACGCATCGCACACAGGGTCCTCAAACCCATGTGGATCGACCTCGGGAGTGGGAGTGAGAAGCGTCCAAGGGTTTGTGCCAATATTAGCTTCTAAGTGCCTGCGAATAGACTTGCGGGCGTTGACTGCCGCTTTCTCCTCATCAGTCGGTTCACCCCTCGCACCACGTGCATGAGGGACCTCGTCGTCCGACTGCGGACTCTTGGAAGCATCTGCTGGAGCGCCGAACAACTCCCTCGAGCCATTGTGCACACGAGCCTCGTGTGGCTCTGAATCGCCTTTGGAATCATGGTTAGCGTCGGCGGAAGGTCTGTCACCGTTTGACTGCTCTGGCGGCGGCCGATGCTCAAGAATAGTCTTCTCTTCAAGTGTCGGAACTATCGCACTTGCAAAGCCAGGCCCTTTCTTCCCATCTTTCGAAAAGTCTTGACGTTCTTCTTCGAGGTATTTATCATCGGCTGTTGCGTCGGCCCCAGAAGATTTGATGCCAACTTTTCTAAGATAGTACCCAGTGTCCTTCTCAGTGCCAAATTCTGTCCCATGAAGAGCTGTGAAACAGTTGAGACTCAGTCAATCAAACATAAAGTGAAGCTACTTGCCTTGCTCAGCACTATCTTTCAACTCCCCAGCTGCTTCGTTCAGCGCAGTTCTCTCATGAGCTTTACCTGCTTTCGTAACTCCATCATCCGGGCCTCTCCGTTGTTCTTTGTCTGGGTCCCAAGCGTCCAAATCAACCTCATCCTTTTCAGGATTGATAGCCATCAAATCCTCTTCATACATAGCGTCAACATCAACACCAAGATGCTCGCGCATAAGGCGGACACGCAAGGTATGCGCGAACCTCCCAACCTTGTACGGTTTCCCAGCCATAGTTCTAGTATAGCAGTACTGATTAGCATACCGATAGCAACAACACCAATTACGTGAACGCGAGTTGGTCCCTTACCCATCAACCATATCGGTATCCCTAATGATCACCGCAAGCTCTGAGTCCCTGTCGCCCCTCTGGGATCGTTCATTGATGTTCGCAGACCCAATAATAGCGAAACGATCGTCGACGATGCAGACTTTCCCATGAACGTAAACCTATATGCAACATATCAAGATGAAGTTCACGTTCTCGACAAGTGAACAAGTAGGTAAACCTACCATCTCCGATGTCAGAACGTTCCCTGGCAGCTTTCCCCAGCTACGGAGGCAGAAAACGGAGATGTACTCATCCGGCTTGAAAAGCTCGTCAGCATTGTCTCCTTTGATGTGAAATTTTACGCCTTACATCTATGCCTTCTTTCTTTAGCCTAGAGAAAATAGAATTTGGACCCCTGCAGATCGTTCGATTCTGGCATTCGAGAATAATCCGGACCTATAAATTCAAAAGTAAGCCTTGGCATGGAAGAACACAAGTCTAGCCTCCGCACCGCAGATGCATCCGAATGATCTACTGGGTATGGGAAACCCGGTAACAGTGGAATCACAATGCAGCATTTCCACGTCGTCCCTTCGCGGTGAGCGCGAATTATACGATGTACAAGCGCATCACCGATCTTGTTCTCGATAGGTGTATCGTTAACATTTGTCCTTGTTAAAGCTTGATATGTCAATCTGTTATGTGTGAGAGAACATTTAGACTTACGAAGTGATAAAGAATTGATTCTCAATATATACGAAATGGTCCGACAACTGAATTGCTATTGACCGAGGTGGATTAGACTCGTTCCTGAAGAAATCCACGTCAAACGAACCTTTCAAATACGCATTCTGAATCGAATGCTCTACCCTCGTCGGTGTTCCCATTGACCACGGACCACAGGAACGGCATATCTGAACCTCGCATGTGCCCGTCAATCCTTGTTCGTTCAAGTCATGTAACCTGAAATCTGGGGGTGGAAGTAGGAAAGGCATCGTTCGAGTGTGGTTTTTGATCCGAAGTAGATAATTCCATCGTTGCACGAAATGCCGACATAAATCCCGGGCAGGTTGACCAACAATTTGAACACCGACATCGTGCCTAGACGGATAAACCTATGTAAGTTGCGAACTCTTCACAAATAAGGCGTAATTCTTACCAAGGCATTCGCGGGATCCTTTCCCTATCATACATATCTTCGAATGGCTTGTTCAACGTGAAGAAGTCGCTCATACGCGCATTACTATAGTCTTTGCCTTATTTACAGAATAGAGCTTCAGCGCAGCACTGACTGTTTATCAGCCGATATCTTACCTGGCCAAATCTGAGCTGGATCTTCGCTATCCACTCCGGGAGTATCGATAAGAATGTGCTGCGGAGTGTCCCAACGACCGAAGGACAAGTCTATGCCACCCATAAATGCAATGGCTTCGTCAATAACACAAAGCTTCTCATGCTGTTCGGAAGATATATTAGCGATCACCTCGTCCAATAACATACAGCAACTCACATGAGCCCAATAAAATGTTCCTGTCTGGAAATGTGAAGGTGAACGCTGGATCATGATATTGGGATGAAGAGCAGCCAAGCGCTGTTTCGTATAGCTGCAAAACAAGGTGCAAAAAACATTTAGTGAGAATACGACGTGAGGCAGCAAAGGCTATACCTGCTATCTGTTGGTGTAGTTCTATTTGACACCTCTTGACTGCGAAGAATGTTAGACTTAGTCAAATACTGGAAGCATATGACGAACTATAATATTATGTATATCTTTACACCCTCGTACGCCTTTCGCTGGAGAAGCTTGTCCAATCTATAATGCTCCTTGTTTGGCCGCCGCATTTGAAGCTCTGTGCTGACTTCAGCTCTAATCCAACCAGGTAATTGTCGAAAGATACATGCATACCTGGAGAAAGCCACCAATCATGGATGTAAATGCGCTCTCGCGCCATCAAGATAGCCCTAGAGAGATTCCACATGTAATCGCGCTAAAAAGGACATGAGCCCTAGTCGCATGTGTAAACGAAGGATACACACTCCATCAACCAGCCATTGAGCAGCAACATTCAGACGAATCGGTGCAAAACTATCAAATCTATTCCGGCCAGTCCAATGAGATGAGTTCGCAGTCTTCTCGAATGCAGTGATCCACTGCTGCATTTGTCGCTGGAAATTTTATTATGTTAGTATATTACAAGATAATCTGAGCTGAAGATAATCGTACATCATTCTTTGCGAACAGTTTCAGCCGCATCTGTGAATTTGACACGAAGAAAGTGTGTCTCGATACATCCTTAGTACGTTTTTTGCCTTTACTCCGCCGTTGCTGCAATTGCTTCTCCGCCTCAGCTACGTCCGGCTGCTGGTCATCGCCATGCTCATACTCATGCTCATCTCCTTGCATTGGATCCACATTCGTTGATGGGTCAGCCATGGGCGTTCCCGGACTATCGGAACCAGATTCCGAGCCACTGCTTGAAGTAGAACTTGACCGGGACCTCCTAGAATTCGCCGAAGCACCTGATTCAGAACGTGCATGCCGTCGTCTAATTGACGCGACGGTCGTACTATGACGCCCGGTGCTGTTTCGAGAATGCAGACGTCCACTGCCAACACGGAAATGAAATGCTCGCTCGACCTTCTCCTTCACTTTCCTAATAGTACCGTGCTCGCTATCTGCATGTCCGTTTTCACGTGAAGTGCCGGCCTTGTGTTCTTTCGACTGGGTGTGTTGCAACATATTGAGGCCTTGCCGATAATATCTTTTTGGACGCTCAATCTTGAAATCAGGATCGAGCATGAATACATCCCAGATATTGACCTAACAAATTACACAATATCAGTAAGAAGTCGATAGGCAGCAATAACAACACAATGACCTCGCCGGGTTCTTCTACAGCAACGAGATAGCTTTCTCGGAGTGCACTCCATCGCTGCTTCCTCTTCGCTGACCATGAGGAACTCTTCTTGCCAAAGCCTCCGCTCTTCTTTGAAGCAGATTCAATGGTAAGCATACCAGCCTTTGCTTGCCACCCACCAGACTGGGCCAAAGCGATAGAAAGGGCACTTATTTCGAGAAAGCCGGCCATGCGATTCGAGGTCGGGTGGAACATCTACATCAAAGCATTGAGTGCAGCACGAGACATAGTTAGGAAATAATACATACCACAGCACGGATAAGACCAATGAGATAGTTCTCTAGACTTTCGCGCTGCATCCGAGCAAAATCGGCCTTCTTAACTTCCCGGTCATTTTCTTTTCCTTTCTCTCTTAGGAACTTGAAGTAAGGCAGACCTATCACAAGTTCAGCTCCGCGTTTATGAAATAGGATATACGAATTTACTCACTTGTTTTCGGAAACTCCGGCAATGCATCGACATTACGGTTAAAGGCATTCGATAGTCGATAGTGTGTATGCAGGGATACGAAGTCACGTAGCTGCCTATATATAACCCAACGTGCAAATCCGTTCGCGTACTCGCATTCAATACGGAACACCGCCTTATTTCCACTCAAAGGATGTAGACTATCACTGATACGTACGCGCAGTCGATGGAAGAGGACAGGAACACGTCGGTTACCCCGTTCGTCGCGTTCAAACCACAGCTTCAGCATGAGTGCAGCAAGTCCACCAGTAATAAGTTCGTCAGTAATATTCACGACATTAGGCTGCACAGCCATTTGACCACGGCGTGCATCTGGGTCAGCTTCGTTGCGTCCTTGCTGAGCCAGAGCAGGGAGCAGGGATCGCAAGCGGTTCCATCGCGGCGCACCCTTCGAAGTGCTATACTTACGGCTGTTCAACCGCTTCATATGCGGCATGGATTGGGAACGTTCCACGCGTTTCCCGGTCAGCTTGAACTTGCCTGACACCTGGTCGTGCGACGTCGAGCGAGACGGTTGTGTTTTAGAACGTGAATGTCTTTCGTTCCCATCTTCTGGACTTGCTGGTGCTGCTTCTCCATCGGCTTCCTCGTCGGAGACCTCTTTCTCTTTTCCCTTGTCGCCAGACTTTAAGAAATCAAAGTAACTAGTCCAGCCCTCACCCTCTGCCTGAGGCGAGTCATGGGTTGTATGCTCAGCAGTCAACCATTTAAACGGTGTCATCCGTGCATCATCCGCAATCTTGCTGAGCCTATTCTTCTCGCGTTTCTGTTTTGCTTCACGTTCCCTCTCGCGTTGCTCTGGATCAATGTATTCCAGTGCACCACGGAACTCCGAGCGGAGGCGTGCAGCGGCAGAAGGGCGGACTTCAGAGCCAGAGCCAGATGCGGCAGGAGCTTTGCCATTTCCATCTTCGTCGTCCATATTGAACTCATCTCCTAACTCGTCTGGAACTTCCTCTGCGATGTCATCGTCGGGCGCGCGTGTATTCTGACGTGAGAGGTTCGGTGAGCGCACGAGGTTGTAGGAGAAAGAGCGGGGAGGACCCGTACGCGAGGACGGAGAATCATGTGGCGAGCGGGAGAAAATGGGAGAGGACGCCGAGTCGAGGCTTGCTCCTCGACTATGATTCTGGTGGTTCTGATGGGGCATATGGAAGTCAAGACCGTCTGTCTGCAGTCTTTTTCTTCGTTCAGGAGTAGCAAGGTTCATAGGAGGACTCGAGTGAGCCTCGCCATCTGGCGTGCTTTCTTGTTTAGCCTGATCCTCCACATCTCCGTTCGCAAGCGCGCTACCACTTGGCTTCGCGTCTCCGTCTGGCTGGGTGGACTGCTTGTCGTCTTTACGAGTTGCCTGCTCGATTACGTCGACCAAGTTGGCCATTGTTCTCCTGGTGAGTTGAGAAAACCGGCGCAATGAAAGTTGGAGTTGAGCTGCGCTATGAGCTCACAGCTGTTCTGAGCGCAAGATGTTATTGACGGTACTCGGCAGCAGATCCGCTCGCTTAATTCGTCATTACTTCCTTTCTGGGGTGCTGTAATATTATGCCACGTGTTTTCTGCAAATATTATTTCACGTCGCAGCCGAACCGCGTTCACCTTCCAGTCTCCTAAGTCTTTGTCATGTCGCGATACTTGCTCAACCGCATCGGCAGCTGCAGACTGTTCCCTATTGCCCAGAGTACCTCACCTCCCGTACTACGTCTCCGATTAGGCTCCAAACGAGGATATTCACAGGAAAATGCATCCGTAAGCGTAAGAAAGCCAACTCCCAAAGGTCGCCGTACGTCCCTCTCCACCCCATTTCCGTACTGCACAAACCCCAACTTAACACACACAAAAACACGATACAGAAGGAATAACCGTAGAATCATTCCTGAACACTATCGGCCGCAACACCTCCGAAAAAGTAAAAACCACAGACTGGCAAGAATTCTGGTCTCTAGACGGACGTGCGTTGAAAGCCGCTGGAGTCGATGTACGCGATCGAAAATATATACTTTGGTGTATGGAGAAGTATAGGCAGGGTTTGGATCCTCAGACATTTGCGTACCCGCCGCCGCCGAAGAAGAAAATACGAGGGTGTGTTGGTCTTCATTCCTTTTTTTTCTGTTGACGATTTTTGTTAATGTTAATTTTATTTGATAGGCATGGGCCAGCTGTGCAAAATGGGAAACGGATCCGCTCGAGGAGGAAGCAATAGGTACACACGTTGTACACCTGACAGTAATAATAATACAGAACTCCGTCTGTTTAATCTATTTATAAAAACGACAATCCGGATTCTTCGCTTGAGATCTCCGAGACTCCGACTACACATGGCCTCAAGGTCTAGCCACATTGCAACAATGCAAGAAACAGTGGGGCCGCCACTTGTAATCAAATTGTACGACGTGTCGTTCGAGCGTGCCTACAAAGATGTTTTAATGGCAGGGTGTCGCCCGGTTCCGACATTTTACTCAGGCAGATTGATTATTACACTCAAACGGCCGAACTAACACGTAGCTTCATGCCAACTAAGAGTTTAGTATGTCCATATCAACGAAATCTTTTCATCCGCATACAACTTCACTACAAAGCGGGTAGGCAAGGAGTCACCACACAAACACGAAATGTCTCGGTATTAAAGTCCTTTTAACTGAAATAAAGGGTATCGACTACGTCGATGGGTCGAACAAGAAAAGCAGAATTGATAAAGTTTGTCCATGTCATGAAGTTCCAACGTCCAAAAGGAGCGACTAAAGAAAACGACCATCCAGTACTACTTTAGCTAAGAGAGCTAGTTTAAGCAGTAGTGGGAAGGGTGCTCGCGGTTGCAGTGGAGGTGGCAACCGAGGACGAAGAAGAGGAACCGCCGTTGATAGTGAACTCCGGCGAAGCGTTGCCAGAATCGCCGAACACTGTTAGATTAATTTCTATGAGCTTCCACAAGTCAGAAAAGTAAACCAATTGAACTCACAAACGACGATGTAGTCTGAGCGGTCTGCCACGTCGGGGACAGTGACGTTCACCTTCTCGTCAGTGAGCTTGAAGCCCGTAGCAAGCGGGTGCGCTTTACCCGGAAGAAAATTTATCAATTTAATTTCTGCCGCTTTCCTCGCTTCAAGAAGAATAGAGTTCTTACCAAGATCCAAGTTCTCGCTATCGTTCTCGTTGAAACCGAGCACGATAGTACCAGTCGTGTCTTTCACTTCCTGCGGGATATCGTCCGCATTCCACGTAATCTCCCGAGTCTCACCGACAGCCCACACAACACCAGCAGTAGGGTATGTGATCACCGGGTTATACACGATGTTGATGACCGGTTGGCTCGTCTTCTGTGCAGGTGCAGAGGAGACAAGCGAGGCAGAGGCAAGGAGTGCAGAAAAGAGTGCGACAGTGTTGAACATCATGGTGGCTAAGGTAGTTGGGCAGTAAGATGTATTGGAGTTTTGTGGTGATTCGTATGCTCTTGACGGTAAGGAAAGAACGGAAGGAAGGACACGAGCAGACGAACGGCGAAAGGGACTCGAAGGAGGTGGGGGTATGAAAACAAGGGGTGAAAACCTACCCGCTTCTTTATAATAAATTGTTTTTGATGTCACATTTTTTGTCTTCTTTAATCATTAAATCAAAAAGGGTCCGCACTGCTTGCCGCGACGTGTTTTGTGTGCATCCATCCTGAATGTTCGTCATATCATACCGGTCTCCGAGGTGTCCTTCACGTCTCCTCGCATTTTCTCGTATAAACGCTCCTCAAACCGAGAAACATGACAACAAACGTCCACGTAGAAAACCGCACGTTCAGGTGGCTGATGTTCGAAACACTTGAGCGAAGAGAAGCAAATACGAATGAGGGTTAGTCCATACCTGAATCAACATGCCGAATTCGGCTACCTAATGAGCGCGTGATAAAAAACATATCCTTCCGCTAACCCTTCCGCAGACTTAAAAGGAAAGATTTGCTTGGCAGTCGTATGGAGATACACCAGGCACGTATCAAGTCCGTAGGCTGGGTGTTGATGATGCAGCAATTAGTACAGTGAGCAAGCCTGACAGGTGAGGAGGGTGAGCAGTGCAAGGCACGTTCATCGGTTCAAGACAGGATCGCCGCGTCCTTTTTCGCTTCTATGTGGCCTAACGTTATCCCGCCATGGCCATAGCAACAAACAAAACGGAAAATCCTTCAGAAATAAAACCATGCCTCAAAGTAGCGGGTTACAAAACTAAGACTAACAAAATAGCAAATCAAGAATTCAATTTCAACACGCAAGACTATTGCAAGAAAAACCGTCCAGACTCCATCAATTCTTTTTCGCCGCTGCGCTCCGTTGGGCTAGACGCAAAGAGCCTGCAATGTGCTGGTATGAATCGTACATGAGCCAAAGCGGAATAATGACCCAGCTACAGTAAAAGAAAGTTCGTCAGTAAACTTCGTCATCCCATTCATAGGAATCCTTCTAGCTTACATGACATTCATGAACTATGTCATTCACAAAGAAAGTCATCAGTCAACAATTAACCACTATACAACCAGAAATGAATGAAACATGACGTACAACAAGGTAGACGTATAGATACAAGAAATTAGATGTATCAAGATTCGGCGAGCCCGTAAGCCATTCAGGACAGAACGTCATCCATCCACCATACAACTCCGCTGTGCTCAGCACAACGATCCAATAATGCCTCGCCGGGTCCTGGCGTACAAGTTGATACAAGATCAGACAACACATTGGTCCGGCTCCGAGAACGGTAAGGATCTCGAGTGAGACTACTGTTGGATCCGAAACGCCCCAGCGGAAATCAGCACGGGTATATTCTTTCCCTAGTTATTGAAGAAGCATCGTTAGAAATGGATGCAGGATGGGTAATGTAGAAAGCCTGACAGAGCTCAGCAAACGGTCCGACGCTTGAGTTCACTGTCTGGCCAAATGTCGAGAGATACAGGAATGAGCCCTCAAACGAGAAATGGATCATTGCGTCAAAAGCCTGTAAGATTCCGGACACCAGTACAGTCAGAATTTCGTTCCTCTCCATTAGATGTAAGCTCTTACAAGCCATATGAACGCGACTTTATCCTGCCAGCGTGCATTCTTCGGAAGGAGTGCTTTCGCTCCAGTCCTTGCAATGAATCCAATGAGTGCAACCGCGGCAAGCTACATCAATTTAGTTTGCGAAATGTTGTAAGAAAATCAATCATTTGGGTTGGTAGACGGCATGCTCACAGAATACGCAGATGTCGCCGTGAAGAAAGACGGCGGTTCACTCGTTTCAAGTACCATTTTTCACTGTAGATATGAGCGTAGTCGTGGTTGTTTCTAAGAACGTGAATATCGTCCGACTTCCTCTTGGCTGTGAGAAATGGTGTGTTTGAGTTTGGGAAGGTCGGGCGCGTTTCGTGAATTGCACGTGGCATGAGCTGTAAAACGTCCGACGCCGATCCCCCGCTTGCACTTGAGCCTGCTGCAGCATTGGAAGCATCCAGGTTCAGTGCTTGGCCACTGCTTGCAACTCAAAGAATCCTAGAGGTTGAGCAATACAGTGTCTGGAACTCTACTAAAACAATGACCCTACAGTCCCTAGTCAACGTAAAGGGGAAAAAAACCCTACAAACCTGCACAAATAGACCACATCAAATTCACCGAGTATTTTCATTTTTAAATTCAATGGTATAGAAAATGTAACACCCAGATAACCCAATTTACGTGAAAATCATGAAAATTGTTACAGACATTTATCATTTACAGTCATGTCTTTGTCCCAGCATCACCCTTACACCAAACTTTATGATACCTCCACCCTTTCTTCTGACATTCAGGGCTACAATATCTAGCCTTTCCATGGCAATTTTCACACATAGACTCCGCCTCATCCCTTCCACAGTATGCACAATATACCTCCTCGCCACGCGTAATTTTCTGCAGACGTGCAAGAACTCGCGTCGCAATGTCTGCAGAAGCTCTCGCCTTGTCTTCGTCAGCCATCAGAATCCTTCCTGAAAGGACGTACTCTTCGCTCTCTCCAGCCACTTTGGATAACAGTTTGTGATGATAAACGCCTATTTGCTCCATTGCGAACACTTCGTTACCTAGACCGCGCAAACCAAGCATAGGAGCGACGAGGTCAACAGCGACACGCCTATCAGTGAGTACGTCTCCAGTTGCGTCTTCCTTCTCTCCAAAGATAAGGTATAACCATGGTATACCATTCAATTCCCCTCCAGTGTAGTGCTGATCGATGTCAACCTTGTTCGGCCCAAGGTCAGGTCGAGCCCGAATATTGCATATATAACTCGTCATTTTCGGTAAGATGTTCATTTCAGCAACAGCACTTGACCGAGCTTTGCATTCTATTCTATGTCCCTGAGAAGTGCATATCCGAAGTTTGGTTGATTCAGGAAGCGCGTCAAGTACGAGTTGTAAAGCGTGAGCGAGGACAAAGCCACTATCATGGTGCTTGACACGCCAGAAGATAGTTTCAAGACTCTGTTCATCGGGTATATCCTTCCCCTTGAAGTTTTCATGCAAGAAATCGTAGGGTTCAGTAGCAGGTGCGTCTTCAGCAACTTCCGACGGCTCTCTCAGGAAGTAGCCAACTTTCGGATCAGGTAGGCTCGTCCATGTAGCTTGGGCATCGGATGGGAGACAAGTAGCCTTTTCAGAATCATTGCAGATTTCGTAAAGCTGAGAATACCGGAATTGTGTTTGTGAGAATAATCGTTCTCTGAGGACTATAGTGGCGAGGTCGTGCAAGTCTAGTACAAGTTTCTCGGGAAATGAGTAATCTTTGGCGTTGATGAATTGAGGGAACTTGGTCTTGACCTTGCCTGCCATGGCACTCTGCGAGAACGATACCTGTGGTAGCAGAGCAAGTGGGTAAAAATTGAGTCACGAAGTACAATGTCGTTGTACGGTATTTTCCTGTAAGGACCTAGCTCTGCGTAGATTACGCCACATCCGCAAACACGCGCAAATAACTCCATGAGCTTTTCAGTCTGGGAAAACCGGACATGTAGTTATACTTAGAATGAATATCATAGGAGAAACATAAATACAAAACAATGCGATGCTATTAGAAGATTGGAATAAAGTCCTGTATACGGTCCCGAGCGTCCTGAGCAATACACTCCGCAATCCACGTAATACTCCTGATCTCGTGCTCCTTCAACTTTAGATAGCTGTAGAAAACACCATATTGGAATTGTTGAAGGAACGCTTGCTTGTTCAGGTGTACTTCATAAGCGATGAACCGATCTTCGAGTTGTGCAGCTACACTGTCTTCTCCGCCGCCACCGGAGCTACCCGACGCAGCCTCGAAAAATTGGCGGTATTCGGCTACGTTGTCGCATACTTGGCGGACTTGCTCGAGGTCGTCTGCACGTGCGAGTGAGTTGTTACCTTCGGGGAAGAGGCGGCCTATTGCAGGGAAGAGCCGTGCACGCTGTTCTTTGGACAGCTCGGTATTGAATGAGTTGATCGTGACGCTGAGCGTGCGACGGTCGGCTTCGAATTCAAGGATGCGGTGCATCACCTCGGCGGTTGGACCACCGATTTTCTCTGTACAGAAGCGGTGGAAATCTTCTAGGTATGCTTTGTAGAGTGTGTTGCGGATGATTTCAATGTTGAGATCGTCGAGGTCAGCGGCGGACAAACAGCCTCTGAAATAGGGTGCTGCAACACATACACGTCATAAATAAGCCTTCTCAAAAGCGAAGAGACTACTCACCAAGAGGGGTCTCTACAAGCACGCTCTGATACAATTCTTCGACATTCGTTGCAACGCAGAGTGCAGGCATAGTGTCAAAGACGCCCAACGGATGACACCGCTCAAGAAGCTCATGCGTGTCCCGTTCGTGCAGTGTACCAGTAATGAGTAACACGACATTGTCAATCATGTATCCGTAAGTAATATAGTCCAGGAAGGTGCTAAGCGGCTCGACAGCATTGTTCCGAAGGAAATTGAATTGGTCGACGAGGACTTGAGTTGCCTTGTCGTTGATGGTTGAGGTCGAAATGGGGAGAGGTTCATTTGCAAGGAAATTTCCGTAGTCAGTGGAAGACAGTTGCATCCTGAAGTCTGCAGAAATACATGTTCAAGGACTTGAGGGTATGGATCGAAATAAAATAAAATCACCTTCAAGAGTCTCACATTGTGTAAGGTTTGCGTAGTGTCCCTGAGTAAGGATGCCCGCCTTGTAGCCCCTGACGATGCCTTCCAGGAAACCAGCGGAGACCTTGTTGACCAAATATTTAGTACTACATTGCGGAAGAATAATGTCGCCACATACGTTGAAGAAAAGCGCCTCCATTGTCGCTGGTGGTGCCGAGGATAACTGCCTCAGTCTGTGCCGCGAGCAGAGTTGCTGAAATGACACTGCATCACACGCGGTCACGAGATTACGTTATAGTTGGACTCTATAGTTGGACTCAGCGCGCCTCGTGTGGTTGAACTCTTCCTCAAAGCCAACGACGTTCAAGACGTCGGCCACCAGCATCAAGCAACCGGATCTATCATCGGATAAGCATTATCGATGTCGTCGCCAATCGACAGTCCCCCACCGTTGCCGTCTTCGCGCTCCTCCCCGTCCTCATTCGACTCCGAAGAGTCCTTAGAACTATCCTTTGACTATGAAATTGATGCAGATGGCAAGCTCGTCCGTGTCTCTAAAGGCTCGAACAAGCCGTCAACATCAGCACCGCCGACACCACCCAAGACATTAGAACTGCCTGCTGAACCGGAAGCAAGTTCCTCTGTACGGCGCGCATCTCTGTCCCGGTCAGAAAGCCTACCTGGAGCTGGGCTTGGGCAAAGCACAACAAGCACCGACACACTTCTTGCGCCGCCCCGAACACTGACGCGCACCTCATCTGGACCCGTCAATACTGCGAGCCCTGCGCAGACGACGCGGGGTGTCGGGGTTGCATCGTTGACTAGCGGGCTTTATGGTACCAGTCGGAAGACCGGGCCTGCGCAACGCATCCGTAAAGAGGAAGCTGAGCGCCAACGTCGAGAAATCGAGGAGCGCATACGTCGCGAGGAGGAGGAAGCTGAGCGCGAGCGAGCGCGCCGTGCACTGGAAGAAAAGGAAAATATGTACTCAGAAATGCGTCAATCGCCGCCACAAGCCAGCCGCCCCATCGCAGCGCTCCCGTCTCGCCAGAACCAATTCGGATTCCCACGCGTCACTCGGCCACTGGTCTCTGCAAAGAAGCTGCCCACTGTATCCCGAATTCATGAAAGCGAGCAGGCCGAGCGTGAAGTCGAGGAAGCTGATAATTATGTTCAACCACAATATTATCAACACCGGACTGCAGCAGATACTAACGGCGATCCTTATTCCTATCTACCAACCTCACGATCTCTTCCCTCACAATATGCACCATTGCCATCTTCTCGACCGAACTCATTGCATGGCTTTCCCTCCAGAGCACGGCGTGTCACTGCTGAAGAGCGGATGCGCCAAGAGCAGGAGATTGCAGAAGAGCAAGCCCTAGGTAAGTAGACATTCAGCTTAGTTCGACCATTGTCTCACTATCACCTTAGCTGAAGCAGCAGAACTCCAGTCAAGAAAGTCTCCCTCACCACCTCACGCTTCTCACTCTCGACATGGACTTCACCAACGACGCGATTCGGATACTTTGCGGTCAGGTTTACCATATTCGCATTACTCCAAACGAGATGACCTAGCTTTTGACCAACAACACCGTCTATCCCCAACTTCACGCAGCCTGGGAGGAACAACCGCGGTTCAACCTACCGTCCGACAACAACGAAGCCCGTCAGCTCCAGAGAAGCCCACAACCACAATCAAAGCAACTGTCGAACATGCAGAGCAACACCTTCAAAGTAATGGGAAGGCTCACAGTTCGGGTAGCGGTCAACGAAGCCATCTACAGCAAGCTATGATAGATCTCAAAATGCGACCCATGACTGTTGGTAAAAAGGTATACTATCGACTTGATCTGATCGGTAAGGGTGGCTCGTCGCGCGTATTCCGCGTAGTGAGCACGTCGAACGAAATTTATGCTATCAAACGGGTGAGCCTAGAAAAGAGCGACGAGGACACTGTTGGCGGATACTTGAATGAGATTGCGCTGCTGAAGCGTCTCGACGGAAATAAACGAATTATCCGTATAATCGAACATGAAGTGAAAAATGTCGGGACTAGCAAGGGTTCTATTCAGATAGTCATGGAATGTGGAGAAATAGGTACGGATTCGGGATTTATAATGACGGTGGCCGTGTTACTAACGAGTGGCCCCAGATTTGGCCAGACTCTGCCAGGTTCATCAGAGGGAACCGATGAATACATTATGGATAGCATACTACTGGCAACAAGTGGGTATTACTTATCATTCATATCTGTAACGTGACTAAAGTATTTTCTGCACTTTGTAGATGCTTGAAGCCGTTCATGTCATCCACGAAGAGAAGATCATACATTCCGACTTGAAGCCGGCGAACTTCGTACTCGTCAGGGGGCAGCTAAAGCTTATTGACTTTGGCATTGCAAAAGCAATCGCGAATGATACGACAAACATCCAGAGGGAGCATCAGGTAAGCAAACATCATGCAAATCCTACACATGCAGGAAATTTACACTTAGTGCTCTCACGAAGATTGGCACCGTTAATTACATGAGCCCAGAAGCGATCGAAATGCCTGAAGGCATGCGCAAACTAAAATTAGGTCGATCCAGCGACGTCTGGTCCTTAGGCTGTATTCTCTATCAAATGATCTATGGTCACGCTCCATTTGCGCACCTGACGGTATTCCAAAAGATGAAAGCCATCCCGGATAAGAACTACATCATCGAGTTTCCGGAGGAGTCGGTACCGGAAATTCCTAGTCCGCGAAGTGCTTCTGGTGCTGCATCGGCTCCGCCGACGCGCTTGACGCACCTTGCTACTCCTGTAAGGAAGGATGTTATTGAGACGATGCAGAGGTGTTTGCAGCGTGATCCGAAGGAAAGGGCGCTTATACCGGAGCTACTTGATGATGACTGGTTATCTATGAGAGAACGTAAGTTATTTCACATAGACTATAGCTTGAATACTTTAGCTAAATGAGAAACACAAAATAGCTCCGCCTCCGCCGCCTCCACGAGAACCCACTCCACCACCACCACCACCTCGAGAGCCTACTCCGAAACAGGAAGAACTGGTGCTTGCGCATGATGAAGCTATCATCAACCATGAATATATGCGACAGTTGATTCGATTCGTTGTGCATCGTGCAAAGGATGCAGGGGGAGTATTGACGGAGCGGGAAATCACAACTGACGCTGAGGTGAGTTTAAGTTATTTTCCATGTGTTGGAGTCGTTTTGAATGTCGTCGCCTCGTTTTTTAGAACCTCGTGGCGGAGTTACAGAATATCACTACAAGAACGAGGCAATGAATACCAAGATAGATATCCAGTTTTTCTGCGCGGGGCGCAGTTCTTGTCGTTCGTAGTGCTTCGTATCATTCTATTCGAACATCTTTCCCTTTCTTCTAACGTCCATCATAATCTTTCTGTAACATGACGAACATTATGTATGGATTCGTCTGGCATGTACATTCATTGTTCTCTTCCTCTCCCATGTTTGTTGTCTGTCTGTCTGTCTGTCTGTCTGTCTGTCTCGTCTCCAGCATTCATAGCACATCCCCCTGCTCCCCTCCCGCCAACCAAGACACGCCTCTTCCACGTCCCCATGTCCCCATATGTCCCATTATTGAGCATAAAGCATACATACGTACATTCATTCATATAACCTGCATCCTCTTACGATCTCTCTTTTTCTTCTGTTTGTTCTTCTGTCTGTTCCCTTTGTTACCCGATTCTGATCTTGATGTTGACCGTTAGTAGGACAGGTAGTGTACAAAATAATTCTCTGTCTGTCTCTGTGTCTCTGTTGTTACTCGTTTCATTTTTAACCCTGTTCTTCCTGCTTTCCTTTCTTTAGCCTTTGTTCTTGTCCTGTTTTGTCATGATCTTCTTGGAATATTAAGGCTCACCAAAGTTAGCCGTATTTTATTCACTCAATTGGGATGAGTCCATACGAGACACCATTTGTTGCTTGAATGGTTAACAAAACTTACATGTGTACAAAGTGAAACAAAAAGTGCAGGAGAATTGTGGCTTGAAACACCTCTTGGCTAGGGATACTAAATACCCAGTGATACAACTCATTCCGAATCCGAATTACAGAAATCTTGGGGGCAAGCAATCCGTTTACACAAAGCCAATAGGAAGTAGAATTTAACGTTTTGGGATTAGACATGTACGGTCACGTCATATCTAGGTTTTCGGATACCGGTATGCTTAAGATCAAGATGGAAGTCGGAGGCGACTCCATAGAATGATAAATATCTTTGAGTGGTCTTCCATTGCGTAAATTTTCATTTCAAGCCGGCGGGAGTGGTAACATCAACGACACAAAGGAGTACCCCGGGAATCTACCCAAATGGTCTTGTTTTCCGAAAGCAACCCGTACCAAACGGTACCCCCAAGCACGCGTAACTGAAGGCTGTTCATATCACCTTAAGATCGCATCCGTAGGACTCGGACAATGGGCATATGACAGTGCCAAACTGAACGACGTGGAAGTCGAGACCGCAACTAGCCTTCTTCATGGCTCAAGAGGATTTCCGGTTTTCTGTTGTGTCGATCTTCTTTCTTCAAATTAGGTTGAGATCCACACAGGACAAAGGGTGCTGGTCAAGATTATATTCATGCCCTAGCTCGGGTTGTTAACGAGACGTTCTTGTGTAGTGAAATACGATTGAATTATGCGTGTTTAATCGTTGTATGTGATGCAGTAATGCACGGGGAGTAAATGAGAAGCAATAGACAGAGAAACGGACAACCAGATATACGGCCATCAACAAATCAACTTGGTCTCCCGACAGCACCTTGTTCTGTTTTCAGCATCGCAAAAAGAGAGGCACACATACGTGTCAACGAAATTCAATTGATGCGGTCTAGACGGAGAGCGACAAGCAAGACGTACCGGCATTATGTTCTGCAAACCGCGCCCCTACTCGTTCTGAGTACTTGAGGAACTTGTCAGTGCAATTCAATACACATTGTTCCTACATCCGCCGACCAACCAATCAAACGAAAAACAAACGCCAAAAAGAGAAAACAGTAGAGGAATCGGAGACGAGAGAGAAATAAATGAGTGATCCGGAATTCTCGGCACATGGTATAAGAAAGTGACGACGTACTTCTTTGCTACCGAGAGTTTTGCTCGTGAAGTCATTGCAACATGTCGTAAAGCAGCGTTCTACGAGGTTTGAGTATAGACGCATAAAATCTTGCATCTAGAGGTGTGGAGTTCGATTTATTATTGTTCCGCGGAATCGAGAGAGAAATTTGATACCTGTTTTTTCTCTATGACACGGGTCATATGTGCCTGCTCGGCAGCATTGAGTTGGGAAAAATCCATGGCGGAGTGGCAGGTACGAAGAGAAGGAGGAACGGAATAGCAAAAGTGACAGCGACAGCGGCACGACGCGACTCTATTCGTGATGGTTACATAATCCTCGGAAATTTGGAAAGATTTCAGTCCTGAGTCAAAAGCAGCACCTCTGATTTGCTGTATGTGCATGGAGTAGCAATCGCATGTTTCCTGATCATATCATAAAGGGCAGCTTCGACTTCGATTTCTTGATTCAATATAAAAAGTGCATCTTTCTTTGCTTTCTGCTCTCAATCTACTTCTAACCCCTCCGTTTGCTACAGTGTCCTGCGAAATGACCGTGCACGTTAAGGAAGCCATCTCGCGTCTTGAGAACAAGCGCGTTAAGCGTATTAGACCTCTTATTCCTCCCCAGATCCTCCAGGAGGATCTACCTCTGTACGTCTGGTTGATGCATCTCTGTACGCATATATTGTACTGATGAGATGCATGAAGGACCTTGTCCGCCGTCGAGACGGTGATTAATGGCAGACGATCGACAGAAGATATTCTGCACGGTAACAGCGACAAGCTCGTTGTCGTCGTTGGGTGAGCAAATATTCTATACACACACTTCTACATTGTCTAACTGACCAATGGTCCTACACTAGGCCCTGCTCAGTGAATAACGTCGAAGCAGCTCTCGAATATGCACACAAGCTCAAAGCCTACGCCGACTCTGCAAAGGACGACTTACACATCATTATGCGCGTTTATTTCGAGAAGCCCCGCACAACAGTTGGCTGGAAGGGTCTTATTAACGACCCGGACATGAATGGCACTTTCAGTATAAACAAAGGACTCCGGCTTGCACGTCAGCTGCTTCTTAACATCACAACGATTGGATTACCCGCGGGCTGCGAGTTCCTTGATACTATAAGCCCACAGTATACTGCTGATCTAGTATCGTGGGGTGCGATCGGTGCACGCACGACAGAGTCGCAAGTGCATCGCGAACTCACAAGTGCATTGAGTATGCCCACGGGATTCAAGAACTCTACGGACGGCAGTGTAGGCATTGCAGTCGATGCATGCCGCGCAGCGCGTGAAGGCCACGTCTTCCTCTCCGTCGGAAAGGAAGGGTTGAGCAGTATAGTGGAAACTGAAGGAAACTCGGATGTTCATATTATCCTCCGCGGCGGATCAAAAGGCCCTAATTACGAGGCCGAGTACGTACGTGACTGCGCGGAGAAGTTGAAAAAAGCTGGATTGCCGCAGAAGATTATGGTATGCTCCGTCTCTCCCGCATCTATTTCCAATAGTTTTAAAGGACATTGACATCTTTATTCCATCTTATTTGATGGTTTGTAGATCGATTGCAGCCACGGAAATAGCTCCAAACAGCACCAGAGACAACTCATTGTAGCAGACGATATTGTACGTTCTTCTCCCTTTCCTGATCTCCGTTGACCACTCGACTCATTAATTATTCTCCTCTTCTCCAGGCGAACCAACTTGCATTCGGCGATACAGCCAACAACATCATGGGCGTTATGATCGAATCCAATCTCGTCGAAGGTCGACAAGACATTCCTTCATCAGGTCCCTTAGGCCTCAAATACGGTCAGTCAGTAACAGATGCGTGCATCTCGTGGGAACAGACCGTCGGCGTTCTGGATCGCCTGCGTCAAGGGGTACAGGGCAGGAGGGAAAATGTACGCCGGAAGGCACGAGGGCTGGAAGAGCTGAAAGCCCCACCTGTCAATGGCATCGTGAATGGCGTGAACGGTCAAGTGGAGGCTGAGGCATAAAAGTCGGGTCTAAAATACTACAGAGGAAGAGGGAGGAGGGATTAAAAATACGACGAGTTATCTATGTTGATAATCTCAAAAAAGGAGGGCGGTAATCTTTGGATACGATATGTACAAGATAGGGAAATTGGAGCTGTCTAGTGTCTCAATCCTGAGATTATGTAATTGCTTCCGCACTGCGCTTAAGGGTCGAGGCAGTACTGTGTTTGACCCTCAACACCACTAATTTTCTGACTGAATAAGTCTACCTTTTCGACGTTCCAGCGCGTCTCAGTACGTATGCTGAGCCCTACGTCGCTGCTCAGACGCGTAAAGAAACCAGCAAAAAGCATTGGAAGGGCCGTATTGCTCTTCTCCGCTCAGGTCGATGGAGAAGCTGCTCTGAAGACCTCACCAGGACCGAGACCCTTCGCGAGTAGATGCGCTGGTGGTGGATGGAGGAAAAGAGTTGTACGTTACCCTTCTGAACTTCTCCCGTAGACATCCAAGCCTAAAGAGCAGCTAATTTTCCGTGTTTGGCAGATCGTTCTCGTGTTTCTCCAGGTTGTCCTCGGCCTAACGTATAATTATGCTTCCGGTCCGGATCGAAACGAGATCCCACACACGAACGCCTCTACATCCACACTCTACACCACATCCGCCAAATTCGCAATTCTAGACTTGGTGAAGCTCGCTTTGTGCGGGACGGTAATCTATTTTGAGGCACGTAAAAATAGTCAAAGTCAATGGACAGCGGCGTCTTCTTCATCGATCAGCAGCGGTTCTTCTCCGTCTTCCCGTACGAGTTTGATGCCCGCGGACGAGGAAGCGCCGACGCTGCCTGTGCGGTCGACGAATGAATTGTGGCGAGGTGATGCTATCAGACATGTGCATGGCGCGTCTAGCTCGCAGGCGCTTCTATTCGGCACGGCGGGATCCAATGTCGCTGTTGGTCTTCTTGCGTCCTTGCTTGCTCTTAATTCCTATCTCGTAAGTATCGATCTCCATGTTGCAGACATCGTCTTCGTTTGAATCTGACTATCATGTGAAATAAGGCATTATACATCACGAGCTCCAGCCCCGCGAACTCCACCCTTCTCCATCTCGCATCTATCTTCGCTCCTCCGCTTTCGGCAGCCATCTTGCAAATATCCACGGGCTGGAAAGCATCTTTCCAGCAATGGCTCGGGGCACTTCTTCAGGTCCGTGTTGTTCGCACAACTTTAACTCTTAATCCCGCCCTTCTAATGCCTCGGATGCAGATCCTCGGACTTCTCAGCGTCGAGGTTAGCCGCTCTCCTTTTTTCCCTCGAGTCGACTTCCCTTGCCATTAACACATCATTATGCCTATTTTTAGAGTCAATCTAATTTACTCGATATTGAAAGCAAATCTTTCGTTTTAATCTTGTTTATTGCTCTATCTACTTCTCTGTTTTGTATAACATTAAATGCCGTGAGTGCCACTTTCCCATATTTGTGGATGTCTTATTGATTTGTTCTATTACTAGGTCTATAAACAACATGAGACACCAATACCCAACATACTGACCTTCAAACTCTTCTCATTTGGATTACTTGTTCATCTCGTTATTCTTATTCTCAGTAACATATTTACCTTCAAGCCCCCAATGTCCATTACAAGTCATTCCTCGTTTAACTTACCCATTCTTGCGCTTTGTGCAATTGTTGACATTGCCGGTATCAACTTAATCTCCAGTAAGCAATCCAATTCTTCCATGCTAGAAGAAGATCAGCGGATTGATTAACTTAATGCTTCTGTTCTAGGTGGTTCCAGCGGCGCCGTACTATTTGGCATCTCGACCTCCTTATCTGCGTCGATCCTTCTCGGATGCTCACGGATCAGTTACGAATTGGTCGACATTGGTACTGTTTGTGGACTTGCTGTTGCTTTACTTGGTTTCTACGCATATTGGGAAGCCGAGTCGGGAAAGCAGGATGCCGTTCTCATGGCCTCACCGGAGCTGGATTCGAAGAAGGTACTATTTGGCTATTTTTGTTCTTTGCTTTCTGGTCTAGAAGTGATTGAGCTGATACGTTTGTATTGTTTCGTAGAGTCCGTCCGTCCGTTGGTTGCTTTCGGCTGTACTACTTTCGCTGTTTGGTATTATAACCTACATCGGGTGTGGACTATCTCCTAGAGCCAACACACATTCCAACAATCTATCGCTACAACAGAACGTAACTAGTAATGAAAGCCGACGTGCATTTTACGACGGTCTCACAGATCTTGCTTACTTCCCACCTCGATTACCCACGTCACCTGTTTCACCACCAGCACTAGCACCGATCGAAATAATACCCACCCGCGTACCTCTGCCTTCTGAGCAGTTCTTCAAGGGAAATAGGACGTACCACGAATTCGACGACGTCCTTTTGATCGTGTTCTTCAGTCATGCACGGTACGACATAAATTTGGATTATTATAAGGAGGTGTATGCAGAGTTTTTCCCGAATGTGAGTTGTATTTTCGTAAACGTCTACTGATTGTACGTTTGATGTTGATTGATATTTATTTACCTATTATTCTCGATATCTGAAGATGGTGTTTGTTGGTCCGAAGAGTAGGGAAGATAAGGGATTCGGACATTCGTATGACGTCCTTGTGGACTCGTATGAATCTGATGAAGATATAAGTGATTGGAAGAATTATAAAATGGCAGGACGTGTGAGTAACCTTTCATCTTTCTTCCAACAACAGCATTTAAAATAATTAACATCCCACATTCCTTTTGACTCACAAACCAGATGGCGCACCACATGCTCTACACAGTCCTCACCACCCCGCCCTACTCAACCAACAACTACACAGGCTACCTCTGGGCGCCTTTCGACATGCTTCTCAACGTTCCACGCCTACAAAAATTCAATCAAGATAGAATATGGTATTTCTCACCCTGGGGAGAATACGTGCCGAATCGAGCAGTTAGTTTGGATTTATGGAGTAATAAGAGTTATCATGCGCCGCCTGCGAGGATATCACCGGATCCGGAGATGGATTGGAACCAGACGTATAGGGGGTGGTGGCTTGATTGGTGGTAAGTCGCGATTGATTGATACCTATTCCTTTGCGTATCTTGATAGCGCTGATTGTTGGCATTGTTATACTTTATAGGTGGGGGTACGTCATCAGTTTGCTTGCAACCCAAAAAATCAGAAAAACTCATCAATACATTCACAGAGATCCACATTACGGAATCCCAGTCTGCAAACAAGCCTTTGAACGCGTCTCTCGCGTCCGACGACGTCGCATGGCCCGCCGCTTCACGAACAACAAAACACGTTATATTGGCGGATCAGCGGATACATTGTACATTCCTGCAAGACTGGTGGACGAGTTCAAGGACTTGTTGGGAACGTTCTTGAATACGTCGTGTTTTTTGGAGGTTGCTGTACCGACGGTCGTGCATTTGTTGGTTCCAGAGGATGAGGATATTTTGTTTGTTGATCATGTGCGTATGTTTTCTCTCATATTTCCGTCTGTTGAACTGAATAATTTCCCTCTATTCTGCATCGTTTACGGGCTGCTAACGTCGACCCCTCATTTCAACTGTATTCGATATCTCCCGAGTCAGTGGTGGATATGGAAACCACCATTCAACGCCTCCTTCGTCCGAGATCGCTGGGGGAAAGGTATGGAAGTCGATACGTTCCATACGTTCCACTGGGGCGACAAGGGACCAGACGGCGTTTGGCGGGCCATCCCAGAGCACATCGAGGACGTACGAAGTCTATTTAGGGAGTCGGCAAAGCGTCAGAGTGTCTGGTGGCCTTCATCTGAAAAATCATCATCAAGCTTACAGAGCTCAGGAGTGTACAGAAGTGGTACTGAGAGATTACGGGGATCGCAGAGAACTCAGACTAAGCATGGGCAGAGTAGGCCCTCCACGCACTCAGCGTTTACTGATGGTTGAAGCATGTAATATTAAGCATATTATAATATAATCACGCATGTTAGGTTGCATTTAGTACTTACAGTACTACATCACTGCGAAGAAGGGGAAAGGATGGAAAGGAGAACGTCATTAAATTTAACTACATTGCACGAATGTGTCTTGCGAAAGGTTGGGTAAGTGTCCCATGTTCAACAATGGACACTCTAGGTATAATTGACCATGTGTAAGATTTGTTGCCTTTCTACTCGGCCATTCATTTATTTAGTCCTGACTGTACCGACTCCCGCTCCTACTCTGGCTTTCCTCTCGGGTCTCCTCGCGCTTCTTGTCCTTCTTGCGTTCCTCAGCAGGTAATAATTTAGACCTGTGTGCAAGTTTGCATTAAGTCAGTTTCCAAGATTCGTAACGCGCATCATACGAATGGGAGAGGAGGCAAAGGACGTACGATTTTTTCTTATCCATGAAAGCGATGAGGAATGCTATAATGACGAGGCCAAATGTAACTATGACGAAAATCCACTACAGAAAGTTACTCAGTACAACCGTTCAAAAACATGTTTCATAGACGGGTACTCACAGCAGGACCGAAACCCAACTTTGCATGCCCTTTGCTCTTCTTGTGTACGGTATTCTTCGTGCACAGAACCCCGGCGACGTCCAGTATGAACACCGTCATCGTGAAGATGAAGGCCAACAGGGTAGTAAAGAAGGCCTTCTTTCTCGCGCTGACGGCCTTTCTCGCTTTCGCTAGGGGTGAATCGTCATCTTCTGAGTCCCTGGGGTAGCGGTAGGCGTCGTCAATCGCTTGAGGGGATGGGTCGCGCTTGGCCGCACTAATCAGGGCGAAAATGAGAGCGAGGAAGATAAATACGGCGGCTGTATGTGCAGAGACGCAGTGTTTACGCTCAGTTCTCGGCTTCAGTGACGTGGAGACATGAACCACGTACCTACGATATGCAGAACGAAGGCGCCTGTTAGTCCGTCATGGATTGCATCCTGCAAGTCGTCCGACATTCCAGGGCTGGATAGCGAAAATACCACCGGAAGGTGCGGAAAATTAAGTCAGCTCGATGTTAGCAACGGTGGTGATGGTCCAGGGATAAACATGTCGAAGAGACGTACACGTCCTTGAAAGTCCAACCTAGCTGTCTATCATGGCATCCGCCTTTGGTTACCTTACTATTAATCTTGGCTTTCCCAATCCCAAATCTATGATAGACGTATGTTAGTAAACATCGTGAATTCGTTTTCAACGAATGTGCTTACGAGTTCTTCGCACCGGTGGAACAGTAACCCCAGACGCCGAACCGGAACTCGTCGGAGACCTTGTCGATAAGAGCGCTCACCTCGACCTTGACCGAGAAGAGATAGAAGTGAATCGTTATGGGAGTCGCTGCTGCGAATCCCATTAGAACAAATGCGATGAGCAGTAGGAAGACCGAAAACCAGCGCATCGCTGCAAATCCCGAGCCACCGGATTTGCGCGGTTCTTTATACAGTCAAGAAATCAATCGTCAGAACGGAACAACGGAATTCGCGGAGTTCGACATGCAACGTACCATCCACCTCCGATGAGCGGTTTTTATCATCATATTCGGACACCTCGCTTTCTGTTTCACTTGGAGCGCGTTTCCGCCTTGCCATTGCCGAAATGAACAGGCGGGAAGTGATCGACTAGAAGTTGGCTGTGGTGGAAATGCTTTATAACTCGTGAGGGCGGGCTTGCGCATCAAAGAGGTGCTATTATTGCGAGGGCGCGCCCTCAGTCTAAGCAATGTCCCCTACATAGTCATTTGAGGGCGAGGTGATGGAGACATGTTTGCAAAACGATGATGCATCGGTCCCGCGGTCCTGCAGCAAAAGGAAACAGTCTTTCGATAAGGCAATATTTCGCACGAAATTTCTTGAAAGGACAAATTGTCTGCAAAGTGAAATTGGACGAGTTAGCAAGGCCTGCAAGAATCACCAAGTGCCTGTTTGGGAATGCGCAAACTCGGAGGTTGGACCCACAAGCACAAGAGTGTCAGCAGTCACAAATTCGACAAAGTCACGTCACGTGCTCATTTCCCATCATCTGGCACGTGCGACACAAGGTCTCACCATAAGTACCTGACCATGCTGCTTTATTTCGAAGTTCCCACCTCCACGAAAGCTGATTGATTATACTCAGCCCGGCTACGATGAAGAAACACTCGCTTCTAGGAAAGAAAGCACCAGAGCTTTCGCTGCCTAATTTCGACGGGTCAACCTTTGCTTTCACCCCTGGTGCGAGCGGACGTCCAACAGCACTCTTCTTCTATCCCCAGTCTGGTCAGCCTGCTCATTATATATACAACTCGAATGGGTGCGCTGAAATATGACGTTGACTGGTGTAGGAACGTACGGCTGCACGAAGGAAGCCTGCCAGTTCAGGGACGCGCTTTCTGGTTAGCGTCATTTTGCATTGCGAAACGATGGTGCTGGAAATGTCTTTGCCACTTTTAGAGGAAGAGATATTCAGGTCAACAAATATCGAAGTTATTGGAATCAGTCCAGACCCGGTTGAGAAACAAAAGAAGTTCGTTGAGAAGAATAATTTAACTGTTCGTACCTCTACGTGCTCTTGCAAGGTATTTGGCTTATCCAACTGCAGTACCCAATCTTGAGTGACGAGAAGGGCGAAGCACGAAAGGCGTATGATGTTTCAAAGGGTCTATTGGGTCTGACCGCGTCAAGTACGTTTATACGCTTGCAAATTGAGCTTATGCTGATCATGGTAATTGTATTAATAGGCAGGGTCACATTCGTCATTGATTCGGAAGGCACTGTCAAGTCGGTCATCTATAATTTGAACAATTCCGTCATTCGCATTGCTAAGTTTCTCACAGGGATGCCTTCGATTCTACTCTCAACTTCTCCGCACACCACAAATTCGTACAGGACTGGCTGAAGTCCACTCAGCAACCAAAGGAGCCATCCAACACGGAGACCGCGGCCGCACCCGCTCCCACGGCAGAACCCGACGCGGGGGCGACTCCTGCCGATAAGCCTGCTGAAACCGGCGAGACTACTGCGTGAACACCAGGCGTGGGCTTCAAGGCAAAGTCTTGTCTTGTCTTGTCATCCTCGCTCGTATCGGATTTGTATTTCAGAAGTTCTAACGTTTGCGTCATAGCTGGATTCAGATTGATGTATGTTCTATAACTTCTATTCACTATGCCCCACCTCATCTTTTCGTCTCGACGGTCCAATTGCCTACTAATTGCTTGTTGTTGGTCTTACTGAAATATATTCATGGACAAGCGTTCCACTTAGTCTATTGTATGACATAGCTCGAGTCCGACTCGCGCCAGAAGAGTATGCTGGGAAACTATCATCGTCTGAACTGCGAAATCGTGGAGTCTCTTCTATACATTTCAACTACAATTACTGCCGGCAATTAACGATCAAATTGTTCCGACTGTATGCCGTCGTTCGGAGTAATGGAAGGGAGAATTAAACTGTCATCGACTGTGTCTAGAGTAGGTTTGCGTTGCTGGGCTACATTCGGACTCACACTATTATGAAGTACAGTATATGATTGACATCCAGCATATTACCAGTACAGTTGAAGTCTAATTATCCGAGTGTTACTTCACGGCTCACGCTGCGCCCGCAAGCTTTACAGACGCGCCGCTCTGGGAGCCTCCAAGCCCATCTATAAATTGATCCGTGTATTGTGGCCGCCGAATTACTCCCGACTGCGGGGTCTCTGAAAATAGGTCATGGCCGCCGGTAGGATGTTGCTAAATCCGTTCTACAGAGTAACACTAGGAGCTCCAATATTCCGAATGACGGTGCCGGTAACATGCGGTACTCTTACTACGTCCACGCGCCACCCATATGTTTGATCTCTTTCGGGCCGCTTAGCTGTGAATGGAATGCGCTGGAATATACTGCGGACAAGAGCATGCGCTGTTCAGTGTAAGTAGTACATAGAGGTCCAGCACACGTCATTCGATCTGGTCTGTTGTTGCTCTTGTCCCCTCCTGCTGCTGTGCTCGTGTGCTGTGCCTCTCCTTGCTGGTTTGACTTCTTGATTTCTGCTTTCTGGGCTTTCCTACTGTCGGCTGGGCCGTTAATACGTTGACGTACCAAACGCTGAGCAGGAACTCGACATGCGTGCCAAGCACATATTAAATCGTCTACCAATTGGGACGAAGATTAGGCTTGTGGTGTGTATATGCTAGTTAGATATACTCCTTGACTAGGACTGACATGCATGGTCCCTCTGCAGTATGACAGAGTCACCCTCACACCGCTTACGACTGCGTTCACCGTCTTAGCGCTGGCGCATTGCATTGTCCAAATTTCGCTTCAAGCAGTTGCTTATGCCTCGAATACCTCGATGAATTATGAGTTGTCTCAACTTCTTCATGAGACGAACGCAACAGGAGTACATGCCTTTGTCGAGAATGATCAGCTGGAAATTTGTCAGGACTCTGCAGATGGGAACGACGAATTGTGTTTTACTATCACAAGTGTCGGAGTGGCTGGACAGGATGACACTATTCGACCTGGCAGTCCTTCAAACCATACGTCTCGTGCTTTACAAATGGACATTTATCCCCGTGCAGTGAATGTAAGTCAAATCTATACTAAGTCTGAATAAAGGTAACAAGTTTGCCGCGTTGCTTAGGACTCGAATCTCAGTACTCAATGCTTAGAAGCACTGAACTGGCCACTGATGATGTGAGTTGTAATTTTAAAGACAGTTATTCGTTTCCATTCATTACCTCAAATAGTTTGCAAGACGCGCGAAGAGAGGACATATGCTTTCTTATTTTCCAAGTCTGGCTCTTTGGAATTTCTATCGTCACGGTCCTCAATGAATCGATTCCTCATCTGTAAGAATACATTAAATAATATATACGCCATATGATTGCTTATTAGCACAAATAGCGTCTCTGCGCTCGTAACGCACGTTTTATCAACTATTTGGAGCATCTTCCAGATCTCCCGCACTCATCAGTATGGAGGACTCTACAAATCGCTCGTTGTAAATGATGCATGCGGCGGGATAAACGTCCTGTCAGGCTTCTGGATGAAGCGTCTGAGTCTCTTTGTATGTCTTTTTCACCCGTTGATACGGATATATTCAATTAAATCAATGGCTGGATAATTGTCTGTAGATTCCTATCTTTGCTTTGAACGCGGCTGCGTCTATCATTACACTTTTTGTTTCTTACAAGTTATTTCATGTACGCAGACGTCAGCTTATTGTCTGGAAGAAGCATATTCTGACTGATTGTCCAGGTATATGCACATCAGACCTTCAAGCGAGTGGGCTGGTTGGATAGCATGAATCGTTTATACTCGGTACGTTTTAATTAGCAGGCTGCGTGTGTGTCTTGGATTAACTGGGCCTGCAGCTTATCTTGACGTTCTCTGTTGCCCTACAACTCTCGGCGTTCTTCGTCATATGCTCTTCTGCTTTAATGGTGGACGCCTTGTTCAACAGTGTCTTTGTGAGATATGTTGTGAATAAGACGGCCTACAGGATTGTCTTTATTCATATTTGTGTCGTGAGTGCCCCCTCAGAAATTTCCGGCTACATTGGCAGTGCTGACTGGTACAATGTGCAGTGGACGTTACCTTGGGTTTTCATAGTACGTACGATTGCTTGTATGCAATTATCATTGTTTACTGAACCTGTCCTTCCTCCCAGGGCTGGTCCTCGTTTCGTAGAGAACATCGGCTGTGGACAGTCATGTTCTTCATCATGGGCACCGCGATGGTAGGAGCATGGGTATCAATATTTCCAACCACTTTCTTTGCGAAGAAATTTGCAGTCTTTCCATTCTTTGCAACAATAACTATTACTTCGCTCTGCACACTGGTGGTGACATTATTGCTGGGAGCAATATGCCGCTTGAATTTTGGAAAAGGTCTGCCACAATACTGTAAGTAGAAAGGCATGAAGGTGGATAGTTTTTCTTTGACTGACTGATATGCTTCGTGTTCAGTGAAGAACCAAGAACTCATCGATGAGCCGGGCTTCGTGCCCGTGTTCCTGACACGAAAGCGACAATCAAAGTTGCTGTCGATCGTCTTTCCGGATAAGCGTATCCCTTCCACCATGCGCTATTACCAGTCGAAGCAATCTGGGCTAAAACAAGGAGCCGACGTGCAGAATTCCGACGAAGCTCCCGCATACGATATAGAAAGTCTTGGGATTAAATCGCCTATGGATCCAAATCTTGCGATGGACCATGAATTACCGAGGCAAAAGCGTGGACGCACCTCTTTCCTGTCTTCATTGACAGGTTCGCGAATAACGAGCTCGAGTTCACGTCTTTCAGTATTTCAAACACCTAATAGCGATGCCAAGCACGTAACATTTCCCGAAAGCGTCCACGACGCTAAGCGCTCCAGCTATATTCAGTCATTCTCTAATCCAGTTTGGCGCACATCCGCTCTAGAGAATTCGACTCCAGACACCAAGAGCAATTCAGCTCACAATATACATTCGCACTCGACGGGCTTGCTGTCTTCCTCTTCATCTCCTATGTCCCCTTCTCCCAATACCTATTCACGAATAACTGATGTTCAGTCCCCTCAGAGGTCATCATCATCTACATACCATAATGTAATCCGAATGACACCTCCGGCAGGCAAAGTTGGTTTACCAACTAGCCCTAAATATTTCAAATAACTAAATTTTGTACGTTTGCGTTCTGTAGCATCCAATCTGTATCTCTACTCCGGATAATTGTTAGCCCGTGTGAAGCGGCATGAATGCTTTAAATAGAAAATCGTTTCTTAGTTCGTCCTTTCACGTGTGCACAAATCTTGTCCATGCAGAGTCCTTTCGATGTATAGAGGAAGCATGGTAATGTGTATAACTTTCACTCACGCTTCCACCACAGTAAGGGCTTCAAAACATGGAGACCTATGATTGTATTGTCGTCGGAAGCGGGCATGCAGGCTCCTGTGCTGCCTTGTCTGCAGCTCAATCCGGATGCAAGCGCGTTCTCATTGTTGAAAAGGCGCCTCGGGAATGGACTGGAGGGAACGGCTTCTTTACTGCCGGTGGTCATCGAACAACGCATGAAGGAGTGAAGGATTTGCTCCCAATTGTCCAGAATGTATCAGCCGAACAAGCATATTTGATAGACATGGATCCCTATCGTGCTGAAGACTTTACACGGGACATAATGCGACTATCTGGAGAAAGGTCTGACAAGGCTCTGGTAGAAGAACTTGTAAAGAATTCTCGTGACACTGTTGAATGGCTAGCACGAAGTATCGGTGTGCGTTTTATCCTTGCGTTCAACCGGCAAGCATATCAGGTCGGCGGTAGGCAGAAATTTTGGGGTGGACTCGTATTGAGCGTGGTGGACGGAGGAAAAGGACTCATTGCTGACGATCATGCCGCGCTGCAAAGGGCAGGAATAGAAATCAAGTACGACACTTGTGCTACTGCGCTACTCAAAGATGGAGACTCCATCTGCGGGTTAGTCGCTACGTGCAAGGGTGCGGATATCACTTTCCACTCCTCATCTGTCGTTCTTGCGTGTGGAGGATTCGAAGCGAACCGCACCCTGCGATCGAAACACCTCGGAGACGAGTGGTCCCGCGCTCGCGTAAGTAATGAATATCCAGTATCCAAGAGGGAAGAATAAAATTACGAATTTTCTGAGTAGGTACGTGGGACCCCCTTCAACACCGGAGACGGACTTACATTAGCATCCGCTGTCGGAGCAAAACTCACGGGAGACTTTAGCGGCGGAGGGTGCCATAGCACATGCTGGGACGCAAACGCCGATCCAGACGCTGGCAACCGCGTCCTGAGCAATCAATACACAAAGTCTGGTTACCCGCTTGGCCTAATGATCAACGCTGCTGGGCGCCGGTTCGTTGACGAGGGTGCGGATTATCGTAACTATACATACGCAGCATACGGGCGCGCTATTCTTGCGCAGCCGGGTGGCATTGCGTTTCAGGTGTATGACAACCAGGTCATAAAGTGGCTGCGAGAAGAAGAATATGCCGATGATGTCGTGAAGAAAGTATATGCGGACAGTATTGACGATCTCGCGGATAAGCTAGTCGCGGAAGGTTTGGAGGGGCCAACTACATTCGTCAGCACGATTGAGAAGTATAACGAAGCGGTCCACACTCACCGAGGGCTCCATTCCGATCTCGTCTGGGATCCCTCTGTAAAAGATGGTCTTTCAACAGGAGTACAGAGCACCGTTGATCCACCAAAGAGCAACTGGGCTCTTCCTTTAACAAGGCCGCCTTTCCTCGCCGTGAAGATCGCGTGTGGAATCACTTTTACCTTCGGCGGACTTGCAATAGATCCAGAATCTGCTGGTGTAATCTCCGAAGATACAGGCAAGCCGATTCCTGGGCTGTTTTGTGCAGGTGAACTCGTTGGTGGTCTATTCTACGGAAACTATCCGGGAGGAAGCGGACTTACTAGTGGAGCAGTATTTGGGAAGAAGGCGGGTAATGCGGCAGCTTACCATTCACGCCAAATGAACTAGTCGTTGCGTTGAGTGGCCGATGGCCCGATAGTACAGGAAACCCATCAGAGTGACAGTCAAATGTACAATAAGTTACAGAATTAAAAGGGACAGGTTTCTTTGAGTCAGGAGGACGACCGTGTTTATTGTCTTTCTAACACGTTGGCCAATGCCCCATAGATGGATTTGTATGACTATTGGTGAATTTCCCTCCAAAAATAGTAACCATAAGTGAATTCTAACGAGTTGACGACGTCTAAGTGTAGTTATGATAAATGTTAAAATATTTAAAAGTCAATCCAATCCAACCGGATTCGTATTCTATGCATTGCCTGATCAGGAAAACCATCATGGGTAAATACAGCAGACATTTCTATAGTAATTGGAAGACATGCAAGTCGTACCGCACTGTCTTTCAAAGTTCTTGTTCGTTGTGAATTATACATTCATGCTATCAGTAATTTCAATTTTCACTTGTACATAGTTATTATAATAGATTTGCTGGTCTGCTCCTTTTGATAGGGTGATAAAAGGATATTGAATACCTCACTTGAGAGATACACGGTCTATATGCAAGTATTGATACCTCTGATGAATGTGCATTCGGTTCAATTAAATTACCTGGAACGATAGCTTTATGGATCCTTCTATCTCAACGCTCAGCACTGTATCCGTTTTTGCACAAATTCCAAGAATGCATATCTGCATATAGAAAATGGTAGAATGCCCCATTTCACCGGACTCCCTGTGGTTCTTCAGGGCGGATGAAACATGCGGTCATGGACAAGGACCAAAGTCTCGCCGATGAGGTGTACGAAACAACCGCACTTCAGGCGCATTATACATATGCCTGACATTACGGCTCAGGAAGATCACGGGCGGGACGGGCTGTAAAATGAAATCGGACGAGTGTGCTTCTCTATCCTGTAACCGTCTTTACGAAATTAATGGCGATCGCGACGGAACAAAGTTCATGCTCTTATCTCCCTGATAAGATGATATGTTGTTGAGATGCTTGAAAGATGGAGGAATCAGGAAGCCTTGAAAGATGACAATTGTACAGTCGAAGATTCCCTGAACTTCGATGTTGTTCACCACGAAAATACGTAAAACAAGTTTTGCGAAATACACCGACTTGTAGAAAACGTCCGAGCCAGCCAGAGTTCAAGCCGGTTACGCTTTGCATTGGCAATTATCGCTTATAAGTTGTCTCCAACCGCACACAACCGTCGGCATTACGTTTCGTTTAGGACGCCACATGAGCGCCTATTCACCACTAACTTACATTTGTGTGGAATATCTCGAATGTAACACGACCGACGATCGGAAGATAAACCCCGATCGGTCAGCGAGTGGAAGGATTTACTGCGAGGTATCCACCGTCAATAATGATCTCCTGACCGTTTGTATAACAGCCCGCGGGGGAAACGAGATAGATGACGATTCCCGAGACTTCTTGTGCACTGAACATGCGTGTTTTCCAGCGCGAAGATAATGAGCGTACCACCCAAATTGGGACATATTACATGTACTTACTTCCCTGGCCTACCAGCAGGAACTGGCAGAATAGTCTGTCCCACCTTATTGGTCTGCTCTACACTGACGCTTTCAGGATCCGGGATGACTCTCTGTGTCATTTCAGTCGCATAAACGCCTAGGCCGTAGAGCGTTTGAAAGGGAATGTCGAGAGTAGTTAGCTTTTATACATACCGGGAGCGACAGCATTAACTCGCACGGGAACTCCTTTCAATGCGAATTCAGTCGCCAATATGCGAGTTAGGTGTGATGAAGCCGCCTTGCCGCTATTATAGGCGAACTATGGATTCCAATATTGCTTGTCAACTGTTACAAGAGCCATTGAACTCATGGTTTAAACTGACATGATTCTGTGCGAGGCGCATCACGCCGCTGATACTTGTAATATTGACGACAGAGCTCTGCCAATGTTTCGAGTCCTCCGACCCCTTCGAGAGAAGGCCGAGGAAGGCAGTAGTGACGAAGAAAATAGAAAATGTATTGACGCGGTACACGTCGGACCACGATTCAAACGATTCATTGTCGAAGAGGGCGCGTCCAAGCGTTCCAGGTTCCTTGTGCTCGGGGGAAGATAGGTCATTGAAGAACGATGATACTGGACCTACTTGACCCGAGCTGCGAGAAACGTAATAGGGAATATCAGTCTCGCGCAGTGACAGTGACAGCAGTTGTAAATAGTGAGATACTTGTTGACCAGTATATGAAGTTTTCCTTCTTGTTGCTCAATCGCCTTCACACCTTCCAGGATGCTAGCCTTGTAGGTAACATCCATTGGTAGTCTAAAGACTATTTCAGCTCGCAGCTCCAGAGAAGTATTCCTGCACCACTCACGGATATAATGATCCTTTTGCACTCGAATCAAGTGATTTTGCTGCCTTCTCTAATGCCTCTTTCCTTCTGCCCGATATATATACTTTTGCGCCATTTGTCGCGAGACCCCGTGCAATCATGAGTCCACTGCATACAATTTAATCATTGAACATTTTAGTGGTATGATGGACGAAGTACATTCCGCTTCCCCCACCAGTTACCAAGGCTATGCGACCGCTAAGATCATAAAGTGCATTCAACGAGAGGCCGGAAGACCCAGACATGCTTTGAAGCTGCAGGATACTGAACGTGATCTGGATGCGATATACAGATCGATCATTCGTCGAGTAGGGTCATTGACGAGGTATGTACCGATGAGATCACAAGAAACGAACATAGACCACGAAATACATACGGGGGCTGCGACTTCAGTTATGTACCGAGGTAGACAGCTGCAATATTTGTGACAAAGAATTAGGAGAAGAACAAGATAGGGACTCGTAAACAGAATCAACAGATCGACGCGTTCATGGCACGTGACTTAATCATTAAAATGATTAAATGGTCAATATCTAATTACGTTATCTTTCCAGAAACGTCCGTGGGTGTTCATCGGATGCGTGTTTCCTTTGTCACTCATGCATCTAAGCATACACGTGAATGCTCTATCTCAACTGTACTGTGAAGCTTGCACATGGACTACACAGTGTCAGAAGACTGGTTCTACTTCGTGCTGCCCCCTTGCAACTTTAGAATCTTCTCAAGGAACACAGCAAACAAGCAATACTTCCTAGAATAGCCTTGCTTTATTTCACTCTTGATGTTTCAAGGTACTTTTATGCTGTATCATTCCTACGTTTCATCTATGGGTAAAGCAGTAACAAGGCTTTCTCAGTCTCTTGTTCTTCTACCGTCTACAACCAAGGAGGCCAAAGAGAGTGGCATGCAGTCTTGGTTCCTTGTTCTCATGTCCAAGGTCTAATGACACGATAAGGACTGCCGATTCCGTTTGTATGGCCTACTATAAATACTGAGAACTCTTAGGCTTAAAAGATGTATGCCCACGCAAAGAAGCGATCTTATTGCGTCATAGTGAAACAGTACACTCGTTCGCAGATAAAGGTGTTCTCATGTACATTGCAAGAGGTGGATGCAGAAGGTGATTCGTCAGCCTGAGGCTTCATTCAAACGTCCGGCATTACGCTTCCTCCCTTCCCTAACGATGTCCCTATCCTCCAGCCTCTCGTTGTTTAATACACCTAGTGTAGGGCCGAGACTCCATGGAATTTGGGAAACCCTGGAAAGCCGCCAGGCAGCTGGATTTCTGGCATTATGTCACATGGGATCCTTCTAGAGGCTTGAATGTGAAGCAATTAAAGGCACCTTTCTCATTCTATAAAAACACGTTGCCGATTCGGCGATTGACGAGGGTTCTGGTATAGGTTCTATTTGCAGTTAATATTTCGGCAGACAGGATACTGCAATTTAAACAAGACACAGATAGGCAACCTTTCGGTAATAAAAAAGGAATTCAAAAGACACTCTACTCGTTCTCAATATTAAATATCACATCGGTCTGTAAGTCTCAATCTAGCACAATATGCATGAATACATTGAGTGTATAACTGCGTTCTAGGAAGATGCCTCGCATACCTGGCTGTTGAGAAGGAGAACACAATCAGACCATTTGTGTACGAGTCGAATTAAGTCATCAATACACATTTAGCCGTTTTGAAAAGAAGCCTGGGTCCGAGTATTAGTCACTGCCGCCAAGGCACCTGATATTTGAGTGCATAGGTTCTGAAGCACTACGTCAGACTGTCGGCTCATTTGGCAGTGCGATGACAGATATTAAAGACAGAGTAGCACTTTGTGCAAGGAGGTTTCTACTTAATCAACTTAGAAGTCTTCAAGTGCTCCCACCAGACCCTTCTGGTTGGACTCTTTTGCGCCTAATTCCTGGACATACCATCTATCACATTGGCGGCACACTTGTTGCTTCTCGGCTGACATGCTACCCTCGAAGCTACTTTTTTTTTTTGTGTAGCAAACAGAACAGGTTTCTTGTGTTCTGCACTTTGAGTGACTGCACCCTTATCTACAAGTTCCCCAGCTATCAATGTGCCACTCTGTGAACGAGTAGACAAGCGTGAGATCATCAAGCAGGTGTTATGGGAGCTACTTTTTTAAAGGGAAAACAGGAAAAGATTCCAGCCCAACTGCAATACAGGCGACTGGGATGAGAGAAGTCTAAAACTTTGACAAGGCAACACCAGAAAAGTACGGGAAATAAGACCAGATACACATCTGAGTAAACACCGCCGAATTGTTGCCTCTTAGAGCCCGAAAGTTTTTCATCTCAAAAAGGAAAGAATATCTAGGCTTCTGGGAAAGTTTGATCATCTGTAAGTTAAATAAAAGGCTGTTTGAGTATATGTAAAGCTTCTCAGACGCCGGCTCTTGAGAGAAAATACACACATTGAGGTTTCTATTAATGCTCGAACTGAGCACTTCGTTATGCGGAATCCTCTATACCAGCATGTCAAACGTAGCACACCCTGAACATCCATAACACGTTTCGACTTAGGGTATGCGCCACAAAGCCTTAGAAGACAAAGGCGCAGAACTTAACTTTGATTTGAAAGCAGCTGATTGGTTTTTGTGCTTTAGTCACGCAGGGAAGCCGAGATGAGATGCACTGGAAAGACACTTTGGAAGAACGGGCTATCTTCGGGCTTCATGTCCGGTGGCCTGGTCAGAATTTATTAATAGTGACCTTCGGTGTAGCACTTTGCTTAGAGAGAAGGACCAGAAGGCATTTTACGACCCACTTAAATTACGAGAAAGAGCATTGAAGCTGACGACTAAAAGGCGTTCCTAAACTTCATCTTCGCGTTATTATTTGGTTAGAGCATGGATACTCCGATTTGAGATTATTGCATCCGAACCTGTCTGGAGCATGAACTAGAGTTATTGCTATCCGCCTACTTCTGTGATGTATTGCAGAAACAGCATGGTCGTTGGAGGCCACGTAGCTGAAGCACATGGATGAACTCTTAACTTAGTGAACACTGGAGGACGACGTAGCCGGAGATACCTCTCAGAAAGTTAGAATCTGGAGTTCCTTATATAGGGGATGACAAGAGAACAACTTGACCTTGGAGCTTGATAGACTACAATCTTGCAGTGCGACGGACCTTCTTTCCCTGAAGGGGATCCTTGAAAGAAAGGAGAAAACCACCCTGCGAATCGGAACTGGCACGAAAGATCGCCGGGCACGTGGCTACAGTTAGGCCAAATATATAGCAACAGGCGCGCTCATACTAGCATTTTATGGACTTAATCTCTCATGAACGAAACAACTGAATTTCCAAGACACTGCATCTAACACGTCTACCAGCTTTGCTTGATACCACTCGTCATGGTAAAAGGATTTTCATTCAACCCCGAATGGTCCGACGGAAATTCGAGCTTTCAAAACTGAAATCCGGGCTCTGCGGACAATCGCGCGAAGTCCCTTGTACTTGCAGTCGGCAGAGTCCTCATGCAGTCATCCCCCACAGGTGTCTTCGCACGACTGTGTTCTAGGATTCTACAAACCATCCTCGTGTTTGCTTAGAAACCTTGTATCTAGGGCTGGAATTTTGAGTTTTCTACGCGCTACTGTTTGGTCGCCATCAGAATTGCAGCCTGCTCAGCAGATAGCAACAGCTGTCGCAATTACTCCTGTCGCGAGTGGCTCTGTCGCGGAAGAAGCGTAGGCCCTCAGCGAATGTCAAGCATCCATGCACCGAACGATACCGAATATTAATTTCATTATGCTGCCACGCGCTGTGTTTGCTTCTGAGCCTAGAATATTGATGGCTATTTACTCCATGATCCTCTTAAGGCCTTATTTCCTTTGGCTGTTTCAGACACACAAGAGTCTTGAGAATGGAATCCATTCCAGCTTTACGACATCACATAATTGCTTTGAAGCTTCTACCGCCGCGAGGCAAAGTCGTGTCTGTCAATTCAAATCTCCTTCTATTCAGGCCTATCTATCCTGCAGACATGGCCTTGAGGTTCTGGCACGTCATCTGCAGCGATGACGGGCGCCTTGAGGTCGGCAGGGACGGGATGTTATGTCATTAGTTGCCGATTTTAGTTCACCATGGTCCATCTTGTTGGCGTGTCGCTTAACATTGACTGAACGAGAACGCAGGGACAAAATCTAGTTCACTCAGTCAATTGTTCAGAACAGTGTAGAAGAAGTTACAAGAGAAGAAAGGTCCGATTTTAGCCTAATAGCGAGCAATGATACATGAGGCATCGGGTGAATCAAAATCAGGGCTCCGGTGCGGGGTAAATACAGCATGAGTCGTTTATACAGTCTGCTTTCAAAAATACAGTTCAGCCGAATGTGCGCATCGATTGTCTGTGGAATTAAGCCAAAACAACGGAGCAATTCGTCCGCGGACCTCCTAAAAAATTGGCAAAGGCCGCTGTCAACTGTTTCAAGAGCCTAGAGACGGCACCTATGTTGAGCTTGAAAAGAACAACGGTGACGACAAAAGCGAAACGTGCCTGAGGGGGATGTCTCTTCGGCTGTCTGCTTACGGGACTTGCACGAACGCATGCGTGAGCCTGGCACCTTGTCGGGTCCACGTCTCTTGGGTTTCGCGTCGTAGCGGCATTCCTCGCGACGGCGCACACAGTTAGAACATGCCGGGCGAACCGCGTCGCAACGTATCTTACGACCACGGCTGGGAGCGTGGAAATCAGTATTATTTTTCTTCCTGCATCTAGCAAGCAACGGCGCTTACCATTGGTGGCAAGCCATGACGATCCGTTTCGAACCGCCTTTCCCCTCGCCGGACGAGGAGGATGCTTGTGCAGGGATGCTTAGAGGGGGAAGGGACGGATAGGGCGCAGATTCGCCTTCGCCACGTGCCGGGTGTGTCGCTCCATGAGGTAGGGTACTTGACGACGAACTTGCGGGTTGTGCCTGCGAATGGACTTGGAATGAGTGGAGACTGTGGCCCGGAGAATGTGTTCGTGCGGAAGTCCTGTACATCGACGTTTCGGACGTATGGACCGACGAATGTGGTAGATGGCCATGATGATGAAGGGGCTGAATTGGCGCGAGTGTCGTATTTTCGTACCGCCTGGGAGATTCATACGCGTGAGGGACGCTGCGATCACCTCTGTGATAAACATCGGTGGTATATGTGCCTTGGTAATCGCCAGCCTGATTCGGCTCGACACGAGGTAGATCATAGGCGTCATGCACTGGATCATAAGCCGCATGACTGATTGGGCCTCCTTGTGCATAATTCGGGGACTCGGGCGGGGACTGCCTAACATCCGGTGCATCACTAACTGTGTTCGTATTGTAATGAAGACGCGCTAGAAGTTTCATGCCGAAGATGAGTCAAAATTACAACTCAGTGCTCAATGAGCATAAGCAAATAAGACCTACATGAAATGCTGGGTAGGATATTCTGGCGTCTGTCTTCGCTGTGATACGAGTAGCCCGTACGAGGGCGGTTTTGATTATCCATACTTTGGAGAAGGGAGAGGGTGAGGGCAATGTTGGTTGAGGAAAACGACAAGCAGGTCCACAGTTGAACAAGGCACTCAGATATAAAAGGTGCACTTTTCTACGAACAAAGGTGCAACTTAAATATCAAACTTAACGAAAAATCTAGAGCAAAGAAACTCCGATTCTCCAGACCAGCGAGTGCGAAGGCAACACGTCTGGTTCTGGGCAGACCTTCGGAGCGAAGGACGTTGTTGGACGAGGAGGACGTTTCTCGGGATCTCCCCGCTCGGTGCGTTAAATCCACGGCCAGAAAAGGTAAAAGAGGAACCTCGCGCCTGCTGACCACAGCAATCGATGCCTGAGTGAGCTGCGAAAAAAAAGATCTCCGACGAAGTCTATACGTATCCTATTGTGGAGAAGGCGGGTCTAGTAAGTATATGGAAAGGAAATCTCAATGATTAGCGAAGCAAGCACTTGCCAAAGAGTTTCCGCTCTTGGCGGCAGGTCTCGGAAGGTTTGATTTCACTGAACCACCGATCCGTTCTACCGGAATACAGCACTTTAGAAGCGCAAAGGGTGGTGTAGATTATCAGCAGCCCGCGGATGGCTAGCGAATGCGGATTCAAATAGATACGGTGACTATGCCCGGGGTTTTCTTCCGATGTCAGAAGCGTTGCAGTCTTCCTCTGTAAGTCGACAGGGGGTAAGAAGAATTTGAGTGGATGGCTCTCCTTTATGATCGTCTACCGTTGCAGTATGTGATTCCCGGACTCGGGAGAGATATCCAAAACGACCGGAGGCTTTAGACTAGATGGACGTGTAGACTCAAGTTTCAACGCGATACGGCACACTTACGAATACTCGATTGGATCTGAGTCGAGGAAAGCTTGCGGCAATCAGCCATGTGCACGCGTATGTTTCGCTTCATAGAAATTCAAAGGCACTGAGAAAGGGGAGAACCAGGCAATTGTGCGACCTCGTGCTGCGTCTTCGTCTGCTACAGCAGCTACGCGAGCACGTAAAGTCGTAGATTCGTCATCGTAAGTCCAAAGTACCCTTTGCCATTTCATTCCAGCTCTGGGCGGTTACGGCCGATAACCTAATAAGATTGTTGCCGCGTGGACTGACATAATATCCATAGCACGTTGCCTACACCACAGCGAACTTTGAGAAAAAAACCCGAGCATCACCATGGGAAATAGAACCAGGATGGCTCAGCAAGTCAGTCGAGTAGCAGATTCGATAACATGAGGAAAACAGAATAAAGTGAAGCTGTCAGTGGACTCAGGCTCAGAGATTTCAGAAACAAGCAGCGGTGGCAAGGGAACGACAACCCGTGGTAACGAGTGTGGGGAGTCGACTGGCGGCCAATGCAACTCTCCCAGACATGCAATCCCAGCAAGTGCTTGCTGTTGAGGCATTATCCACAACCAACGCCTTCGAGTTCACTCAGCCATACTTAGACACCAAGGCGGAGGGCTTCCGACCGGGGACCGGACATCGAAGTACCTTTTCGGCTTCTTTTCCCGGAGCGGCTCGATGACCAATACGTGACGTGACGGGCTTCCCTAATATAGTAAATTGATCATCAGGCTGGAAATTGAAGTGCGCCCATTCGGGAGTGAGTCGTAGTCGACGCCGACCATGCAGCGCCTCGTTGACGACGAGAGTGGCCGGTCAGCACCTGCGGTACGCTTTCACCTCAATATCCACCATCGGTCGTTTTCTAAGTCTCTGCTTGGCATCAGCTCCAGCCCCAGCTACACCAACAAGAGGACCATTTGACGCAGGAACGCGTCCCATCCACGTCGACTATCTCTGCCATGGCCGTATCCGCTCTGCCTGCTGGTCGTCGAGCATCGTCTCCATCGCCTCGACCAAAATCTCCTACCAACAGGCTTTTCCTACTATCCTCATCCCAACAGTCGGACCTGGCGACCGCAAGCAACCACAGTAAACCCGTGAGCCGGCTCTCTGATGCGTTTGCTAGCTTGGGTGGGCGTGCTCGGACTATCTCGACAGGGTCAGATCCAAAAGCTTCTCGCCCCGGGAAGTCGGTTGAAGCTCACATAGCAGAGACTACACCAGCAGAAAGTTCGTTTGGTATTGGTGAGTCACTTTCTTGCATTGTCACATATACTCTAGCATTGCAAAACCGACGCCCTATAACTCCTTTCGGATGCAACAATTCCACTCTTATATTCATGCCCTCCTCTAGAGGACCAATGAATATTTGAGTTATGTACTTGATGCATGCCATCACACAAAGACTTCCAGTGTCAGGCATCTCTGTTGCTTTCGGTGAATTAAGTTGTGCCTTTCAACCACAAATTAGATTTTACTTTTCATTTAATTAAACCATTTATTATTTCTGCAGCCCACGCGTATCGGTGTTCTCACAGATATTTTATTTTATTTTTTAGACGCGGATCCCTTTGCTAGTCAACCCGGTGGTTCATCAACGCAGATATCTCAGTTGACCAGTGATGCTTCTTCGACCACGACACAGCCTAATTTCAGCAATCAAGCTCAGAGAAGACAACGTGGGAGCCTTCTTTATGCTGCAACGGATGCTTTAGGGCTCGGGCGTGTCGGAGCAACTATCAGCAAGAGGATGGGCAAACGCAGCTCTATTGAACAAAGTAGAACTGCGCCTCCCCCTCAAAACCAGCCCCAGTCGCAATTACGAAGAGGCTTACCATGGAAAGGGAAAGTAAAGCCAAGGGGACATTGGGCGTTACAGCCTCCGTCATCCACGCATATTATATCAGATGTCATCGAAATCAGCGCGGCCAACACCGGTCGAAACACAGTCCGTGATGAGGAAGAAGAGAATGAACGAAGGGAGCGCGATCGACTCCGAGAGGCGGCTGCCGAGTCTATAGGAATTAGCCCTTTGTTCAGAGAAGATGCATCGTCTAGGCTCACGGAGAGTGATGGCATGAACTTTGACGATTCTGCTGAAAACCTATCCAGGGAACAAGAGACAAGCTTGGATACTGATCCAACAGATCGGACACAGAACATAGATAATTTGCAGACCAACGCGAATGGATCTGCGAAGCCAAACGAGAGACAGTCTGGGCTACAGCTGCGACAATCGCGAGAAAGTAGGCACAATCGTAGTTCATCGCTCTCTGGTATTGTTACGCCTACAACACCAAGTTCATCTTCCAATTGGCCTCTCTCGCCTCATGTTCCGCCCGTTATCTCGGGCAACGGAAGGACTCCAAAAGGTTCCGTGACGGCGTCTCTTGTCCAGCCAGAATTCCCTCCTTTTCCATGTCTATTTTCTACATTGAGCCCGTTTACATGCAAGTCTTCGTCATTATTGAAGTTCTTTCCGTCTGCACCGCTACTTATCCGTGGCTTCTCCCGGCAATGGCGTTCACGGACGATTGTGATGACTTCTCCGCCTCATTCAAAGCCTCCGTCATTAAGCGGCTTTCGGTCCATGGCCCCCGATGAAGTGTCGTCCTCCATCTATTATTTGCATCTGTTCAAATCTTCGGGAGCGGATGAGAAGGAACTCGAGAGATTGGAGGTGAATGAGAGCTCGGTGGTTTTTGTAGCCGAAGAAGAGGTCGCTGGCAAGCGCTCGGTCGTCAAAGTTGGTGGTATGGATGCCGGGGGAAAGAAGAAGGAAGTCAACGTGGAAGAGGCTTGTCAGACCATGTGGCTCCTTTCTATTGCTGATATGGATGAAGCACAGACTTGGATAACGACATTGAAAAACGCCGTGTTGGACCAAAGGTATGTTTTAATATTAGAAATAGTCATGGAGAGCTTCGAGGAAGCAGTCTCTCCTCATATAGTCTTTGTCACGAGGCTGTAGCTTACTCTTTTTTCTCTTAGAGCGGAAAAGGCAGGAATCGCCAAGGCAACTCAGCCGTCAGCGCCCGGTCCAAAGGGAGATTTAGACGTCATGCTTACTTTGCGTGCACAAGAAGTTGCTTCCACTGTTCGTCAGCATGCTCAAAGGTCGTCGAAAACACTGCACGAAGAAATACGCGCTCGCAACTCTGAAAGTCCTGCTCCAACCGTTAAGTCTTGGTCTGGCGAGACAAGACCTTCGTCGCCATCTGGACGAATGATGTCTTTGAAAAGCTTATTCTCAGTTCCGGGACGTTCTCGATCTTTGTCACATGGCACGAATCGAAGTGAGGACTCCCCGACGACGCCGGTGGATCCCCCATCGTTCACTTCTCGCGGGACAACGCTCCTAGACATGATCCGGCCTATGAGCGGAAATAGCACGACTGGGATAGCGGAGGCAGACTCGAAGTCGGCGCCATCGTCTCCAATTACTACCAGCCAGAATCTGCCCGTACCCATCGCATACCCGGGACCAATCTTATCTGCAGCGGAAATGAACTTGGACAGAGTAAGCTTGAAGGAGCGCGATCGAGAGATGCCAGAATGGTACACCCTTCAAAGTCGACAACGTGATAGGGGTGACTCTTTGACTTCCTTCAACACAGGGTCAGCTCTTCTTCCCCCACCACGTAACAAACGACCATGGACTTCCGCCGGCTTTCTCACTAATACTACAAAGCGTGAGCAACAAACAATCGATAACAGCCCCCCTTCTCGGAGGTCATTCCAGAGCACTGTATCGTTACGTGGAGCAAGGTTGAGCTTAGATGGAAAGACAAACCCACCTTCCGTTGATTCTAATGCTACTGCAACCGGTGCTGTTGGACTCGGGGCTCCGGAACTTGGATCGAAACGCGCTTCGTTATCCTCGTCTGTTTCGTCCTTTGTCAGCGCACCACCCGATCGGGACCCGCTTGCGGGACGAAGTTCTTCTACTATTCAACGTCGTATTAGAGCAGGGAAAATTCCTAAGATGTTAACACCACCAGCGGGTCCACCCCCTTCTGTACCAACGGATCAAATTCAACCGACACGTCCGAGTTTCTCATCAGGAGAACCTAATGCTGAGATACCTGGGGATCAGGCTCCGAGCCGGTCGTCTTCTTTGCGCAGCGCTACCAATTCCGATACCGTTCAGAATGGAATGATACCGACTGGTAGACGTCTTTCAACGTCATCTGCGCTTAGCTCTGGTTCAGTGGATGCATCGCAAGCACGTGGAGGCAGCTTTAGTTCTGTACGAAGGTCTTCAAACAGTCTGTCCCCGAAGCGTACATCAGTCCCCCCGCCTCAACGGCCTGCGCCGACCTGTGCACCTCCGCCAACCCCGCTGGAAGTAGTCAATAACTCAAAGGAAAATGGAGTCACGCCCAGACGTGCTTCTTTCCGTGAATCACTTTCACCCAGATCTCTTCGATTTTCTTTGAGTCCGCAATCCTCAAAGGATGGTTCTCATCCTGATGATGCTCTTCGACGTCGCAGTCTCAGCAATGGAAGTTCAGTACCAAACGGTGCATCATCCCATACAATACTAGCACCACCTGCGCCACCTCCCACCGGTCCTCTTCCCCCAACGCCGCGCGATCCTGTTCCCAACAGGTACTCAATTAGAGAGCGTTTGAGGATGAGAAGTGCTCCTTCTCCGCCACTTGGATTACGTCGAGGAGCAGGCGGACCACCAACTACCTTACCAGGCTCTCCCCCATTGGTTACCGTTTCATCTGTTGCGTCTTTGAAGGAGAGCACACACTCAATACCCATAGGAGAGCCTATTACAGAGATACCTAAAGACCTAAACTTTCTCAATATGTCTTCACCAGTCGATTCTTCGTCCGCCTCAACAGAAGATGCGGACTTTTTAAATGTATCTACCCCACATACGGCAAGTTTCCCGAAACAGATACCTGGAAGATCCTCGGAGCTTGCCCGGCCGGAACATCCGAATGGTTCGCCTCCAACGCCGGAAATGACGGCTTTGCCACCTCCTCCCCGCCGGGGTAGAAATGGCACCATTTCGGAGAAGGATAGGGACCGCAGTTCTCCGTCCGTCATAAATAGCGTGGAACCGACTACCGTGGATGGCATATTGCCCAATAACATACCGCTTGAGACTGTCACAACGATTTAATCTTATTTTTGGAAGGATTCTTGTAATTTGCTATGCATGTTGTTTGTTCGTCGTTATTTAGGAGGTTATTCTTGGTTTTGAGTTCATGTTGTAATAGTATCATTGTTAGCATTATTATGGATACATAAAATGATTGCACAAGAAACAACGATCGAAACGAGAAACGAAAACAAAATCGATCATGCAAAGCTATTTTCGACATCCGCGCTGTCATCTCCAGTTTCCATATTAGCGAACTAAGATAGGTCATTATCATGAGAAAGCTGACCATAGTACAGACACTAAAGATACTCACAGTCAAGAAAGCCGCGGGACGATGCTGTTCAGCCCAGAACTGGAGTGGCGTGTCCAAAGTCATACTATACGGCAGATTTGACGACCAGAGTTGAGTGAGCCCAATCCCGTAATTCCAAACTTTCCCCTCGGGAACTAAGGTCATGCCCAATACACGGTCCGACAGAAGCAATTGAACACGCTCAGACATATTGGGGTTGAACCCCTAAACACTTCATTAACTTATGCTTGCGGTTGAAAGATTAAATCTACTTACCGGAGGGTTGGGTGAAGTATCAGCGTTCTTTCGGCCCCATTCAAACCCGGGTACAGTCAACGAGTGCGCAGATAACGATACGGAGCCTGGAGTGAACGAGCACATAATGCAAATAGAGGACGGACCCCATTCCGGATGGTCCGCCATCAACTTGGCTTGCGTCGTCACGTCTGTCGGGGATAAGTGAGGTAGTTCTAGTGCCTGGGTCTTAATCCAGCCTAATGGCTCGAGGTCTTTCAGGAGGAAATCATCCCTCGGCAGCTGAGAAGGTAGCTCCACCGAATTGTTATTGCCGCGTTGCGGAATCCATGCGACCGCTTTAATCTCTTTAACCTGCTTGTTGTCGGGAGGTGAAGTTCCATAAAGGAATGCAGCCACTTGCGTTCGTAAGTCTGCGGATATGACGAATGCCCTAAGAACGTTCTTCGGTATGACATAAGTGAACGAGGCTGCATCGTCCTTCACGTCGTCGTTTGACACATAGATATGCTGCAAGCGGAGGGGAAGGTGCGTCGCGGAGATAGCACGTACGCGCCAATCGGACTTGCTTGAGAAGACCTGCTGTTCGTAGTTGGTCGCTGAGAAAGGAAATCATAAGTAAACGCCAAAGATCGATAGTAATTTTTACTCACTAGTAACTGTCTGGATCGTATCACCATGGATATTGGTAGTTTTTCTGTGCCAAAGTATTCATCATCAAAGTTAATCTTACATTTTATTTATTTATTTCTTACGTTTGAACAGCAGTGACCTGGGCTTGAGCCTCCGTACTCTTCTCAAGCTCGGCCATTTGCTGACGTTGGACAGATGGAGCAGCGATCTCTTGACCAAGAATGATGTCTCGAATTTCACTAGCAGTTAAGGAAGCAATGTTTACACTATTCCGTTTGCCGAAGTCCTTAATACAAACGTGTTAGACACTAGGAGGTAGCACATTGGAAGGATAAAGAAACTTACTGCGAGGATAAGGTCCTTCAAAGCAACTTCGACCTTGATCCAATCATCGTCGGATAGTGTGGGCCAAACGAAGTGAGGTTCAGTTATCGTCGACTTATCGGGACGTAAGATAATTTTCGCTCTCTCGTTATTGACGTGTAAGCCACGCAAGAGGAGAATAAGACGCGAGAATGCTGTGTAACTCGAGATAGACTTGAGCCAGTCATCTTTAATAAACATTAGGAGATCAGCTCAATGAAGGAAGGCTGAGTCACGTACCATATAGGTTGAACAGAACCATCTGCGGTTGGGTTGCACGCTGCAAGAAGAGGTCAAATTATAATTCATTACAAAAGGACAACAATAACTCACAAGAATGAGATCACCAAATTTCTCCATCTTCATGCAAGCCTGGAAGGGTAATTGCAACTCACTTCCCTTTATGACGATGTTGGGAAAGTCAAGAAGATGGACCTCCAGAGGATCTATACAAAAAAGGACAGGTGAGCGACATTGCACCAACCTGGTACGCAAATGATATTCATACCCAACATTCCCTTTCGGGTAACAATCACTTGCTTTGGCTGCTCTTCGACGGGGAGTGAACGGACCAAAGCAGCAACTTCTTCAGCCGTCTTCCATTTCGCGAGCTGTCCCAAACGTTTCTGGCCAGCCCAGACACTCGTGTGGATGATCTTCAAGAAGAGCTGTCCTGAACGCGGGTTGAAGATGAAGATGGCACCGTCTACGGTTTAGGTATAAGTAACGGTAATAGAGCTCAGCGCAACATTCAAGACGTACTGATCTGGAGAAAAGGAGGTATAGAATAAGTATTGAGCCGGCCTGTTCACGGGAAAGTTACTTACTGGTTTAGTGGTCAAGTTACCCTCGAACGTCTTGTGACTATAATATCTGTATTAGCAGGGGAACAAGACGGAACAGAAGAAACGGCTAACATTGTAACACGGTAGACGTTCGTATCATCGACGAACCCTGCATAAGGAAGTGATTAGCAACAACTCGGAACTCAGTTTAATGGGAAAACGCACAAATGATCTGGTTTGAGAATAGCTCAGAGTAGTTCTGGCTATTCAGGTAAGGTTCCGTCGGTTCAGACGAATAGAGCTGCAAGCCCTTTCGTATACGCTCCCGAAGGACATGGCAGGCGGGGTTAGCTTTCATGATCTTGCTCATAGCTTGCTGGATTAATGGTTTCATTCCAGGGAACCAGTTGCCATACGCAGACCATAAGTTGTACGCAAGGTCCATGCCAATCATCACACCCGTCGGTGAAGGATAAATACTCATTGAGTCCGATACCTAAGAATCATTTATCAGACATGTCAAGTCTTATTACTAGTAAAGAACTTACATAGTCCAAGAACTTCGCACGCGTATATCGTTCAATGTCGTGAGAGTCGAAGTCACCCCAACGAAGCTGGACATCAATCCAATACTTGTTGCTTGTTGTTCCATCAAGCACGTCCTTGTTCTGAAAATAAAGTCAGCAATGAACTTGGACACGGGAAGGATGATTTAAGCTCACGTCAGTGACTAGGGATGGACGGGAGATGTTCCACTGAGTAATATAAAGTTAGCAAGGGCTTCTTACTAAGAGACAATATATTTACCTTGTACGCGGAGAAAAGCAGGATGTCCGCACAAGACCTTGTGATGAAATTCAATAACTAATCTATAGAGATATGGAATGAATAACTCACGAGTTCATCTTATAACTCTTACGAGGGTGGATCGTCTCTTTCTGGACCGTCTCAATCTGCAATGGCTCAAGCTCCTGATCGAACACCTGACATAAGTCCATCACGACACTCTCATGAATCTTCTGCCACAAGTGGGCACGGAAGATTTGAATGAGGGAAATCTTCAACGTCGGGATCTTTCCGTGCATGAAGATACCCGTTAGATCCAACTGTACTTGGAAACCGACGTAAACGTTTGCACGGTTGATAGTTGGACTCCACCACAACGTGAATCGACGATTTGGAATCTGATTCAGACCAGATCGCTGAGCGTTCGTGAGCTTCTTGTACCTCATCGACTCCTCGAACCCGGACGCTTTCTCCCAGAACAGACCCTCCCACGTTGGGAAGTACGTGCCCTTGAAGAGCGTATGCTCAAGGATTCCTTCCACACCTCCCAGTGCAGCGATGACGTCCACTCGGTAGTTGTTCAACTGCCATAACTTGCCATCATGCCGTTGAGATGTCCACCAGAACGGATTACTACAAGATCCGTCAGAATAACATTTCATAAAGCAAAGTTATAAAGCTTACTGTTTGAGAAGCTGATACTGCTTCCAGTCTGTTCGTACACGCCAACCGCGGTCATACGCAAGACTGTATGCAAGTCATTAAGTAAATCTCCGCTATCGATCTGTGTAGGATAAACTTACGTGTGACGATCCTTCTGGAACAATGTGTTGATACGAGGGATACCTCGATCCCAGCTATCTTCCAAGTCTTCCAAAGTCAAACGGCGATTCTGAGCATTTGCCTCCTTCCTCTTCATCGAATACTCAGACCAGACACGAGCTGAATCCAGAAACTCAGCTTCCCAAGGTTGGAGGTAACGATACAGGTTAGGAATAAGCTGGTCTTCTTCATGTGTCATACCAGCCCGGAAGTGAGTAACTGTATACAGGATGTTAGTTAAGAGACAGATAGGAACAACCGGGTAGATAGGATAAAGCGTACCTCCTACATCTGTTTGCTTGGACCATCGAAGGTCGCTCTGCGGAATTAATACGTGACCCATAGACAACATTCCGAGTCCACCGAGTTCCTTCATAAAGGTTCAGCAAATGACACTAGAATGTCAGGTTAATGGATTTACCTTCGGAGTATAGAAGACCACTGGAGGGAAACGCGAAGGCATCTTACTGTTCAAGCCGATCTTAACACGAGTTTGAATCTTATTCTCAGCCTTCACTAGCGCATCGAGTAGCTCATTAGTATGAATGACCGCCTCTCGGTAATAAGTCATCAAGCCAATAATAGCGGTGTTCCACTTGTTCACGATCTTGGAGAACGTAGTTGATCCAGAGCTCATAAGAACTTGTCGAATGCGGTTATTGAATTGCTGTACCCCTGTCATGAATTGTTAGATTAGAATCATAACCATGTAGAAGTACGAATAATTACCTTCATCAGATACACGAAGGAAAGCCTGAGCAGTACGTTCCTTCGTCTGCTCATTCGTCAAATTCCAAACTCCGTCCTTAAGCGAGAATTGCTCGCCGCTCATTGTGCGGATCTTCGGTAAAATGCGAACCTCAAAACCGCTCATAGAGAACAGCAATTGAGGGTTCTCTTTGGAGTAGACGCTAACGAATGTGTCCTCCCATTCAATTGTTGTTAACGAGCGAGGTAAACTCTGCTTAACGTTCCAGAACACAGCCCTTCCCAGGTTGACATCGTGCTTAATCAAACGCATCCGACAGTCACGCGGCCAACACCTCTTGTTATTGTACCCGATAACGTTGTTGTTGGTTGGATCGGGGTTTGCGCTGAGGTACCGTTGAATGAGATCGCGAGCTTCTTCCGCGGTAAACCTGAATAAGATATGTAACCGGTCGACATAACGCGAATAGAGACGGACTGGATGCCGCGTCTCGGTTGCAGAATCGCGGTATTGCAAGAAATTATTTGGCATCTGCGGAGGACCGGCCATCTCGCTCGCGCGTTGCAAGCCCAGGATCAAGAGATCGAGCACGAGACCCCAATATTGGAAGACGAAGGCAGAGAACTGCAGACCACGAATCATACCATACGCATTCGTGTGCGCCATGTCTTTGTAGGTGAGAACGCAGTTGTTCTTCGCCGTGATATAATCCGCGAGATTGTGATCGAGAATCAGACGAAGTAGACGGTTGAGAAGCGTCAAGTCGATCTTCTCGTATACCTTTGACAAAACGGTCTCCATCATCACAACGCATTCACCTTCGCTCGTCTCCCAAATGTCGGTCAAATTGTTAATACCTTGGCACCACTTATAAACGAGAAGCGGAGGGGGCTCGGTGTCTGCTGGCTTGATCCATGCTGGGAACAGTCCACGCTTGTCGGCCTCAAAGAACAGGAATTGGTCAAGATACGCGTCTGTAATCTTCTCCACGGGTTCAATGTCGTAGCACGGAATAAGTTTGTCGTAGGTGTCGAAGAACTCGATGCCTGCTTCTTTGAATGCTCGCTGGGTCAGGAGGAGTCGCTTGATACGAGATAAGCCTATATGCAAATCAGTCAACTGTAGCAAGAAGTCAAACGTCAGGTCGTGACGCACATTCATGTGGGTTGTCATAGGCCTGCTCGATGAGAGCAAGCTCTTCACGCTGGGACTGATTAAGGCGACCCTTGACACTGTACGCTTCTTTCAATTTTTCAAGAGCCAGGACCAATAGCTTCGTATCATGTTTATACGAAAGGGGTCTGTCAAAATGAATTAGTATGTCATAACATCAAAGTACAATACATAACGACGTACGGGAACGGGATAGGCGCGAACTTTCGGCTCTCCAACCAATGCACCGTAGACGTATAGATGGCAACAGCTTCCTCGGCACTGATATACGGACCATCCTTCATGTACGCGTGCTGACGTTCTTGTTCAGCCTTCAGGTAGAGCCGGGTAAGACGACCCAAGTTCTTCTTCACTACTGCCTTGTCTACAGTCGCACCACGCCTAATCCGCTCGCGGTTGTAATGGGCAACCGAGCACCACCAGTCAGCCTTGCTCTTGATGTAACGCAGTATGATGTTCTCGATTGCCGTCGGCATACCAGGGACTTTCCAAGGAACTACAATATGCTGATCAGTAGACGTGTTTCATCATCAGTAAGTACACGTACTGTTTGCCTTCCAGCAACGCCAAGCTTCCGACAAGTGCTGCAAGATAGTCTTCGCCTTGTTCTGTTTGATCGACTCTGGCATCATATCCAGAATGTCGTGCATTACAGCAGCACGTAGCTCCAAATCGTAATGCGATTCAACACGTTGCTTCGTAACCGTCTTTGCAATCCCCTTGCTGTTACGACCCTCGAACTGACGAGCAAGCAGATTGCCTAGCCAATGCTCGAGAAGCGGTACAATGCCACGCATGAAGAACAACCAGACTCGCCAACCAGGTGCCCAGAAACCACAACCTGGACCTTTACCGACTGGACCAGTATTGAAGCGGTAGTAAATCAAATGCTTGAGATCTTTACACATTCGGACCTGACGCATGAGCTTGTACTTGTAACGGTACATCCCAGTGAGCGCGCCAATGTGTGCGAAGATGTATTGCAATGCATCTGCTAGTTGGAACGCGTCGACGTTTCCTAGTCGGAACTGGACATGCGCATCGACAACAAGCTTCGTAAGACGCAAGATTTCTCTGCACAAGTGGAACGCATTTCCGAAACGAGACTTCTTGCGTTCCTTCGTCGTGAGCGTCTTCACTGGTTTCAAGTTCATGTTGTAATCCAAGTGCAGGTAGTTCAAGTTCTAGAGGGAGTATGAATAAGCCATCTCAAGAAACAAGAGTAAATTTTCGTAGCACTTTACCTTGCGATGGATGAGCAAGTTCAACATGTTATAACCTTGTCTGCACACTTGCAAACCAGCTTCAACCCAGTCAAGCCGCGTAGTCTGGAAGAACTTAGTGGCCTTCAGCTGACGGAACAAGTTCTTCTTCGTCATCGGCTTCTCTGGCCTCGTCTTCAGCTCGTTGAGAACGAAACACTTGAGCAGTTTCTGGTACGAGACGCGAACTTTCACAGGTTGATTTGGTGGGCAGTGCTCCAAGTACCAATTCTTCACCAACGGAATATCCTGCGCGCGACGCATATGCCCCGAACGCCTGTTATAAGGTGCTGGTGCCCACCACAAAGCAATACCATCCGCAGTACTCTCATTCTCTAGGTCTTTGTCCGTGAGGAACGGCTCGAGCTCATCCGGAAGCTCAAATTCATCGTCATCATCCGCGCCATTGGGACCAAAAATCTCGTCCTCGTGAGAAACGAGGGGTGCATTCTTCGGTTGGAAGCCACGAGAAGAAATAGGGTTAATAAGCGGGTCGAAGTAGAAGGCAGGCAAGTCAGGGTCGTCCGTTCGAATGTAAACGTTCTTCGGCGTGTGATACGGAGAGATTTGCACGGAACGCGGCAGAGAATTGTAAAGATGCGGAAAGGCAACTTTATATTCCGTCCGGATCTGTTGACGAATAATGATCTTATTAATGTCGTTGAACTCGTTCCAATCTTCGTCAAATGAGTCCATGTCTCTATACAAAGGTTCAAACTTCGGACCGCCAGGAATGGCCAAGTTGAGCGCCTTTGCGGTGAAGAACGACTTCTTGTCGAATAAGTAGCTCGAGTTATCGTCGGTGTGGTCCGAAAGAAGTGTACGTCCAAGCCGATACAAGTTGGCCGAGATGGGGAGCGTTATTGACCAGTACTTGTATGAAGGTCCGTTCACGTGAGGTGTGTCAATCAACGGCTTTGGATCATAGAACCAATCAATAATAGCGCTGTCTTCCTCCTCATCCAAGTCTAGCTGAATTGCTTCTAAGGGCTCGACATCCAGTACGTTATCTCCATAGTCGAGGGGAGGTTCCTCGTCATCAAAGGGCGGGAAGCGCATACGCTTGAAGTGTCGACGGTCGCGCTTTTCGCGACGCATGGCAAGCCACATACTACTCCACTGCGCATGATACACAGGCTCGATGACACGAGGAATTTCATTGACAAAAGTGATCGCACCCGTGATGTGGTAAAGAACAGGCACTTCTCGGACTTGCTCCCAAGGATATGGGATGTTCTCAAGCAACTTCATGACGGCATGCGGTATATACTTGAGCGCACCGAGGTGTACACGTTTGTCATTGCGGAATTTTCGATTGCTCATGTCTCCATGATCTTTTATGATTTTGCGAACATGTTCGGGCGGAAGATCCTATAACAAACGCAAAACATGTCACATTAGCGCCTCGAGTTTTAACAGCTCGGCAGCATTATAGTTACGCACCTGCTTCCCAGTATCAATAAATCCACCCTTGCGCTTCTCACCATAGCGCTTGTTCTGCATCTGAATCCATTTGTGAGATTTTTGCGCGAGCACCTCTGGAGGCATTCGCGAGCTCGACGGTTCGCCAGCAGACGTTGCAGGCATTCCCGGAGGAGGGGGAGGCATCCCAGGTGGAGGTGCCGGCATGCCTGGAGGCGGCGGTGGGAAAGATGGTCTGCTCATTGTCGCCGACAACGTCGTCGAAGATGGTTGCAGCGAACAAGACAGAAAGAGTGCTCGCTCAGCAATACGAGTGCTGTCACAAGCGTTACTGCAATCACGTCACAGCGCTTGAACCTTGACGCGTCAGTCACGTTCTCTCTAATCACTCGTGCTACACCGCTAGGGCTCGTCGCTGACGACGTCGCCAACAGAATGGCTATCATGGACGAAAATTATGAACGAGATTTGATGAAATTATGGACGCTGGTCGGAGACCTCAGCGAACAGCTTTCTCAAACCAAGGGGCTTGCCGATACGCTTCGCTCGCATTCCATGATCCTAAAGGCTCGTGTGCAGTCCAGCGACATTTTCCATATTTTATTGATTACCAATTGTCCATACAGGCTCAAGCCCTACATACAGAGACAGGATTCGTTCTTCGGCGGTAAGTTGGTCGCAACCAATGCCTTTGAGTTGTGATGAGCTAATATATTTTCAGGTTTAATCTCCACCTTTCACAAGGTCTGCTTAAGGCTCATATCTCTTTTTAATAGAAGCTGACAATAGACCAGAGGAATATGATGCAGAGCTGGAACGTATGAACAGCTCGTTGTCTCAAGAAAATCAAGGTCTACAATACGATAACAAGCAACTCAACTCGCTCTTAAAAGAGTATGAACAAACGCTTGATCAAGTCATGTCTACGTTCCGCAAGCACGCGGTAAGATTCTCGCCGGACAGAATAAAGAAAATATGTTCTCAACCTTGACGAATCTAGCATGACGTTCAACTCCGAGAGCTCGAGACCATTAAACTCTACGAGCAACTACTTATCGCTTCAGAGTCAGGATCGCTGGATACGCAACTCGCAGCAGATACTTCCGTTTCCGTCCTCATTGCAAAATGTTCTCGCCTGCTCCGTATGGTTCTACGACTAATGGGCGGCGAAGAGCCCACCCCTCCATCACTACCATCACCACCTCCTTCCGCTATTCCCAGTGACGATTCTTCATCTTACGATAAAGTCGAGACTCGCTGTGCGCCCGAGCTCGCAGACTCCATCTCACAGGATTGGGCTCTAGAAAGGGAGATCGAACTCTCCAGACTCGAGCAAGAAAACGCCGAGCTCCGCATGTTATTGCAAGCTGCAGACGCCGCGGCAGCACCCTCCACCCTTCCTCCCTCTTTACCAAAAGTCCCCGTTTCCGCGATCCGCTCGCTTATGCCTCGCCGTACACGTCTACGTGGGAATAACAGCTTCAGTTCCGAATCCTCTGTAGGCGAGTTCCGAGTAGGTCAATATGGTCATGGAGAACATCAAGGGTTACTTGACATGTCGGAAGAAGTTCTGTGAGGAAATCTCGATATAAGGCTGGCCTTACTTGCTTCGCGTTTTGTTTGCTTTGTAAATGCTATTGTATTTTATGTGTATTGTCTTGGATCATTGCTAATGTACTGGACTAGATTCAACGTAAAGCTGTAAGATGGTGAGTCCTGCACTCCTGTGGGGAATGTTACTTGAACTCACTTCGACGGTACTCCATTCTGTGCCATACTGTTACCAAAAGTATGCACATATCAGTTCACGTCATGTTGTTGAACCCAAGACAATCTACACACCCAAGCGTAATATCCGCCTCAAGGACATCCAGCTCCGGGAGCAAAAGTATTTCGACAGTCGAAAGCACCCCTACGGTCAGCGTGACATTCGATATAGTCCCGCTATTTGCTGTCCCCCCGGCAGGAATGACAAAGTTGTTGAACGTATGGTCGAAAGATAGAATAGGAATGAGGCCAAGAACTCCGAGCTGTGCATTCATGTGTGAGATAGTCACTGGTGATGACGCTGTATTCATCACTAAATGTATAGTGATGGTAAGATTGAGTGACTAGGAGACGTGCAAAGAGGAGATGGTTACTGGTGAAGTTTAACCTAAGAAAATAGGAGTAAGTGACGTTCTTTTTGAAATCTCCTAGAAATGATGTACTAACGAGGCTTGATTTTGAGTAATCGATTGAGACTGTCATAGCCTTAAGTATTCAAATTAGTCACAAAAGATGACCTACGCACGGTCAAGGCAACGCTAACATGCTGAAACTGCAATCCGATCTGTGCGAACACCAATGTAGCAAAAGCGAGAGTGGACAGGATGGACAGGAAGGGCAGAGGTGATAATAGCCTCATCTTTTCGTAGTCCACTCGTGTAATCCTATCTTCGCCGCTATATGTGCGGCTATGTGGGCTTCTTACAGGTGCGTCAACATCGGGAGCTTCAGGACGTGCCGTGTACCTGAATTCCCCATTCTATCGATCTTGGGTTCAGGCGGCTTGATGTGGTACTGTGCCTCAATGTCAAAGTCTTCCCTTGGGCCGTCTTTTCTCAGCTTTGGACCACGAGGAACTCAGGTTCTCTTCATCAAACAAGGTTCCAGCTTTCATCAGTCAAACGCCCGGTACACGCAATTACCGAGAGCCGGTACCTCGAACCTATTTGTACTACATATTTGTTCGTATACTATCGATCAACGAATCATCTCGGGTCTCATAGTTCAAGCTTTCCCTAATCGCTCCAAAGTTCTCATACGACATTGAACGACACACTGCAAGTACACATTCTCAAATCGTCAGCCCTAGTTCGGCGAAGATTATGGACACTGGAAATCTAACTTTGTCGGTACGTCCAGCTCGGTGGCAGGCAACGTAATTGGGATACCGCCTGTCCCATTCACTGTTAGAACACTACCGCAGTCGACTATCAGCATATCATCTCCTCCAAGTCTCTGGTAGTACCAATGGCTATGAGGAGTGACGCACCGTAGACTATAAGACGCCTGCATCATATCGAACTCCGTGTCCGAAAGAACGTTGAGCGTTCCCAGTCCACCTTGATTTAGAACGACATTTTGCACAGTTCCGCTATTCGCAGAACTCAACCCCGGAAGAACGAAGTTCGTAAAAGTCTGGTTGAAGCTGAAGAACGGCGTCCCATTCGTGCCGAGTTCAGCACTTATTTGATCGATCGTTAGCTCGACGAGAGGAAGAGGGCTAAGAGCTTTATCATATGAAAGTGTCAGACATGGTGAAAGAAACCAGAGGGTAAGGCTTGCCATCAAAGTTCAGTCTATAATATATGCATCTTTTAGATCTTCGTACAACCATCCAGGCATAGGATTGCTTACGTTGCTGTATTTAGAAGTAAGGAAAGTGTCTACGGTAGCTCCCTCGTCAGAGCAGATCAACAGAAAGCAACTGATCTCCCGACTTACGGAGAGCGAGATATCAAAGTGTGTAATTTGGATCCCAGGACTCAGCAGAAGGTTTAAAATCGCAGCCGGAATATCCCCAATACCAGCGTCAGCAGAAGGAGAGGCAGTAATAGCAGTCTGGCACTGGAAGGCAGCAGATAGCAAGCAGAAAGAAAGAAACCTGAACTTCATGATCTGAACAAGAAAGCGTCAAAGCCAAAACCGACGGAATCGGCTAAGGCTGAGGTCTATTTATCTACGATCAATTTCATCTCTGATTGCCATCCTACTCTAAGCTACAGCGGAGATACAATGTACGTAGCATTCCGGCACGGGAGTTAACGACTGGGACGATCTGGACTCGTTCATAAGAATTGGGAAAGTGGAGCCTGGGCGAGATCAAGCATCCCGGAGCAAATTGTTATTATTGATCCAGTGCGTAGACATGACATGTACCAGGATAATGGCGTTCGTTCAGGCCCACGATGTCAAGAGAACATGGCACGCAACAAGAAAGGAACCTTCTACTCGCTGTAACACCGCAGCGAAGATCCGAAGGATAAGACGAGAGTCCCAAAAGCAGTTGACAGATCACAGCGAACGTCCAGTTCCTACACGAAAAGGGTAAGACGCCCCGGACTGCTCTGAGTGAGCACGTCATAAGAAGTGCCATTGATACTTGAGATGATCAAGAACACGCGATACCACGCGCATTGCAGCCTAGAAGCTCCATCCAGGCCGGCCAAACACCATCTTCTTCACACCCGACCTCCATCCCGTTGTCCTTCAAAATGAAATATTCCCTTCTCGGTGTCTGGACGACCGCGAGGGCGCGGTGCAGGTATCGCGGCTTCGGTCCACTCGTCGTGAAATGAACGCTTTCAACTAAGTGATGTCTGCTCTTCCAATTAGTCTGCATTGATGGTAAGGTACGATACCAAGAACATACTCTGGGAGAAACAGGTTAACCTTTTGTGCTTCTCTCTTGCGCAGAAGAGACGTCGGCCCTGGCTCTACTCCTGATGCCGTGCCTGCAAATACCTGAGCCATAAGACTGGATGACATCCATTGTCCGCTGATACTGACAAAGATGAAATTCTGGACAGGTATTCCCACATAGAGAAGGGCAGCGTGCATACCTGTTTCCCACCACGCAAGCCAACACATACCGTTCGGCAACCCTCTTCTTATACGCACCGATGGCTCCTTCCTTAGCGATTTTCGAAAGCCAAAGTTTGCTTATCCCCTTCTTGTACTCTTCGGCGTTTGTCCACTTTATGTAATTTAGTAAAGGAGGACAGTCGACATTTGAGATACAGTTCTCCACATAATCGGACCAGTCGCCGCGAAGATGACGTTTCTGACACTGCCATAGTCCAGACTCATCTGATTCACAAGAGGGCTGAATTCCAGAAACCGGTGGGAGGCCGATGACTTCACAGGTAGACTCAAGCACATAGAATGTTTGAATAAAGCCGTTCGGGCATGACTTCCTGCGTGTAGCAAGTGAAATGCTCCAGATCTCGTCCTTGACAACTTCCTGAGCTCCAACGACAATCGAGTTCTTCGCTTTATCGCGGTCAAGTTCATCGAGCATGATAATAAACCAGATACGGGCCAGTAAGAATCTGCAGAAAGCGTAAGTTTGTATTAAGCCTTTAATAATGGGTCGCGACACCTTAGAGCCATAGTAAGCTGTTTGTCATTTTCAGGGCAACCCCAGATCTCGCTACTTATAGGTATGAAGCCATCAAAGAATTTTCCGAGGAGGGACGCTTCACAGGCTCGTCTCTTGTGAAGTAGGTCGCGTCGAAACTGGTTTAGGTATGGCCAAAAGTTCGTCATTGACATGCTGTATCGGTTGGAGAGCTGATCAAGTCGCCGAGAACCAAATTCCCTCATAATGATCGGAACAGCCGAAAGGTAAACTGGGAAAAGATGCTCAATTCAGCAGTATGGAAGACGTGAACTTACGAACCTGCATAACGAACTTCCCGCGAGACGAGCGCACATGCTTTGCGATCCCCGTCCGATAGCCCACTGAGAATGACAGACCAAGCGTTAACACGCTTCCTTTGTAACAAGGATGGTGGAATAGAGATAGGAGAGAAGGAACTAGGCGGAGGCAAAGGCTGGGCTGAGCTGAAGTCGAGATATAACAGATGGTCGATAGTCATTTTATGCTCTGAGCCTGCGTGTACGTCAGGGTCTGATGGTCTAGATCCATGTCGGAGGCGAGGAACAAGAGGGCGGAATCGAACCGGTGTCATGTTTGAAGCCTTAGATGAAGGGTCCGCCGCAGTTTCCCGACCTTGCTTAGCGACAACGTTTGAGCTCGATACATGTGGTGAGATGCCGGAGTCTGCGAAACCGGATTTTCCATTAGGAACGTAAGGGGAGCGAGTAGCAGACGAAGTCTTCTGCTCTAGCAAGTTCGTAACTGTCTTCTTTCCCAATTTTTGTTTCTTCCGAAGAGATGCAGCTGTTGTCTTCGTAGACTCGTCGGAAAGTCTCTTTGATCCAGTCTTTTCAATTTGTTTGGCCAGTATTGGTCCTGTTACGGATGTTAGCGGTACAGGAGCTGGAGGCTCTACAGTTGCTGGGATCACCGCAGATGGAAGAGAGGCTCCGTTTTGAACTACGGAACTGTTTCCATCGAGCAACGCAGGAAACCTGGGGCTGCTTGTATGCTGAGTGGAGATGGAATTTAGGGTCTCTGCCGCGATAGGCGTGTTCCCATATTGAGCGAGTTTTTCTAGTAGAGCAGCTTTTCCAAGCTTTGAATACCCAGTCAATTTCAGTTCTTTGCAACGTGCTTTTAGCTGAGGGACAGTGAGCTTCGAGTAGTCAGCAGTCGTCGTGGTTGAGTCCGTCATGATGAAAAGAATAGTCTTAGACCTAGTATAAGCTAGCTAGGTAGATATGTCCAGCCCAGATTGGCTGAGTAAACAGCATTTAGACAGGAACGAATAAGCGTTGATGAACGACTTATAGATAGAGCAGACGCGCCAGTAGTGGTTAGCAGAAGAAAGGTGAGAGAGATCACGGCGCGTTTCGGTCAACGCGTCAATGCTCTTCCTGATCTTCACCTCCAGCACAACTGCAGCACAATATCGGACCATTAAGCACTAGAGAATATAGAACAAACTTCAGGAAAATCTAAATGTATGTGTATGTCCTTGAATATGTGTCGAACAACTGCTCATGTATTGGCGCGTCTCCCCTCCATTGGTCGTCTGTTTCTGGTCTATTGTTACTTAAACATACGGAATAATGCGATGTTTGCGATCTCATAACTAGGCCACCGAAGGGTTCCGGAAAACGCAAAGGCGGTGCAACTCCCGCTGTTAGTACACCAGCAGATGTATCGGCGCCTCAAACTCCTGTACGTCCCAACCATTCACTATTCATCGGCCAGCAGTCAATCTCACGCATCTCCGCGCGTATACCTCTAGACCCTCGCAGAATCCCTCTCCTACCTATCCTACCCCCGTCCCTTCAAAAATCCAAGCTACACAAAGAATGCGGCACGGCGAACACGTACTCTCAAGTCGGTACTATCGCAAGAACGAGAACGAGAACGACAGGATCGCGAACGGAGACGAGCTGAGAGGGAGGCAGCGCTTACTGCAGCTAGCTCTGCCGCCGGAGAGGCACCACCAGTTTCTGGAGAGGAGGATGGGAATGTAAATGTGAAAGCGGACGGTGATGGGATGGACGTGGATACCCAGGAACAAGAACGAGAGACAAGTGCACCCGGGAGTGAAGCGGCTGTGAAGACAATGTTGAATGTCATTGAAGAGGAGGATATACCAACTTGTTCGTATTATTTCCACTCTCATCTGTCAAACTCTTTGTCTATTCGACGGAATGAGCTGATGAGTTTTGCAGATACTTCAATCGAGGCGCCACCTTCTATCCTTCCGCAGAAACATTACTGCGATATTACTGGCTTAGAGGTACATATTTCTCGTTAGATGCATCTGGCAGCTGCAGATAAATTCTTTCTACCCTAGGCACCATATACTGACCCTGCGACCGGCTTGCGATACCATGACAAAAGTATTTATGAGTTCATTAAGACTTTAGTACGTAAACACAACTCTTCTTCATAACATTCAGTCCAATTTGTCTAACTGGTATCGTGCACAGAATGCAAGTGCTGTGAAGGATTACCTTGCTCTACGTGGGGTGAATCCGATTGTGAAATAAATTTCCTGTATCTATTACCCATGTTGATGAGAGATTATGTACCAATCTACAATGCTAATGTAGTATTGACATTCCTTTACTTTTATTCACGCGAACGACACCTTTCCGAGACGCTTGGACGTTACGCACTGATCAAAGAATCACTCGACACAGGTTGACCACCACACTTCACCTTCTTCCGCGGTGGACCTTACGATGAGATCCGTCTTTGGCTTGACGAAGAAAACAGCTCCTTCCCCCAGCGCAAGCTTATCACGATCCGGACCTTGCTCCTCAAACTCAATGGTACCTCGCGTGACGATTCCAATCGTCGGACCCTCCGCATTCTCCAAGTATTCCTCGCTTCCCTCATGCTCCCTTAACTTGGTCCACAATACGGTAAACTCCTCTAATGGCGGATTAAATGCTAACGTTCTTCCAGTCCTTGAACGTCTATACGGTATTTTTTTCAGTAGCCAATGCCTCGGCTCACGCGCAGTGTATGTCAGCGACTCGAGGAATGTACGAGTATTACGCGTGCCGGGAGGAACGAACGCTGCATTGAGGACATTATCTGACACGGCCATGCATTCGATAATATCGCCTTCTAGATATGCGTGTGCTTCGTCGGCACCGATGTAGATCGCTTCGCCGCGGTTCAGTGTGACGAGATTCATGAAGAACGGTACCGCGAGTACGCCGACGTCGAGAGGGTACTGTGCATTCAGAGTTCGTACAAAATCTGCTATGGACGTGTTGCCACCGATGACGGCGACTCCATGTCGTTCAATACGTCCCAAGAGCTTTGATACGGCCCGCGAAACACTCTCGGTGCTGGCTGATAGAAGTTTCGTGAAGACTAGCTTTAGGGACGCCTTGTCCTGTTCGCGGATGAACCGTGCAATTGCTTCATCGCTTGCAATTGCCTCGCCGAGTTCCGGAACACTTTCCAGGTCCTTCGCGATAAGTTTCGGTTCGCGAAAGCCAACAAAACCCTTAAAGCCATCCGCTAGAGCTACGGCTATCTCGGGTTTATGATTGGAGTCAACAAACTGTCTTGCATCCTCCTTGTTCAGCTTCTCGCCCAGCTTTTTGTCCGGATGAGCTTGTAGCGGAAGTGCCTTAGCTATTGAAAGGATTTTGAACAGGAAGGGGATGTCTGTACTATTTGGCAACTTTGCATCCTGGGCGAATGTCGGTGTAGTGAGCCGAGCACCTAGGAAGGAGCGTGGGGAGGCCATTATGAGTTCATGCAGAGTTATATCAGGACTGGCCCACAGTGAGGAAGGGCCATTCTTGTGTGTCCCCATCCAAATCTGTGATCATTTATCATTCATATAAGTCAGAGAAGAGTACAAAAGAACTGGTACCTCTGCATAATTCTTCCTGTCTTCGACTTTGTAGTTGTCACCAACAGCAGCGTGTGCATACTTTGCAACTAGAGACAAGGAGCTGGGCTTCCCCCACTCGTATTCCTGAATGGAAGCTCTGAGACGAACAATGTTTGCAGTAGTCATAGTCTCTGAACAGAGCGTTCGTGCCAGGAGTTAAAATTGTTGAGGCAGGTAAAGCTTATAAGCGTCGATCCGAGCCTAGAACCTGGAAGGTGTGTACTGGTATGCTATGCTATGCCGTCACCTTGATAGACCAGATGACCTCACTAGGATCACAATACTCCCGAATCCAGACTCCTTGATCTCGGAACCCACTCTCCTCCGAGATCAAGGACATTCCTTCAAGCCGACAGTTTTTTTTGGAACAAGCATCACATTAGCATATCTAGATAAATAAGCCTCCGTTTGAGTCCGTCATTATGAAAAGAGTCGCTATAGGCTTAGTCACGGCAAAAGCTGGCAAGGTATATATGTCCAGACCAGTTTGGTAAAGTACAAGTACACAGCATTTAGACAGGAATAAGTGTTGGCGAATTGCTGATAGAGCAGACACGCTAGTAGTGGTTAGCAGAAGACAAGGTGAGAGTCTGAGAGAGATGACGGCGCGTTTCGGTCAACACGTCAAGCCGCTTCCTGATCTTCACCTCCAGCACAATTACAGCACAATAACGGAACATTAAGCACTGGAAAATAAATAACAAACTTCAGGAAAATCTAAATGTATATGTATGTCCTTGAGTATGTGTCGAACAAATGCTCATGTATTGACATGTCTCATCCGTCGTCTGGTATTTCTGGTCTGTTACTAAAACATACCAAATACCATGATTTGCAATCTCATAACTAGGCCACCAAAAAGTTCTGGGAACCACAAGGGTGGTGCAACTCCTGCTGTAAGTACACCAGCAGACGTGTCAGCTCCTCAAACCCCCGTACGTCTCAGCGACCATTATTTATCACTCATCAGTTCATCCTTACGCAAATCCGCGGGTATACCTCTGGACTCTCGCAGAATCCCTCTCTTAACTCTCGTATCCCCGCCCTTTCAAAAACCCGAGCTATACAAAGAACGCAGCACGGCGGACACGTACTCTCAAGTCGGTACTGTCGCAAGAACGAGAACGAGTAAGACAGGATCGCGAACGGAGACGAGCTGAGAGGGAGGCCGCTCTTACTGCAGTTGGCTCCGGTCTGCGTGAAGTACCACTAGTTACTGGAGAAGACGATCAGAATGCCAGTATGAAAGCGGACGGTGAAGGGATGGACGTGGATACCCAAGAAGGAGAACGAGAGGCAAGTACTCCAGGTAGTGACTCGGCTGTGAAGACGATGTTGAGTGTCATTGAAGAGGAGGATGTACCAACTTGTTCGTAATCTTTTTACTCTCATTTGTCGAACCATTGTTTTCGCACATAGAATAGACTGACGAGTTCCGCAGATACTTCAATGAAGGCACCACCTTCTATCCTTCCGCAAAAATCCTTCCGCAAAAACATTATTGCGATATTACTGGCTGGGAGGTATGTATTTCTCGCGTCTTGCAGTTGCGATATCATTTCTTTGGTCCTAGGCACCATATACCGACCCTACGACTGGTTTGCGATACCATGGCAAAAGTATTTATGAATTCATCAAAACTTTGGTACGTCAACATGTCTCTGCATATCATCCGTTCCAATTCGAATAATTGATGTCCTGCACAAAATGCGAGTGCTGTGAAGGATTACCTTGCTCTACGTGGGGTGAATCCGATTGTAAAATAAATTTCTTGCATCTATTACCCATGTTAATGAGAAATCATGTGCCAATCTACAATGCTAATGTTGTATATCTATTCCTTTGTATTTATTCACGCATACTCTACCTTTCCGAGACGTTTGGACGTTACGCATTGATCGAAGATTTACTCGACACAGGTTGACCACCACACTTCACCTTCCTCTGCCGTGGACCTTACGATGAGATCCGTCTTCGGCTTGACGAAGATAATTGCTCCCTCTCCCAGCACAAGCTTATCACGATCCGGACCTTGCTCCTCAAACTCAATGGTACCTCGCGTGACGATTCCAATCGTCGGGCCCTCCGCATTCTCCAAGTATTCCTCGCCTCCCTCATGCTCCCTTAACTTGGTCCACAATACGGTAAACTCTTCCAATGGCGGATCAAACGCCGTCGTCCTCCCAGTTCTCGAACGTTTGTACGGTGTCTTCTCGAGTAACCAATGATTTGGCTCACGCGCAGTGTATGTCAGCGATTCGGTAAACGTGCGTGTATTACGCGTGTCGGGAGGAACGAACGCTGCGTTAAGGACGTTATCCGATACAGCCATACATTCAATAATATCCCCTTCTAAATACGCATGTGCTTCATCCGCACCAATGTAGATAGCCTCGCCACGGTTGAGTGTGACGAGATTCATGAAGAACGGCGCTGCGAGCACGCCAACGTCTTGAGGGTATTGCGCATTCAGAATTTTGACGAGATCTGTTTGGGAGGTATTGCCACCGATGGCGGCGGCTCCATGTCGTTTGACACGTCCCATGAGCTTTGATACGGCCTGCGAAACACTCTCGGTGCTAGTTGATAGAAGTTTTGAGAAGACAAGCTTCAGGGATGCTTTATCCTGCTCGCGGATGAAACGTGCAATTTCTTCATCATTTGCAATCGCCTCCCCGAGTTCCGGAATGTTTTCCAAATCCTTTGCAATAAGCTTTGGCTCACGGAAGCCAACGAAGCCCTTGAAGCCATCCGCAAGAGCTACGGCAATCTCGGGCTTATGATTGGAGTCAAAGAATTGTACTGCGTCCTCCTTGTTCAGCTTCTCCCCCAGCTCTTTGTCTGGATGGGCTTGTAACGGGAGAGCCTTAGCTATTGAAAGAATCTTAAACAGGAAAGGAACGTCTGTGCTATGCGGGAACTTTGCGTCTTGAGTGAATGTCGGAGTTGTGAGTCGAGCGCCTAAGAAGACACGTGGGGAGGCCATTATGAGCCCATGCAGAGTTATGTCCGGGCTGTTCCATACTGAAGCAGGACCATTTTTGTGTGTCCCCATCCAAATCTATAGAAAGCATTCGGTGTGTATAAAGCCAAATAAGAGTAAAATCACTGGTACCTCTGCATAATGCTTCGTGTCTTCGACTTTGTACTCGTCACCAACAGCAGCATTCGCATATTTCGCAACGAGGGACGAGCTGCCCGGCTTCCCCCATTCGTATTCCTGAATTGAGGCTTTGAGACGGAAAATATTTGCGGTGGTCATAGTTGCTGCATAAAGTGTTCACGACAAGAGCATTGTAGAGGCGGGCAGAGCTTATAAATGTCGAGCTTGGAACGTATGTGTTTGCTATGCCGTCACCTCAATGGAGCGAGACTGGCTGACATCACCAGATCATGGAACTCCCGACAGCACCTCCGAGACTAAAGATGTCCCAGTTGAAAGGTAAGAGTTCTCGTACGTCGAACGATAATTGCAGTGGTACAATTTATACATTTAGATTTAAAATGCCTCCGATAGATACAGTGATAGAGCACGACTGTACGGAAGCTACTTGGCAAGGGGAACGAAACACTTGTGGGAAAAAGCGCGATCACGCGTTGCAAACTTTTCGGGATTACGCAAGCATCAAAATAAGGCAGTTTTTGGCCCTTCACATTGGACGACTCACTACTGTCACTCTGCACATTCATGGCTTTCTGGTACAGCCAGGCTTTATATATGCTGGTTTGTACGTGCTGAATCATTGCTGCACCGTGGATAAGTCACAGTATGCCTACGAACCTACTGAACGAGCAGAGGTCGCTAGGAACTGGCTATTTCATTTCTTTCTAGTCTCCTCCGACTTGTAGACCCGTACTACAACTACTACACATGTTGAAACGCAAACCAGAATACACAATACCGTTGCACTTCGTCTGGGACGATTGATGGAACGGAAATCCTATCTGACGAGCTCTGCACAAGTGTCCATTAGCCTTGTCCATCTTCCACCAGCAGACGTTCTCAGCTCCTCGGTAATCTCATCACCAAGTGATACCTTCATCGAGACGAATCTAGCAAGCATATGAACGTCGAAGTAACGTAAACTCTCTCCAGAGAAGAAGACGTCTCCTTCGGCGTACGTCGCGAGTTTGTCGAGTTCGGTACGAAGGCGAGCCCATGCTTCCTCCTTTTCCTTTCCACGCGGATGTTCCTCCTCAAGAGTCTTCCCTCCTGGCTTCGTGTGATATTTCTCAAACGATGCTCGAGAATATTCCGTCTGCTTTTGCACCGCGGCAAATATTGCCAACTTCCAAGACAGCGGTTGGATGATGTCTTCAACATATTTATCCGCGAGCATCTGGAATGCATGCGTACCCGGTGGAAAAAGTACACGTTGTGGGTCAGGAGACGGATATGTCGCCTCAAGATAAGCAATGATCTTACGCGAGTCGCAAAGACGGAAGGGTGCATCAGGGTTTGAAAGGTCGATCAACGAAGGAAGTGTATAACGTGGTGATCCATTGGCGCGAGTTCCATACGGTGGAATGTCAGCAGCGCTAAGCGTCTTCGTGATGTCTACAGGCTCGCACCAGATGGTCTCGTATGGTAAGTTTTTGTAGTTTAGCACAAGCCTAACGGAAATTGGAAATTATTCTTCAGGAGGAGTGAAAACCATCAATGTAGACGGAGAAGGCCCACCTTACGCGCCAGGTATTTGGCGATATCGAAAGACTAGGAACATTTGACTTCATATCGTAGAAAATGAGGTTTGGTTTAGCCATGGCTGGCAACTAATCCTCACATACGTGTGTGGGGCTTGTATAAAAACTGGGGAGAAAGTTGTCCCTGTTTTTATGCAATGTCATTGGCTCCTGAGGGTAACCTGATTGCAGTTTGGTGAGTAATCCAAGCCATGCCCGAGTACGAGATAATCCGAAAGTGTTCTAATAAATGACTTCTTTCAATTCATTTTAGCTTCTGTGCCTCGGTAATTATCCTTCGCATCACCGATGACCGATTATTCTTACTACAGCATTCATTGAATTTCCGTTCTTTTCGTAAACGTTATAAGTGGCTTTCGGGGATAGTATCATGTTTCAACCGTTCGTGAAAGCCAATTACTCCTTCAATTTGCATAGCTTAGCCTATTGCGACAAGGATAACCCTCATTTGGATCAAGATCTCGCGGAAATTCGTTTCTTCTCAAATCCTATTTTATAGTACTATTGGCAAATGCACAGGGTGAGCCTATAGAATAATCTACAGACACTCATTACGATCAACTAAAAGACACCGTATTTTTCCTAGCTATGTATCCGAAGGTAAAATTTTCTTCGAAATTATATGAGTATGGAAGTAATTTCTCGTCTCATATAGAGTCAGGACACTGTGAGCCGTGTAAGCATGTTTGTATTGTTTTAAATTTAAACAGAGAACCTCATCTTGATGCAAAGTTCTAATCGGTGAGTTCATGTTTCTTCTATTTATCTCAAATATTCTCTTCTTACACATGGCGTTTTGCCTTGTTCTGATATTTTCATCCTGATTGCTAGTGAATAAGCCCCTCGCAAGCCTTCCATAACCTCGACCATCTCCCACCACTGGCATTCCCTAGTTCCCTGTTAAATTCCTCTTCGCCGACCGACAGCTTAAGCACGATGAACTTCCCAAGCACATGAATGTCGAGGTACCGTAGATTTTCCCCAGAGAAGAACGTATCTCCTTCAGCGAACGATGCGAGCTTGTCGAACTCTTCACGAAGACGAGCATACGCCTCGTCCCTTTCCTTTCCCCATAGGGTTACCTCCTTAAGCGTCTTTCCTGGCGGAGCATGTTTCTTCTCAAACGACACTCTGTCTTTCTCGGTCTGCCTTAGTGCTACACCGTATTTCACGAGCGGCTTGAACATCGGAGTGAAGATCCGCTCGACGTATTCATCTGCAATTGCTTGAAATGCGTGCGTCTCCAGAGGGAAGAGTGCACGCTGTGGGTCGGGCGAGGGATACGTTGCCTCGAGATAATCAATTATTTTACGTGACTCGGAAAGACAGACAGGAGCATCCGGGTTCGTACGGTCGACGAAGCCAGGAAAGGTGTAATGTGGTGACCCGTCCGGATAATTATCGAGTGGTGGGATCCCAGCTGCAATACACGTCGGAGCGATCTCTGCTCGCTCACACCAAACGGTCTCGTATGGCAGTTGTTTGAAGTTGAGTACGAGCCTAATGTGGGTTGCTCATTTTAACCAAGTGTGGAATCATCATTGTAACGATCTTACCTGACACGCCATGTATTTGTTGATATCGGAAGACCAGGAGTGGTGGTCTTCAAATCATAGAAAACGAGGTTTGGCTTAGCCATGTTTCGCTACTGGCCTTGACCTTCGCAGAGGGGATCGGAAAAGCAGCTTAAGCGCCGTTGTGCTCATTTAAGCTGCGTTCACTTCAACGAGAAGGCGGAGATTGATTTAGTGACTCGCAGTAGTCTATAAGTAGACCCAGTGTACAAGCTATTAATCAGATGACTTCTTGTGATTTATATTTATCTTCGTTTTGGTTGAGTGGTTTTAAATAGCCGATGCCGAATGTTCTTCAATATAAACATTGCTAATCATGGGTCTTCGCCATTCTTGTCCGCATAGCAGTTGGCGAAAGGATGTCAGGACGCATAGAGTACCCATATTCACTTTTAAAGCGGACAAAAGATTTCTCCGTAGAGGCGCAATCTCGTTCTTATCTTACTAATCTGAGAACAACTTTACTGCTATTTTCACTTCCACGCAAAGAATTTCAAGAAATAGGATATACAAGTACTGTATCCCTAAATCATCTCAACCCCGGAGTTTGAACAGATATTTGGCAAGGTTTAGGTACAGGAGTAGCATAATTTGTTTGCTTCCTATAGAGTAAATCTGCAAAGGTATTGCTATTGAGTTATTATGCGACAACGCCTTTCAATTCAACATGAACATTTATTTCTATCATTCGGAGTAACAGTCCATTTGAAACCTGAGCTATGCGAATTCAGGCGGCGGAGTCTGCGAAACCAAATTTTTCCTGTGGAACGTAAGGAGGGTGAGCAGCAGACGAAGCCATATGCTTTGGCAAGTTCGTTACTGCCTTATTTCCCAATTTTTGTTTCTTCCGAAGAGATGCAGCTGATGTCTTCGTTCGTAGAATCGTCAAAAAGTCTCTTTGATCCAGTTTTTTTCATTTTGTTCGGCCAGTATTGGTCACGTATGAGATGCTGTCGAGATGGGATCTGGATTATTTATGGCTGCTGGAGTCACCACGGATGGAAGAGAGACTTGGCAGTGAATAAAGGAACTAGTTCCGTCATTAGACGCAGGTAACGAGATGCTTGTATGCTGAGTATAAATGGCAATAAGTGTCCCTGCTGTACTCGGTGTGTTCCCATACTGAGAGTGTTTCTCTAATAGAGTAGCTTTTCCGAGCTTGGAGTATCCAGTCAACTTTAGTTCCTTGCACCGTGCTTTAAGCTGAGGGACGGTGAACTTTGAGTAGTCAGCAGTAGTCGCGATTGAGTCCGTCATGATGAAAAGAGCCGCTTTAGACCTAGTATCAGCTAGCTAGGTAGATATGTCCAGCCCAGATTGGCTGAGTAAACAGCATTTAGACAGGAACGAATAAGCGTTGGTGAGCGAATTGCAGATGGACCAACACGCTAGTAGTGGTTAGCAGAAGACAAGGTAAGATCACGACGCGTTTCGGTCAGCGCGTCAATCCTTTTCCTGATCTTCACCTCCAGCACAACTGCAACACAATTATGTGTCGAACAAATGCTCATGTACTGGTGCATCTCTCCTCCATTGGTCGTTTTGTTACAAAAGAGGAAAATCATTGATACCTCTGCATAATTCTTCGTATCTTCGACTTTGAATTCATCACCAACAGCAGCGTTTGAATACCCCGCAACAAGAGGCGAGCTACCCGGCTCGCCACACTCGTATTCCTGAGTTTGAGGCTTTGAGACGGAAAATATTTGCAGTGGTCACAGTTGCTGCATAAAGTTGTTATGACAAGAGCAGCATAGAGGCGGGTGAAGCCTATAAGTGTCGAGATTACAAAGTATGTGTTTGCTCAAATTGCTATGCCATCAACTCAATGGAGCAAGGTTGGCGACATCACGCCAGGATCATAGTATTCGTGAGTCACGAAAGCTCCCCCGAGACCATAAATTAGGTTCCAGTTGAAAGGTGAAAATTTTCATACGTCGAGTAAGCATCGCACCAGAAAATTCAGATAAAAATGTCTCCGACAGATACAGTGATAGAGCCTGACTGTATCATGTATTGATTCTGGAAGCAAGGCAGACGACCAGAAAGTGGGAAAAGCGCGATCACGCGTTGCAAACTTTATTTTTTTCGGGATTACGAAAGCATCAAAATAAGGCAGGTTTTGGCCTGCCCTTGAAATTTGACGACTCACTGCTTCGATCACCGACAAGTCTTACTACAGCATTTATTGATTCTCCGTTCTTTTCGTAATGTTATAAGTGGCTTTCGAGGATGGTCTCGATATTATCATGTTTCGACTGTTCGTGAAGGCCTATTGCGACGAGGATAACCCTCATTTGGATCAAGGTCTCGCGGAAATTCGTTTCTTCTCAAATCGTATTTTATAGTATTATTGGCGGGGGCACAAGGATAGCAATAGAATAATCTGCAGACGGTCATAACAATCAGTTAAACGACACCGTATTTTTCCGAGCTATGCATCCGAAGGTGCGATTTTCTTCGAATTTATATGAGTATGGAAGTAATTTCTTGTCTCATATAAAGTCAGGACACTGTGAGCCGTGTAGGCATGTTTGCATTTTTTCATCTTAAGCAGAGAACCCCATCTTAATGCAAAATTTTAATCGGTGAGTTCACACTTTACTTCCATTTATCTCACATATTCTTTTATTACACATGACGTTTTGCCCTGTCGTAATATTTCATCCTGGTTGTTAGTGGATAAGCTCCTGGCAAGCCTTCCATAACCTCGACCATCTTCCACCACTAGCACTTCCTAGCTCCTTGTTAAATTCTTCTTCGCCGACAGACAACTTAAGCACAATGAGCCTAGCAAGCACATGAATGTCAAGGTACCGTAGGTTCTCCCCAGAGAAGAAGGCATCTCCTTCAGCGAACGATGCGAGCTTGTCGAACTCTTCACGAAGACGAGCCCATGCCTCGTCCCTTTCCTTTCCACGTAGGTTCGCTTCTTCAAGAGTCTTTCCTGGCGGTGAATGTTTCTTCTCAAATGCCGCTCGGTCTTTCTCGGTCTGCCGTTGCGCTGCACCATATATCGCGAGTGGCTTGGACATCGGAGTGAAGATCCGCTCGACGTATTCATCTGCAATTGCTTGAAATGCGTGCGTCTCCGGAGGGAAGAGTGCACGCTGTGGATCGAGTGAGGGATACGTCACCTCGAGATAGTCGATTATTTTACGTGACTCGGAAAGACAGACAGGAGCATCCGGGTTCGTACGGTCGACAAAACCGGGAAAAGTGTAATGTGGTGATCCATCAGGATAATTTTCGAGTGGGGGGACCCCAGCTGCAATGCATGTCGGAGCGATCTCTGCTCGCTCACACCAAACGGTCTCGTATGGCAGTTGTTTGAAGTTGAGTACGAGCCTAATGTGGATTGCTCATCATAATCAGGTGCTGAATCATCATTGTAACAAGAAATCTCACCTGACACGCCATGTATTTGGTGATATCGAAACACCAGGAGTGTTGGTCTTCATATCATAGAAAACGAGGTTTGGCTTTGCCATGCTTTACTACTGACGTTCGCAGCGGGGATCGGAAAAGCAGCTTAAGCGCCGTCGTAATCATTTTAGCTACATTAACTTCAATGGGAATGCGGAGATTGATTTAGTGACTCATAGTAGTCCCAATATACAACTATGAATCAGATGACTACCTGTAATTTATATCTATCTTCTTCGTTTTGGCCGGAGTGTTTTGAATGACCGATGGCCGAATGTTCTTCAATACAAGCATTGCTAATCGTGGGTCTTAGCCGTTCTTGCCGGTATAATAATAACGAAAGAAGGGCAGCGCACATAGAGCATTTATACCCACTTCTAAAGTAGGCAAAATTTTCTACAATTACTGTGATCTTATTAACCCGAGAACAAGTCTACTTGCTATTTCCACTTCCATACAAAGAATTTTAAGAAACAGAGTATGCAAGTACCATACACCTGAATCACCTCAGAACCGAAAGTTTGAACAGATATTTGGCAAGCTTTAGACACAGGAGCAACTTAACTTGTTCGCCCCATGCACAAGGGAACGCTATTGAGTCCTTTGCGCCAACGCCTTTCAATTCAACATAATCATTTATTTCAATCATTCGGATTAATTATCCATTTGAATCCTGGGTTATACGAATTCCAGCTCCGTTCATCCGCGAATGAGTCCTGCACACTTCTCTACAAGCTTCGTCCACCTTCCACCAGCAGAAGATCCCAATTCCTTCTTAAACTCCTCGTCGCCGATCGACAGCTTTATCGCAACGAGTCCGGCAAGTACATGAATATCAAAGTAACGCAGGTTATCTCTAGAGAAGAAGACGTCTCCTTCGGCATGCGACGCGAGTTTGTCGAGCGCCTCACGTAGGCGAGCCCATGCCTCTTCCCTTTCCTTTCCGCGTAAATCGGCTTCCTCAAGCGTCTTTCCCGGCGGAGCGTACTTCTCAAACCCTTTACGCGCACGTTCTGATTGCTTCTGTGACATCCTATACATTATAAGTGGAAAAACCAGCGGGTTGATATTTTGGTCGAAGTAACTGTCTGATAGAGCCTGGAAGGCGCGGGTGTCCGGTGGGAAGAGTGCGCGCTGCCGGTCGGTCGTTGAATACGTCTTCTCGAGATAGTCGATTATTTTACGCGAGTCGGTAAGGCGGACGGGAGCATCGGGGTTCGTGCGGTCTACTAATGCAGGTAACGTATAGCGCGGTGATCCATCTGCGCGCTTTTCCAGTGGTGGGATGCCAGCAGCGATGCATGTCTTCTCAATGTCCGGGCCTTCGCTCCAAACAGTTTCGTACGGAAGATTCTTGTAGTTCAGCGCGAGCCTAATTTATGTTAGTCATTTTCCAGAACTAATATACGGGGTATTAATATTAAAAAACCCACCTCACGCGCAACGTATTCGGTGAAGTCGAGAGTCCAGGGATGTTGGACTTGATATCGTAGAAAACGAGATTCGGTTTCGCCATAGTTTGTTATTTCAAGAAGTTAAACGCACAGTACTGTTGGAAAGTAGTCTGAGCTTCCAAGTCCCTTTTTATATTTAACGAGTTTATTTCTAGAACCTGCATATGATGAATCATCACCGAGCCCCATGGCAAAAAATAGCCCGCACTTACCCATTCCACTGATTATTATTGGTGGATTCTTCAAATTCCCGTTACAGTAAGATGACTAATGACCAAGCAAGCCTTTTTCCGCCACATTTCATCGTTACTGATAGTAAGAAGGATTAATAATGCATGTAGAGGTGAGTAATCTTGACGGTGATTGATGCGGTTAAGGCGAAATTGCTTAGGTTGACGGCCGTGTCCTGCCCGTATATAACAAACACCTTCTAAGTCATCGGCAGTCTGTTAATTATGTACTAATTGAATTGGACATGTTGGCCTGGGTGGAAGGTATTTCGTGAGTTGGAAGAAATAACAATAGAAAGTAATGCAACAATTACCTATCACAGGACGAGCTATCGGGCAAGTCAACGAATTTCGGTCCACAACCCCGTTAACGATATGGAAGATATTGCATACACATAAGCCATCGTGGGAGGGCGCGGTGAAACGGAAATTGGACAGGTAAGCAGCAAAGTAGCCGACTTTGCACTTACTGATACTCCACGACTCTTTTGACGACCGACCTGAATAGCCCTTTGCTCTTCCAGCCCGTCAACGCATTCCATGCGGCAACCCCGGCATAAATGTTGCTTTTTGACTTCGACCCCTCCATTCCACTCAGCTGAGGGGTGAGATGTGCAAGTGGAACCCAGACTCCCGAGATCCTGACCCGGATCGGCGATGTACGCATGGACACAAGGATCATGAAGAGCTATACAATCCGCATGCAAAGTACCTCCCGCCGAAGATCTGGTGTAATGAGTGCTGGACAGTCTGTGCGGTGTCGTCGAACAAGAGAGTCCGGAAAGGTAACCAGTTTTTCTTTGAGCTCTAGAAGCAACACGATGCTAATTGTGTATGTACAGGGCCTATCGCTTTCATTTCTGACACGTTCAACAGCCTAAAGCACCCATCACAGCCTAAGAAACCTACTGACTCAACTGTCGAAACTCCTTCGAAGTACCAGAGTCAGTTTATGGGTGCCGGACCCGACCCAGCGCGTCAAACGTCAGGGCAGTTCGCGAGCGCAGTTAATAACGTACCTTCCGTATATTATGGTGCAGGTATGGTCGCAAACAACACCGTGTTGTCGCCTCAGGCACCCAATACCATGCGCAGTCCAGATATGGTTCCAAATAGCACAATGCTCCCCTCACAATCAGCTGGTTCTGTATATGGGCCTAATGTAGTTCCGAACGGCACCATGTTGTCACCTCAAGCACCTGGCACTCTACAGAGTCCTGTACAAGGTGGTTTTATGTCGACTCAGGACCAGTACACGGAGTGGAGCAACAACGGTCCAGCGCCACAGGCGGCTTATGGAGCATACCCTGTTGCTCACGGTGCATGGGAGCCCTCAGGCAGCCCATACGCGGGTGCGACAAATGGCATTCTAGGACAGCAAACAGGATACGGCAGCGTACCTCCCGCACAAGGCTTCCCGGAAGCAGCTCCGAGTCACTTTACGGCTTCACCCACAGGTAGCTTGGCTGCGACATCACACACAAGCAATCCGGCACCGATATATGACATGGGAGCTGCCAATCAGAGTGTCGATTCTTTAAGTAGCCAAGTTAGTTCCCCACCAAGATTTGGCGGGCCGTATTCTGCGAGGAGAGACAAGAAGAGTCCAGAGCATGAAGCACCGGACTTGTCTCGAACCAGTCTCGACAGTCGAAGTATGGCTAGTCACCTTCCATGAACGTGAATTTTCAATCGGCATCACGATGCAAGTCCATAGCCGGACTCTTCAATGTTTGAGTCACCTGGTGGATCGTGTAGTTTTCGTTAAATGGAGCTTTATGCTGTAGTTTCATTTTGAGTACGGTGTTATAAGATTACTTAGTTGTTTTCCTTGTGGCATGTCGGTAAACGCTACAATTATATATGACATCTGCAAAGGAGTCAAATAAAATTTAGTATTATAGCCAAACGCATGCCGTTCACCTGAATGTATGCTACTATGATCCACCCAAAACATTTCGACTAGACGTCAGCTCTGCACCAAGCTTGTATCCCAATACCTAATGAGATGCGTATTGAGATGTGTTACTGTGATAATAGCAGGACGACAAACGTCATTACCTTGTCCCAGTCTAGCTTTTGTCTCGTCAGAGGAAGTGCACGTCGCAGTCCTTTAAACGTTTTCTCTGACATTCCTTGGTACGCATCATTCAATGACGCTTGATATTTTCCTTCTTCGTGTTCGATGAGTGCAATTATCTTGTCCGATGCCTGGACGGGTGGAGAGTTCGCAGAGATAGTGGGGGGTAGAGCGAAAGATAAGCTGTGAGAGGTTGACAGTTGAACCTAGCAAACTTTTAGACTGAGATAAAGAGGGAATTTTAAAAATACTTACATTTCCTTGTTCATAGTAATGAACATTCACTAAAATCTTTCCTTCGACTTTCTTGGAGTTTAAGTCTATCTTGTATTCAGATCTCCATCGGCCGGACCTATTCGTTGTCATTAAACTATCTGAATTTTAAGCACGAACCAGCGACTCACCAAAAATTTGAAGGATTGTATTTGTTGGCCACAACCTGAATGATGAAATTTCCAGAAGACTCGGGAGTTGAGAAAACAGTAGTGACTCCATCGACGAAGTGATTTGCAAGATAGGTTGTCGTCGCGGTCTCTAATGCGGAACTACCGCGAAGCAACAAGACCCGAGTGTCAGTATGAACCACGACGTTCAACGTAGTCTTTCCCTACTCACCGAAATTCCTCAGAGCTCTCATCCGCGGCAAACGGTTGCGGATCCGAGGCTTCCTATGGACTAGAGCTGAGTACTTCCTACGGTCTTCCTGCAAACATGAATTGAACGAATACGTACCAATCTCAGATGATCAAAGATGAACGTTGTTTTTGATCGAGGATCCAGAAAACGGGACTCTCCCTCCGGTACGTCCTTGATTCTTCCAGCCTCGCTAACGATTACCTTAATGAACAGTTAGTTGCTGTAATGATCTGCTCCGAGTGTATGCTCCGACTAGGTAGAAACTCACCTGGTGTTCGCAGCCAGGAACGTCAGCAGTGATAAATTGTTCAAGATTATACTCCTCCAACGAAGGTAAGATGCCTGCTTGGAGTGCTTCGTCGTCTGCTATGATATCTCGTACGTCTGACAGTATAGCGAACCGCATCGATACAACCGGATGAGAACCGCAGCACCTTCGGCTTTGCGCGCAAGATTAAGAACATACCATTCAGCACGTCATTTATCTCGCCTGGAGGAGACTGCAAGAGAAATCGTGACGCAGCTTGAATTCTCTCTTGCTGGTCCATGGTACACCTGTCGGTGCTCTTCAAGTTGCAGCACGACTACGGCGCGGCGTGTTGTGGGTTTGTGGTTACAGCAAACCTAATATAGAAACGAAGGATCGACATGCATACAGGCAACGTACAAGGCTTTACCCACACAAAGACTGCGATGCAGCATTGGTCGATCCCGCTCTCTCATGGCGATTTATCACATAGGCAAGAGGGCACGCTCGCGTATATTTATGCGCTGACATTGTACTATAGTGTTGATTAAGTACATCCAAAGCGCGACCAGTGCTCAGAAGCAGGCCTGGAAGGACGGTATTACGTCGCTCTCGTCATCCATACCACAGATACAGGAAATAATCAGTGGAACCAAGCTCCCACACGTCAGAGATCAAGGTTGGGATGACGGTGAGTAACTGTTACTGGCAACACAGTCTAAGCATCCTCATCCTACAGATAATTGATGTTGTTCAAGGGGTCATTATGAAGTTTAAGAACAAGGAGGATCTGCAAGCATACGTAATTGCTGCTCCTCACAAAGCATACCAAGAAGCAACCGCTGAACAAACAGCAGGTAATCCTTTCAAATAATTCAAATGCTAGACATTAACAGCTAATCGACATAATCCAGACAAGTTGATTTTCGACATTAAGGCATGAAAAGATCATAACAACGGGTTTGAAGCAGCATAAATGATCGGTCAAAAAGAAATAGGAGAAATACTATGGAGCACTGATTCAAAGAGTCTTTTTGAACCATTGGACAGTTGCCTCAAATTGCTTTTCAAAGCCTTCCTTGGCCTCTGGAATGGCAAAGTTTGGACGTGCACCGAATCCATGCACCGTACCTGAAGAAATGACAGTGGAACAAAAGCTGTTCAGCCGAATTTTTTCTTGGAATTGAAACAAAGATGCAAACCTTTATAATCGTGGAACTCATAATCAATGAATTCAGGCTTATCCTTCCGAGCAGCGAAAATTGCCTCGGCCTCATTGCGCAGCTTCGGTCCAAACGCCATGTCCTCTGTAGGAAAGTCAGTCTTTCCAAATTACAAGGCTATGTCTACCTTCGCGTACCTTCAGCGCACTGCCATGAAGTAGGAATTTTCATTGCTGCTATTTCCGTCGTGGTGATCCTACCCGGATGAACGACGACGGCAGAATTTATAAGATCCTTTGAAGCCAATCGCACAAGCGTTGAGCCTTAAACGTCATATTACTACACGACTGTCATTTGAAGAGATATTAAAGGTTCATTACCTCCAAAGCAATACCTAATGCATAAGTGAGTCATATGGATTCATCTACTGACGGAAGTATTTGCTCACCCCACAGCACCTATTCTCGTATATTTCTTTTCGTCTTTTATTTTCTTGATGAACTGATAAGCGCTCATGTGAGCAATGCAATAGCAGAGCAGAAAGACATCCCACAAGTTCCACATACTGTATGAATACGTCCATCGACAACCGAGGGACGTGAACTGATAAGGCTTGGCAAACCTTTGATAATGGTCCAGATGAGACTGAGCTTAGCCAGGAATGGGATCTTTTCTCCTGGCCTCTGAGGTATGGCCCCGTCCAAATCGTTCAGCCCAAATGGTGGGTTACCTGAAAGATTCAAGACATTGATCCAGATAACGTATTGAAGGAGGGGACCAGGAAAATCATCGACGTACCATTGAATTGGTCTGGTACCCAGACGTCACATCCAACGTTCTCAGCAAGCTGGTCAGCAATGATCTTGCTATTAACCAAGGGCAAGCCAAATACATCTGTCAGAAGTACAATGGCCTTCGTGTTGGCAGTGCTGTCAGAACCCGCAATAAAGTACGCTCCATCCTTTATCTCGCCCTTTGGCTCTCCTGGAAGGACGTCGCCTGCCTTACAATGCTCACAAAACTTGACACTCATTGTCGGCAGCGTCAATAGGGGGGATAGAATGGACGATGGGAACGTGCTTTTACTGCTAATCGGTATTTATAGACACATGGGAAGCTGGTTCACGGGTATAATCTTAAAAGTGCTGCCGACAATACATCAGACGCACGCGTTCATTCCGTTCCGCGCCCAGTGGATTTATCACGTGGTCGATTCGCCATGACCTTGGTGAGGTCCAATCATAATTTTAGCGATCAGTCTCAGATATCCCCATTTACTAAAGACAAAGGACCTAATTAGAATTAGACTGATTGAGTAATTTATAATGCATGCTTCCAAATACATATAGGTGTGTCCAAAAAGTGTTTGGACACCCATTTTTGGAAGGATCGGCATATGTCGATCACGACCTTTGCTTTACAACATTACTCATTTCAATAATACATTTTTTCTTAAGTAAATCAATTTATAAGAAAGTACTGAAAATTAATACACAATAAAATTTTCTATTTTATGATGTGTATAATGTACAGAATGTACAAGGTAAAGCGTTGGATCGGCATTATTGCTGTATAAGACAATGCAAATCATCTTCCAAAAACGGGTGTCCAAACACTTTTTGGACACACCTGTATGTTTAAAAATTCATTGATCAAAAACTAGCCGACCTTTGCTTTCGCACTCAACTTCTGAATAATGATGTGATTTCTCGTTACGTGTCTCTGAGTGCATTGCACTTGTATAACGAAATGCAGGATAAAGGGCACCGAAAGGGAGAATGCGCCTGCTAAACAACCTTGCATCCCACCTTCTTCTAGCCGTGTAAATACAGAGTAAAAATAAACATGTCAAATCATGGTAACGTAAAGATTGCTAGACACTCAGCGTTTGCTCTGACTCGCTCCTATATACTATGCTGCTTCACAGAAAGAAGGGACAGCAACGCCCCAAAGCCAGAACAAAGAAGAGATAGCTCGCCGAATCTCCTGGACAGAATGAAAGAAGACAAGTTTGAGAGTGATGGACCAGGCAAGTCAATTCAGAAGTGTATGTATATGATCTCCAATAGATTAGATTTCATATGTAAAAAAAGAAAAATAACGACTAGTTGCCCACTCTCTGAATTAGATAACAATACTGTATCATGTTCTGTAGCAATGTTTAAAGATCCTGCAGCACCTGATGGAGGCAATAAATATGCAGGTGCCAGTAAGTGCTAATCCATTATTACCTTTATAATACTTTTATATTCATACACTTCTAGTCTATAAGAAGGGTGAAAAAGACAAGATCCGGTTGGGAGGATCTAAGAAATTTGTGAAAGGAAAGACAAAGGTAGAAGTAGAGACTATGTTGAAAAGAGAAATCGAACACATGATAAGTAAGTATCTTTTTGTACTGTCGTTGATATGCAACTGAACAATTTGTATCTCAGGGGATGCTGGAGAGAATTAATTCTGTAATGGATAACTGTACAATAAGTCTAAGACCTTTCTTTTTGTATTGTATGTAAGATAATTGTACTCAATACCTAATACTCGGATAAATGTAACTACATACACGTAATGGGCAACTTTACTATCAATGTCTATGAGCAGATTTTGTATCAACAAATGCTAGAAAAGACGAAAACAGGCAGTGTTGGGAATGGGCATTACAAAATTTTGGGAGCATTGCAAAGTAAGCAGCGTCCACGGTAATCGGGCGAGGGACAAGACGAAGGCGTGTACAGCATTGCACGATCCGACAGATATATTTAGCATACCTTTCACCAACAGTAAGATTGATCTCACCAAAGCTCGGGTATCTCCATTATAAAGCAATATAGCTCCCAGCTAGGTTATTCTAGTATGCTTAACCAATATACATGCACAAAGCATTTGTGGATATATAAACTGGGCAATTTTGCTCATTTCAGAGTTCAGGTATACTGCCTTTACTCATCTTTGCACCTTCAAGCACATTGTACATGTATAATGGAAGTCAGATCAGATAAAGAGTAGGCATATGGGTCACATTAAGCTTTAAAAAACCTGCACTTACTCTCACTAACAACTAGCAAAGTAATTGTAAAGTAATAAGAAGTAAGAATGTCTGATACTGGTAATTCAATTACACATACTTACAGAAACATTATGATTTGTACTAAACTAAAAACCTATTATTATATATTAGGCCATCATCATAATAGAAAGGGTAGTACAGCAGGTCAAGGACAAGGGAGAGACAATACACATCAAGAACACAGAAGAGGTAGCAGCACACCAAAGCCAGAGCAGAGAAAAGACAGTAATTCACTAAAACCAGAACAGAGAAGAGATTATTCACCAAATCCTTTTGAAAGAATAGTAGAAGACAAGTTTGACACAAATGAAATAAGTACATTAGTTGAAGACTGTATGTTATAATAAAACTAATAATAACAAGGATTAACAGTAATTGAATATTCTAGATAATAAGGCAGTGACAATATCTGCAAAAATGTACAAAGATCCAGTAGCTACTGTTGAAGAGAAGAAGTATACTATTATTGGTAAGTTCAATAATGTTTCTTTACTGATTTATTTCTAATACACTTGGTATTCTTCTAGTTTACAAAAAGCAAAATAAAGACAAAATCCTAAGAGGTGGGTTTATGAGGTGTGTAAAAGGAAAGACAAAAGCAGAAGCAGAAGCTTTAGCTAAGAGAGAACTTGACAACATGATTAGTATGTGTTTATGCTTTTAAACAATACACCCTGTAAATTATATCTTTTAATATTTCAGAGGATGCTCAAGACCATTAACTTTGTACAAAGTGGCAATAATCAAGACAAGACAAGACAAACCAGAGTCTTACAAATTGGTGTTGTATATAAGGACATGTATCTGTCTAAATTGTCTGTTGTACAACCGTAAATAAAGTGTGTTCAAGTTTACCCCTATAGCTAGGCAAAATGTGTCTGAACCTCTGGGTCGTTCCTGACCAATTAACCATATTAATTTACAACTACGTCTTACAGAATTGATGCTTGCTGGGAAGGGACAGGTTCTGATCAATGTCATGAGTTGCTAGACCTGTGGCCGACTAAAATGGCTAAGAGTTCTAAATGACGTATGCTAGTGAAGATGAATCCAATCAGACATTTCATAAAAAGAGAAAATGATCAAATGCAATGAATTCCGACAGCCACCTTTATTGGGTGCACGCAAATCCGAAGATCTTCGTGATTTCATAAATTGATAAATGGTTCGGGTCAGCGACGGATAAGCAGGATTAGGAATCAATCATGTGTACTTGCCATTTGATGAGTGGCAAACTCCAGCATTGCTGATGTCACCATTTGCATTCTCAAAGTGAAAGGTGGAGTAGGACGAGAACATCCACCGACACTAGAAAGTGTTGAAGTAAGCGTCAACAGATGGAAGGCGTCAAGCAAACTCTTCACTAGTCCGGCGAGGACAGTCAAATGAAAGGAATGCACGCCCAAAATGGTTGCGATTTCGACATTGTGCAATGAGAGGTGACGCCGAGTGGAGTCATTGGCATGGGAATGATTGAGAGATATTCATAACGATCGTCTGTTGCCTAAATGCATATATGCAGTTGACAAATTGCCTGTCATGCCTTATCTTGAGTATCTCGAGCGACCAAGTGCCAGGACAAGTGTGTTTAGCTATAGTGTTCATGAATCACAGCAGGCCGACGCATGAGGAAGACGATAAACGTCTAATAGACTTTGGGATGACTTGGCGGCCAGGTGCCACGAACAGATGCAAGGACGACAGTGGTAGCGCCGGATACTCAGAGAAGCAAACGAAAAGACAAAAGCGGATATTATTGGCACCGGAGCAGCGACTCGAGCAAAATGCGAGGCGAGATTGGAAATAGAGCTTCCGAGATACGAGGGGTCAGAAAAGCTAAGATGGAAGCGCGACTCCGGCCGTCGGGAGGCGCAGAAGACAGCGAGGAAGGCGGATCCCCTGGCCTGGCAAGTACAGGTAGATGAGTGCGTAAAGTCAGTCTGACCAGTGACTGCGGCGGTTTGGCGGACAATATAGCTTGCGGGATGAATGACGGAATGAAGTGTCGCGGAAACCAAAATGATGCAAATAAACCGTGTTTATGAAAGTTGCGGCGGGAGCACGTGCGGGAAGCCTGGAAGGTGTCAAGAAGTCGAGAAGCGTCCGGCTTGCCGCTCTTCGGCTCCCATGCATCGACATATGGGCTTCCCTCGATCCTGGATCCATGCTTTTATGCGCGTCCCTCAAAACCCCCCTCTGCTCGCTCCTCTTCGCAGAATCTTACCCCATCGCTCCCACATCTCACAGCCCGAGCCCCCGACGCTCTCGTGGCCGACGACGTAGCGAGCGAGCGACGATGAACGTCCGCTCGCCCACTCAACCCTCCTCGGCATCCACGCCATACGCGCAAACCCAACCCCGTCTCTCCCGATTCACCCTCCGCGGCTTCCTCTCCTTGCCCCGAAGACTCTGCTCTCCACCCGCCGCCGTTGGCAAAGTTCGCTCCTTCGGTCTCACCCCCATCTTTGATGTCAAGCTCGAGGATGTCCTCGATCGCAAGCACCTCCCGCCCCTTTCCCTCAAGGATTTCGAGGAGTGGCTCCTGTATGTTGAACAGTCTGTCGAGAACCTCTACTTCGTCCTCTGGCTGCGCGAATACACTACCAAATACGACCGTTGGATCGCAAAGGTCCGAACCAGAGAAGCAAAGGCACGTCGCGTAGTAAATGGCGGCGCGCAGGCACACTCCACGTATCGCGTCGCATGGTCGACTACAACCCCGACTTCGCCGTCACTCGCGCTCTATTTTGCACGCGCACGTGAGACTTTCCTGGTTCCCGGAGCTCCTTACGAACTCACCCTGCCCCCGGCACTTCTTGACGCGTTATCGGTCGTTCATGGCCACCCGGATCCCGCTGTTTTCGCACCTGCACGCGCGCATGTCGAAGGTGCCCTCCGTGCAAGCCTTCGCAATTGTGTCCGCGCGGCATACAGCAATGTTGGTACATACCGCGCTGCATGTGGTATTGCCGCAGGCATCTTCTTTCTTCTCGTTGGTACCGTTCCTGCATTAGCAGTGAATTTCGCCAAATCGCAGACTAGATGGGAACGCCTGGTCATATTACCAGGATTATGGCTTGGTCTGACGATCCTCATCGCGAGTTTGCGCGGGATCTGTATGATGATTTATATTTTTGGTGATTTTCGGCAGCTCCGCAAGTGCGTACACTCAAGTTTGTGCTATGTTATTATTTGGTTCTTAAACTGCTTTCGGTAGATTTGAACTTGTGAGGCCTCCACCACCTACTACAAACCGCGAGATCGAGTCGTGCGACGACGAACTTACGCGATCGCCGACCATTGTAGCACCGACGCGCCCTGTACGTGCTCTCACTGCGCCTCCCAAAGTTGCTGTACGCATCCCTTCACAAACACCGACGCTCTCGTACGGCGCTACAACCGTATCCCTCACTACGGACATCACTTTCCCGGGAACGAGTACGGGCACCGAGAGTTCGTATACAAACACAACGTCGCAGACTCATGCGCATACAATCTCCATCTCGTCTCAAAAGAGTCGTGGTGGTGCATCCAGTCTGTATGCATTCGGAAATGGTTACACATGTGGAAACGCAGACACGGACACTCGCTCCGTACCACCGTATGCAACAGATGACGAAAGTGTAGACGCAGAGATGGATGATGATGATGACGCGGATGCAATGAGCAGTGCAAGTGATCATGGGATCTATATCTCGCCCGCGATGCCATCACCAGAGCCTGAGGATGATCCGGCGGTTGTGAATGCTGCAATGGCGTTGATCGCAGGCAGCACGGTCAACGGATCAGGGACTCTTACGCTTCCTCAATCTTCAGCGACTTCTCCAGTGTTATCTGGCCCGTCTGCGTCCACTGCCATGTCTGGTACTGCTACAGGTACTCCTGTTCCTGCGCTAGCAAAGAATCAGACTACGCAGACAGCACCGCAATTACCCACCGCATCTTTTATACCTCCATATCCTTACTCAGACGCTGACTCCATAACCAAGCGTGGTCATTCGCGATCGCGTACTTGCTCTGGAGGTGTGGGTAATAGCACTCCCCGAGACCTTGAGGCCGCTGTCTCGTCCACTCCTGTAGCTTCCGCGGTGCAGCGGTCCTGCGCATTTGACTTTGATGCGCTTCCACTTGTGACGCCTCCTATAAGTGTCCCGCATTCTCGTCCCCGAGGTCCAGACACCCATATCGACGTGAACGTAACTGCGAATGGAGTGAACGACGAGAAGGGATTGCAACTGCCGTCACCATCTGGGTACGGCTTAGCCACGGATTGCGATCCAACATCGCCTATACACTTAGAGGATGTTGCTGGCTTATGCGAAAAGGAAGATGGGAGTCGTTCTAACTCTTCGCGATCGAAATGGCGTTCATCTCACTCACGCTTCCGCCTTCCTTCGTTCCGCAGCCTTTCGGCAACTTTCCACTCCATGCGTCCATCATCTGCATTGTCTCAATCTTATTCAGACTTCACTAGTCTGGGCGGCAAAGAAAGCGAAAAACTTCGTGACTGGCATTCGCGGTGTGCAATCGAGAGCCGTGTTCCGGCTTTTGGACCTGTTACGCGAGTACTCGCACCTGAAGTAGCACGCGCTCAGTGGGAGATTGTTGTACGTGCTGCTGTATTAGCAACTTTGCTCTGTGTCGTTGTCTGTGGTGTTGTCGTTTCATTACCTGTGCCCGGGAAGATTTAGGCGCAATATGTGCACCCAGGCCTGCATTTCCATCCTTTTTTGAAATTTCCTTTGCCTTTGGAACCCACTGTCTTTTATTTCACTCCGTTGTTCACCTTGTCTTGCACCTTGCTATATTTCACTTTGACTCCGCGCTATAAACAATTACTCTTCACACTTCGTCTTCTGCTCTGTAACCTTATCCTACCTCCGTGTTCGTTCTGCTCATTTTCTCACCAAAACATTCTCTTCTGTTCTCACAAATTCGTCTTCCTCATCTTGATCTGGGCATCTCCAGTCTACAGTTTTGAACTCCAATGTTGTACTCCATCCGTCTTTCTTTGACTCTCTAAATCTCTTGTGATCACTATTCCTCCCCACTTGCCTCCCTCTCTGTGCAATTTCCGATTTCTTATCACCTTCAGTTACCTTATTATGCCACTGTCGTTCCCGATCCGATCCCCTATCACTTGGTCTTATCTCCTCGCTTCTAAGTTCTACAGGTTCTGTCTTCCGCTTGTGCTACTGTTCAGTGTTCTGGTTCCTTTCCCTACGCTAGATTCCTCTCTCTCTGCTGGTGTTCCTGGTTCTTGTCTTCCCACTGCATAAGTGTATTGTCCCGTCCTTTTCATCAAATTTGGATCCCGAAGATCCTAAGATCCAAATTCAGATCGACGTCTCTTTCTCTGGTCTTCTTATCCGTCTTTTACCCACTGGCGCTATACTCTTCCGATTCTTGTTAATTGTTGCCTTTCGTCATTCATTTGTAGGGTTCCCTCCGACCTCCGGGGTTCAAACCAAATGTCCAAACTTCTTTTTTTAACTTCTTATTAAATTACTTTTCCTTCTTTTAACTTCACCGGTTTTTGTTACTTTATCCTTTCAGATGTGCATAACACGCAAAATTGCAAGTTACAAAGTTATGATAAAAGGGTATTAGAGGCGTGAATTTAATTTGTTGTACATGTGATGAGGTTCTCAGATAAATGGCCTCGTGAGGGAGATTGACGGTAAGGTGTTCATATTATTCTAATGCTGAATCTTATTTCGGTATGTATGGATGTACGAATGTATGGATGTATGATTTCAACTGACAGGAAAGGAGAGGATGCCGCGAAGAAGTAAACGGAATGATCGGATTGCCGACATAGGAGTGAACACAAAGTAAATATAAATAAATATCCACAGACGGAAGCAAACTGTTAGTTTCCCTGCCGGTACGTCATTCTCAGTTGTTCGCAAGACTTATAAAGCAGACAGATGGAAGTCTCAGGTACCGAGCCAAGTTTAAACCTTGTGTAAATATGCTGAATGGCATGTGTGTATAGACAGAAGAGTCGCTGAGGGAGACATATTTGGTATTTTGCTTTGCTGTCAATGTGAAGCTATATATACCGTACCTGTGTTGATGTACCTTCAAGTTCCTGTGGATCTGCTCGCTCCTAGTCCAGTACTATCCTAGTAATAGTACAAACTTAATTTAATCATAATAACTCTGTCATTTTTGTCCTTACTCAATAAAGTTCTTACTTTGTAGGTAGGAATGATCAATGAATACACAAGTTTGTACTCCTTCGTGAAGCGACTATACGGCCATTCCTAATGGTTGTCCGATCGTAACATGGTTCGAGAGCAGCAGACTGTAGCGAATGATTTCCATGCAGGAGGACGAAATCCGCAGGAGAGCCTATAATCGGTATAAGAGAGCCTGTGTCCCTGCCGTTGTTGAGGCCAATGGCTTGTCTCGACCCTACAGAGACTGCTTCCTAAAATAATCACGCAGTTGAGACATAGAATATAACAGTAAGAGATGGGGTAAATGACAAACCAATAGTCTCTTACATCCATCAATTGTCCCATCCTGGTACACAGCAACACCAAGGGGACACAATGAAAGTGGATCCGGCGTACCCTGTGGAGTGAATGCATTCCCAACGTTATTCACACTCATTGCTACAGCCAAATCGTACTCCCTCCCCAGTTTACATATGTTCAGAGTACCACGTTCACCAGAATCACGTCCCATCATGTACAAGTCACTTTGCGGTAAGCCAACAAAGTGGATGGGTAATGAGCCAATACGTGTACGGAGATCGAATAGCTGGTCTGGAGTGAAGAGGGATAATCGAGTTGCATGGCCCAATGTGATTACTCGATCAGGCATACGTTCTGTCCAGTGTATCTCGTGCAGTTTAGAAATGAGGAAGTAGACTAGAGGTGTCTTGTCGGAATTCGTCTCTGCAGGTACTGGAGATAAGTCGTAGTCAATGTGGAAGTCAACATGAAGGTGGTACTGCGTTGCGAGGTCGAGAATGAATTCGATATTTGCTTGCTGTTGAGCACGAGTTTGCTCAACGTATGGGGCAGATCCAATGGCGTCGATAGATTTTGAGTAATGTTCCAGCACTCCGTTGCATATAAGTGCATTTGACCCTGGTACGTCGTCTTCAGGTTTATCAAAGATAGGATCTTGCACGAACACTACATAAAAGCCAATCAATATTGACATATGCGTCTACCTTTACAAGAAATTAAGACAACTCACAACATAGTTGTACATCACAAATGCCGTTCCAAGCCTCTTTCAGCTTGACTCCAGTCGAAAGACAAATGTCTTTAACAGTTCTGTCGATTTCGACGTGTGCACGCATATGCGTCACGCCAGCTCCAACGCTGGAGCGTATTAGCTTGTCGCCTCGTGCATATAGATCATCTGCTTGATTTTTGAAGGTGGCTTTGACATCGGACGTTACTTGAAGAGCTTCTGAGAAGTCACTGCACAAAAAATCAGTCTAGCACTTAAGATATGTACAGCACACGCGTTATATCAGATACACGGAACAGACACACCCTGTGATGAGAGGAGCACCCTTATCAATGATATAACACTTGTCTAAGTGGATATGAGAGTGGCAGAGTCTGTGCCCTGTAGGAGTTGGCAGGCTTTAACGAGATAGGATTAAAGAGGTTTTCTTACGAGGGAATCAGTAGACTACCCTGTTCGACTAGGATATCAGCATCCTTGGCATTTGAATCAATCAGATCGCTATCCTGGAACCATATTTCTGTGACTTTGCCACCATGACAACGGATAGTGTATAGATTTTCAGAGAGTACTGCGTCCAAATGAGCAAACCTTATGTTCCGAATTTCTAGAGCCATTTTGATGCATTCAGTACACGAAGAAAGGAAACGTGGGAACTAAATCCGGACCTACATTCCGTCAATCGTCTACTCGCACGTGATACTACTGCACAGTATTCTGCTTTGAATCGAATCAATCGATATTTAATCGTTTCTGACAAGTTCAATGCCTTCTGCCGCTCGTCTTATCCCGGTGATGACGCATACTGGAGGCAGTGGGCTGGCCTACAGTATTGGCCTACAAGAGACCTGCATATGAGCCTGTATTTATCCCTTACTCTGATTTTTATTAGGCATGGTCAAACCTTGCGATTCAGTGTGTGATTCACCTGTGCAATTCACTTTCATGCAAAGTGAATCGTGGACCCTGGAACCCTAGCGATTTGGGGTGAATTGCACTGAAAGGTGAATTGCACTTTGACACAATTTGCCTTGTGATTCACCCCTGCAATTCACCTCTACTCATATCTATTTCCAAATATGTACATGTATTACAAAAATAAAACTAAGCTTCTTTTCACCTCTAAATTCAAAAAACAGTAAGATGATTTGCCTCTTCCTTGTGAGCACTACAGTATACATACTGTCCTCTGTTCTGCAAAAAATCCTTGTGTTCTCTGCTACCAAGCTCTGTTGTCTTCTTGCACATCACTGCACACATATCAAGTCCTTCTTAACATGGCCAAATGTATATGTATGAGAAAAAACTATTTCTTTAATTTTATATTATGTAATTTTAAGATCAAGGGTTGGTATATTGAGGTGAATATGTGTACAAGTGTGCTGGTCAAACCTGCACACACAATTCACCTTACAATTCACCCTCTAGAATCACAAGGTGAATCACACAGAGAATTGTAAGGTTTGACCATGCCTATTTATATTAGGCATGGTCAAACCTTACAATTCAGTGTGCAATTCACCTGTGCAATTCACTTTCATGCAAAGTGAATTGTAGACCCCAGAACCCTAGCAATTCAGGGTGAATCACACTGAAAGGTGAATCACACTTTGACACAATTTGCCTTGCAATTCACCCCTGCAATTCACCTCTACTCATATCTATTTCCAAATATGTACATGTATTACAAAAATAAAACTAAGCTTCTTTTCACCTCTAAATTCTAAAAACAATAAGATGATTTGCCTCTTCCTTGTGAGCACTACAGTATACATACTGTCCTCTGTTCTGCAAAAAATCCTTGTGTTCTCTGCTACCAAGCTCTGTCGTCTTCTTGCACATCACTGCACACATATCAAGTCCTTCTTGACATGGCCAAATGTATATGCATAAAAAAAAACTATTTCTTTAATTTTATATTATGTAATTTTAAGATCAAGGGTCAGTATATTGAGGTGAATCACACATGTACAAGTGTGCTGGTCAAACCTGCATGTGTGATTCACCTTGTGATTCACCCTCTAGAATTGCAAGGTGAATTGCACAGAGAATCACAAGGTTTGACCACACCTATTGTTAATGTCTTCCTATCTTACCTTTTTAATAAAGAAAAGTAACTAAAGTTACTAGACATTTATAATGGTTTTACCACTGTAAAGACCTGTAGAAACTGGGATCAGCAAGGTAAAGAAGAACTAATAATGGTTGTACATAATCCATCCTGGAATAGGACTAGGGTCCTTTTGTGCACACAAACATACAATATACATGTACTATTAGACAAAAATCGTCACTGCTAGAACGGTCAACAGGTTTGAGTAGAGTGTTTCATGACACAGCTTATTGTGCAATTGTAGCACTTCTTAACAAGTTGAATTAATGCATTTCGAGCATGTTATATGATGTGGAGGAAAATGGCCCATACATGTAACTTTTGTTCAAAACCTTCCCCAACTAGTGGCGCTTCTAAAATATTCGTCACAAAAGTAGCTACAATATTCTCCCTAGTTGCAGTGCTGTGGATCTTGGCCTAAAATTGATGGACTACGTGTAGGTTGTAAGTAAGTACGCTAAAGAAAATATAGTGGTATGATGCTATGCCCATACTTTGATTGATCTTCAAGTTTCGTCCATTGTATTTCCCCCTCCCTCTTCGTCTCCTTCTCCACAAACCACCTTACCAATACCAATCCTAACAATCTCGACACTCCTAACGTTCGCGATCAGCCACCTTCCCTCCTCTCCCTTCACAGTATCCCTCCATCCCCCTTTGATATTCAACTCACGTATAGGGACACCCTGTGCTCTACGTGCTTTGACAAATGGGATGAGTTGGTAATCTATGTTACCCCAGAGCTCTAGTGATTCGAGGTGCTTGCAGAGTGGTGTTACAGGCCCAGTCATTATATCGGTGGTGCTTGTGGTGGAGTAACGAGAAAGACTGGTGTTGCTGCTGCCACCCTGACAGCCTGGGATAGCATGATCTTCCTGAGGGATGTAAACCATATCGAGGCAGAGACGTTTAAGGTTAGGGCACGCGGAGTAGAAGTGTTGTAGACTGTCTGTTGAGCAGGATAACCCACTGAGTGTCATTTCAGTAATATTGTGTAGGATGGATTTAGGCTCTCTAGGGTCGACGAAGCGTCCGTTCTCCTCTACTTCTGACAACGGCGAGGGATTTGGACTACTGTCTAGAGACGATGGAAGGAAAATGAGGTCTCTGAAATTGGGCGGTTGTGGGTCCGGCAATGGCATTGGAGCAGCTAGTTGGCGTACAAATGTATCACATGATTTATACATGTAGATGTCCCCGCCGAGGTCGAGGGAGATACTTTTTAGGGCTGGAGCGTAGAACAAACGTAACAACGAACATGCTTCTTCTTCTTCAACAAACCCGAGCGCAAGGTATCGCAAGTTAGGTAGGAATATCGGTTGTGTGGCGGATCCTTGCTGGCGAAGATCTGGTCCGGAATAGTCGAGTTCGAGAGAGGTCAGGTTCGGTGCGCATCGGAGTATGTTTATGAACTCTTCGTAAGATGGCCGGGCGTCTCGCCAGTGGTTACGAAATTCGATGTCTGTGAGGTTGGTTGTGAAAGTTGGTGTTGAATATAATGACGAAAGCGCAGATCGTTCTGAAGGAGGGATAAGCAGTTTCCAGTCCATGTATACTCCTATAAATACAGCTTGAGTAAGCATCGGCGCGTGCCCCCCAAATGGAAAATTACATTCGAGATACGCCTGTGTAGTTAAGTCGTCAAGATCTTCATTGCAGCAGAGAACAAAATGCCTGGAGAATAGGCGCGCCGGGATCTGCCGGACATTTTCCTACTTAAGCGTTCCAGTGCTGAATACATGTGTTTGTATAAGTTCGCTGAGAACTGGACAGAACGCTAGCGAGAGACATGAGGGATTATCAAGTCTAAGATGCAGTCAAGGTGGTGTTTAGCTATGTCACTTCAATCTTCCTCGTTTTCGTCGTCTTGATTGTCAATATCATCCACGTCAATTTCGACCTCAACTGGCGACAAGTCAATATACAGATCCAATGGGGCCTTTTTCGATCCATCGAGCCAACACTTGCTCTTCACGAAAGGACGAGGCTCAGTAAAGTCGAGTTTTGTCCATAGTGTAGGCATGTCGATAGTAATATTTCTCCAGCGTCGACATACATGCGACACACGCGCTGGGAAAGATAGTAGCCCGTTCATGCCGTATTTTGCATTCCGGACGCCGTCCCAACCCTTGTCTGCTTCTTCCGCACGCGCTCCAATTTCGAAGACATATTCAATTATCTCGAGCGGTAAGAGTTCTGCGATTGGACGTTTGTCTCCTTTCTGCGCAATATGTCGTGGATTTTTTGACGCTTTCGGGGGACTGGATGGTAACATGGTGGGGGCGAGAGCAGTGGCCGTTCTATGACGAGTTGGACCTATGATAAGAAGAATGGTAAGATGGTAAGAGAACTACCATATGCATATTTTGTCAATCATCCTTGTGCACGTGATGCATGCAGCTTTTCACAAACACAGGAAGCAACTTGAAGAGAAGCACAGTCTGAGTTTTGCCTACCATCTGTCCCTCTTAAAATAATCCCTCTACTCATACAAGCTCTAGGCTCTCACAAGAAATAAAAGGGAGGAATTACACAACAGACATGACTCAAAGTGCAAAAGAACACAAACACATTGTATATCCCTCATCCAAGTCATCTCTTTTTGCTATTATTTGATTTTTCTTCCACCTTAGCTGCATATTATCAAACAAATTTACACAAGTTACGTTGCCATAACAAAAAAAGATACTAATGACACAATGCAACATTCAAAGCAGCTGGGGAGATTTGGGGAGTGGATTTCTGGCTGATAGATATCAGATACTAACCCAATATGAGTGGTGTCATGTATATTCCTGGTAGCAAGATATATCAGCAAATATAGCGAAACAACCTCACATTCAACTCACTAGAAGGATAAAGAGACTAAAATAGAATGCAGTCGTTCATGAACGCGCTTTCTCTAATCGACTCTCTGTCTGTTCAAGCGCACGATACAAGTCTGCCGCTGCAGACGGAGGCAAGTCGAATAGTGATACAATTTTGGGAACCGCCTCTTTGCCGAGTACGATTCGTTCCGCGTTCTCGTCTTCATTTTCTCTTGCGGTTGTAGTTGAATCTGTACTGGACTCAGGTGACAGCGACTTGGTGGTGGGTGGCGGGTCTGGCTTGTATGTTTCGTAGACTTTATCCAGCGCGATGTTGGGCTCGGCTCGAATTGCACCCTTATCCATTAGGGCTTCTAAGTAAGATGATGCTTTGAAGGCTTCGAGAGTGGTTTTGGTGTCAGAGGAGACGAGTGTTAAAAAAAGTGCTGCTATGTTCACCTCTATAATGATGCCAAGATCGCCATACGCAAAAGAAAAATGGCAAATTGGGTATTATCGCTACGTATCATTCATGAGAACTCTCTGCAAAGTTTTAAAAGCAGCTAGCAAATACGCACGGACTAACATGAAGGGAGCCGTTAACGGTGAAATGAGCAACCATATGTAGAAGCCTTTTTGATGTTTTGGAGTCCGCCTTCCGAGGAGTGTTCGAAGATGTTTGAGAGGCGGACCTTGTTGTTCGTAGAATGGTGGGTATACGAGTGGTATCTTTCATGGAACGTCATGAGTCTCGACGGTGATTAGCTGCCTCTTGGGATATAGGATACATGAAGAAGTTACATACCGACAAAGTATCCTTCTCGTCTCTTCGCATATCAGATCGGCCGAATTTCGACAGCTTCGGGCCCAAAGATGGGTCCATTGACTTGAGGGATAGCTCTTCAAATTCTATTCGGTCCATCATTCGTTCCCCAGTCGTGAATATCCGACGCTGGAAACAAACCAAAAAATCAGTAATTTGGCGCAAGCAGAACGGTTAGACGAGGTTGTCATCACACCTTCCAGCTTTTCTCTGGAGCTTTCCCAAAACTGGCCCATAGGCTCGCAGCCTTCTCTGTTACCTTCTTGAATAGCGTTGGATTCGATCTTTGCTTTGCGGGCGGGGGTGTCTGGAAGTGGTAGTATGTATGGAGACCGGTTGAAGCTGCTTCTGAGGTGAGCGGGAGAGCGATTATGCGCATACGCGCGAGCTTCGCTAGTGGCTTTGCTACTCCTTTGGACATTATTTGCAGCAAATGGGTAGCTGGGGAAGGAGGAGCAGGAGGAGCACGACGTCAGAGCAAGCTCTAGGGAGATTTTAATGACGCGAAACGACGCGTCTCGATTCGGCTCGCTGTTTGCCGAGCGCCTAATTTGGCTCGACCCGTACATGCACGTCCACTATTCATTTCATTTGTACGCTCATCGTCAATATCATGAACTCGCCACCAGAGCTGGCTTCACCGTCACCATCGACCGAGTCTTCCGGCTCACCTCCTCCAGATGAAACCCTATCCGAACGCGCTGCCCTCGCCACAGCATCCCAAACTCTCGCCAACCTTAGTCAGGCTAAAAGACGTCTCGCCTCAGGTCCAACGGCGAACAGAGACCTTAAGTCGAGGAGACGCGATGACGGCTCCAAGAGGAGCTTCATACAGGGTGACTTGGGTGTACGAGAAGGCGCAAGGAAGGAAGAGTTCGTTGATAATGACCTCATGGAGAAATTGAAACAAGGTGAATTTTCGTACCTTCAGCATATTCCGTCAGTGCCTGTCAGTGTTAATGGCGTTTTTTATTGTTATAGAATTCGGCGACCCATTTGACGAGTCCGACTTAAAAGCACTTACGCAATAGGCCTCGGTCCGTTAAGTTATTGAGTGTATCATTAAAAACGTTGACTTATCAGATTAAATCTTAATCACCAGGACAGCTGCTTTGTTATCTCTTATCTTCTCTCAAAAAACTACTGTATATTTGTAATTGCATCATAATTTATCTTCCAAAAAGGCCGCCATTACAAACCTTCATTATTTTGTTTTCATTTCCACATTCTACACCATTCGTCTCACATTGTACAACATTTCCGTTCGACCTAACTCCTTATCTCCCACACTAATTATACAGGCGAAGATGCAAGGTCAGAAGACGTTGCTTCTGCAAAAACCATAAAACCATATGGCCAAGCTTGAGGACATGTGATCATCCTGATACCTCCTGCTAACTTTCACTGCTGTCAAGTTACGTTTAATGACATCTCTGTATGAAGCTTGTACTGGTTTAAGGCGGCTTTCATGCATCTTGCTTGGGGACTGTACGACTTCAAATCTGCCTCATTTCAGTCTGCCACAATTACTAGGACTGCCTCGTGGAAACATGTTTGAAGCCCGTTCTGGGGAGCTTTAAGGATACGACTTGCGTTCCGATGTTCCGCCGGGCCGCTCGTATAAATACCCATAACTTCTAGATGGGTGATACAGCCCATTAGCATTGCAAGCACCATGACCAAGCAGTACGAGCAACTCACCCGTGCGTTGCATGTCTATAACTTACAGATTGTTCACTTCTAATCTCCTTCACTTTGGCTTACAGCTGAGGATGTGGAATTTTTCATGTCCAGAGGGTAAGCATATTTAAGCTAAAAATAACTCCCTATCTCTGCAGGATTCATTATTTAATCACTATTGTGATTTCTGGTGTTTATCTGCAGATACGTAGTGATCAAGAATGCGTTCAGCAAAGAGAAAGCAGAAGAATGGACGGAGAATGTTTGGGTGCGCTTAGGTATGGACCCGAATGATAAAAGTACTTGGACGAGCGAGAAGGTCCATATGCCTTGGCATCGTCGCGAACCAGTGCAGACGTTTGCGCCAAAGGTCAGTCAGCAAAAATTGACCGATATCATTGCAATCCTTTACTCCCAATTATTGATATTGATGCTACCAATCATTACTTTTTTTCGGACTTACAGGCCTGGGCTGCAGCGAAGGACCTGCTCGGCGGCGAGGAACGTATCGCCCCCAATGGAGCGCTTTGGGGGGACAATTTCATTGTGAACCTCGGTGCACCGCAATACGAGGGCGAGGATAAGTACATCCATCCGACGGATTTGGATAATTGGCACGTTGATGGCGATTTCTTTGTACGTTAAATGCAGTCCTTATACTTCTTTATGTATGCATGGTGTTAGACATTTACTTACCAGTTTTATTTTCTGCTTTATATTTTCAAACGCAAATCACAGGTCCATTTCCTCGACTCCCCCGAACAAGCGCTCCTCGTCATCCCGATCTACGCACCGATTCGTCCACGCGGTGGAGGAACATACATCGCACCAGACGGGATAAACCTCATCGCAAACTACTTGGCATCACACCCAGAGGGTGTCCTGCCGACTGGCTTATCCTTCACGCCATCGACTTCAACGTACGAGAATCATCAAGATCATCCAGATTACTTCTCCAATTTGAAAGAAATAAAGCGCTGCAAGGAGTTTGTCGAGCTTACGGGAGACGTAGGGGATGTTATTCTTATGCATCCTGTGAGTACCATCCTTTCTGAGTTTTGCAATTCACTAATCCGAAGTCTCTATTCTCTTTTACTTTCTTTCGTGCTTGCAATTGATTGTTAGCTCATGCTTCACTCGGCGTCAAAGAACCACACGCGTGCTCTACGCATTATCACAAACCCACCCGTCAGCCTTAAGGAACCATTCAACTTCAATCGCGAGAATCCAGACGACGTCTCGCTTGTAGAGAAGAAGACACTGAAAGAGCTAGGAGTAGAGCGATTGGATTTCAAGTACGTTTTTTCGATTCCCGTACCTTCATTCCTTCTTTTTTATTTTAAATTCATGAATACTAATCATAATTCGCTTTATACATGTGCATTTTATTTATTCATTTATTTGTGTTTTATTTTATGCAGGATAACGACAGAGCGAAGAGAAGTCGTCCCTCTGCGTGTAGCAAGACAACGAAAGATGCTAGAGGAAGAGAAAAAGAGACTCGAAGAGCTTAATAAAGCGAATGCGAGCGAGGTTGCATCTGCTTCCGCACAGCCTATCGCAGTCGCCTAAATCTACAACCGAACGAACGAACGAGCGAACAGATTTAGCGAATCTTAGAGTGAACGGAGTTATGCCTTGTTTTAGCGCAAGTGCCGTAAGGTCGTCGTTATGTTGCCTGTATTTTGCCTGTATACTTGCACAGAAATCGCAGTTTCCTACGATGAATACTAATTTTGTGAGTGCGTGAAAGTGACACTCAAAGTAAAGCTTCAAGGATGTTATTACTCGTGGCCACCAAACCACACTATAGGAGTAGATTCCAGTACTTGAGAGTCGAAGAGCTACAAGTTCCTCCAAAGGCCAACCGTAACCGCTAAGCTTAAGAGCGTGTTTAACCTCTGTTTAACCTACTAGTAACGAACTCCCATACAAATTCTATTATACATATAGTCCAAATTTAGGAAAAAGAGCAAACGAGGTAAAAACGCTCTCATATGGCGGATATGCAACGGCAGCCATGGCTCCCACCACCAAGTCAAAATACATCAGCAACGCATATATACAGAAGCCGGCGGAGGGAGGCGGGGAAGAATAGGAAAACCAACGAAACTAAGTATACATGACGCAACACAACGACGACAAAACCGAAAAGTCCCACAGAGGAACGAAAGACGCCAAAGCTACATTTAACTAAGCTTTACTTTATACCCCGCCGCTTCACACAGACAGATCCACCGCAAAACCGAAATCGAATTCAAGAGAGACGTCCAATAATGAGAGACAGATTTATAGGAAGCGAAACGAGGAACGAGAAAATAGTCAAGTGATGGTGATACATGAGGCATGTAGGCATTTACTGCTGAGAAGAAGTACGCGATGCTCTCAGTGATACAGTTGGAAAGGGGAGGATCCGTCCGCGATTCTGCGAGCCTTCGCGACGAAGCGAGAAATATCGTGAAAGAGGTCTGTCAGGATCATGCACCATTGTCGCTGGCGTAGATTCCATCTTCCCTGCTTCTGCACCCGACTCCATCCGCTGCTGAGAAGGTACATCAAGAGGCAGATCGGACGTCGGTTGTATTGGAGAAGAGATGTATATACCGTTGCTCTCTGGCTCTGGAGTTGCGCTAGATGACCTAGAAGGCATGTACCCTGAAGAAGAGAAGTCAGTTGATAGTACTGCACCAGAGCTACGTCCTTCGTTGATATTGGAATGTCGCGGTGGCGCGGACTGTCGCTTGTTCGGTCTAACGGTTTTGCCGGTCTGAGTCATGCGAGGTGGCCCAGACGAGCTGGAAGAAAGGTATCCTGATCCTAGGACGAATCGGGAACTCTCTGACGAGCGCACGGCGGAGGCTGACGAGGCATCAGGCTGCTTAGGTAGCTCCTTCGACACTCGAGATCCACCATTCCGCAGTATTGGCGCGGGTCCGGATGACCGGTTGGATAAATATCCTGAGCCAAGAAGAAAGCGGGAACTTTCTGAAGAGCGAGAGACAGCAGGCTTTGGAACATCCGGTTTTGACCACCTTAATCGTGCTGGAGTCGGGAAAAGGGGCATAGGAGATGTGATCTCGACGTTTGGGAGAGTATACAAAGCATTGCTTTCACTATTCTCCGGATCTCGACTGTTACGAGCAAGCGTTCGCATTCCATCGTCTGGATAACCTTGAGCGTCCTTATCAAATGCTATCCAAGAAAGTGTCTTCTCCGTTTGCATTAAAGAAGTATGTTTTGGGCTTAGAGGTGCAACACTACCAATCGGAGAGGTTGGGATCCAAGTGGAGGCTCCATCCCTTTCGTCACGATAACTTCGATAGCTGCGGAAACTCCGCTTTCCAGATGTCATTTGAGATATCCTCGTTCGGATACGAGTGGCAAGAGAAGACATGAACGAACTGCCCATATCAACGTCCTCTGTGAAAACAAAAGAGGTTTTCTCCAAGTCCCGCTTGACGCGTCGTCGTTTTCGCACAAGAATATAGATAATGATGGCTATCGAGATCGCCACGCTAACCCCGAGCACGCTGACGATAATCTTTCCTTGCCTGTAGATACGTTATCAAAGTCAGCGTGATTGGAGTTGTTGAAAGGCAATCGGAACTTACTTCGACAAGTGTTCATCATTAGAGGAGCGTTGTGGCGAACCAGACTCCGCGGAACGAGAAGGAGAGCTAAACGTTTCCTTGAAGCAATTAGACGAGCTACCCGAGGTACCTCCTGCGGTAAATAGCCCAGACGTTTCCCGGTGTCCCTCCCCGTCGTCAAAGGATAGAACTGCCTGGAAGCCGTGCATTACATCCAAGACATATTCTTTACTACTTATATTGTGGGGTTTGTTGTCGCTATCATCCTTTCCGTTGTTGCCGCTGTTGCCGCTAGCACCACCACCACTGTTATTAGTACTGTTGCTCTTGTTATCGTGATCATCGCTGCTATCGTCGCCGTCCCGTTTTCCATTTCCATGATCGCCTCGGAAGTCAGGGGTAAAAGTATTGACAGGTGTACTGGTCGCATTGACAGGAAACGAGAAATACCGGGGCAGAAATGCACGGATAGTCGGAAAATGGCTTATCATGGACGGATTGAATGTCACGTTGAATCGAGAGCACTGACTCAAGCTACCGTGCACCCCGTAAAAGTTCGACCTGCCCTGCTTCGGTGGTAGGCACGTCGTAACACTGGAATTCGCTACAGCAATGATGTCCGAGATAAAGCCCACACTATTTCCCGTCGCGTCGTCTAATGATGCAACGAACTTTGTCCCCGACTCCAGAGGCAAGAACGTGATACGCGCGGATCCTGCATCACTGTTGTTGTCCCAACTGTCCGACGGCAGCACCACGGATATCGGGTATGAGGAGATCGGCACGATGGTGAGCGAGAGGGGAAGTGCTGGTGGCTCCGTCGGTTTAGAAAAATTGACCTCAAACGGACCACATTGTTCGGGAGTCGAGAAATTGACATTCTTGAAGAAACAAAACACGGCCTGCGTGGGGAAGGCCAGCAACACGAACAGCACAGCGATCGCGTGCATGACCAAGAAATCAGCATGCGAAAAGCGACCTGCGCTGGCCTGTGGGTGAGCAGACCGAGTTGGTTAGCTGAAATACTTGAAACGAAAAGGAGAAAGAAAGCACACCTGTATTAGAATGAGGGAGAAGATGAAAGGCAGAGAGAGAAAGCAGGCGAGTTCACATTGGATAGTGGTAGGCAACCGCACGTAAGACCAGCTAACATGCTCCGGGCATCAAGCGCATGCAACGGCAGGTCACGACCAGTCAGGTAGACATAATTTAGTTGGACCGATCGATACTTAGCCAATTGAACCAGAGGTACGGATGTCGGGACAGGGATAAGGCACCTGAATATTCAGGTGTCGACAAAGCGGCGGATCAACTCCCAAGAGACGTGAGTAGTTGGTTCTCTCGTTGCATCAGGAAGAAACATTATTAACTAGTGTTCTTGCTGCAATCTCCGAGTGTCGTTCCATTTGTAAAATTAACAATGTAATTTGCACAATGTCAGTAGTTCTTCATATTAATACGTACGTTATCTATGCATTGCGGACGTCACCCTTCGCACAGTGCGCGAAGGTAAAAGATACGCTGCAGTTTGGTACACTGCAGCTCGACGAAAGAGTCCGATGTGAAAGGGTCCCAAGACGACAGGAACAAACTCCTTGTGGAGATGTCGACTCCGCTACCCACGCGTCGTAATTGGTCGATGCATCTCTGACCATCAGCAGTCCTCATATGCTTCCCGAACTCGTGCACGGAGAAACTGGCCAAACAAAGTTTCGTCAATTTCTTGCAACCAAACAAAGAGCACCTAAATAAATTTTTAAATGCTCACGATGTTTTGCCGTGTTGATTGTTGGAGCTCGACGTCAAAGTATGCGCTACTCATTGCTTTGAATCTGGTCCACGTGCCAAGAGGTCTTGTCCAGAGCCTTTAAACTTAGCCAGCTCCTTTTTCCACGGCTCCCAAACCTCGCCATATTTCCTCAGCAACGCAGTGAGTTCTTCGCGCTGCTCCCTCTAATCACCCGCGATCCAGCGGCAATAGTGCAATAGCAACCGACGATCGTCGTAACAACGACATAATGAAAGTGATCAACGTGAGAAAGAAAAGACTAATTGGAAAAAGTACCGGGGAGGGCACGCACAATATTCCAAGGTTCAGAGCCTCCATAGATGTCCGTGAACAGCTCCTTAAGCTCATGTCGCTTCTTGCCCTCTGCACGCTTGAAGGCCTCCAAAACTGTTTTCTTGATTCGATTACGCATTTCCTCTTCCTCTGACTCGCTCCACCACCCCTGAGTCTCAAGGAACAACCGGAAGCGCGAAAGTGGGTTGTCTGCACGGACCCAACCTTCAACCTCTGACCGAGAGCGATATGCAAACGAATCATCTGAGGTTGAATGGTGACCAACGCGATAAGTCATAGCTTCGACAAGTACGCCCCGTCCGGAGGCAATGCACCGCTCTCGTGCGGCGCGTGTCGCGGCGAGGACGGCTAGGACGTCGTTCCCATCAACACGAATGGTATCGACTCCGTAACCCGGGCCGCGTGAGGCTATGCCATCACCATGAAACTGCTCAGAGGCAGGAGTAGAGATAGCAAAACCATTATTGCGAGCGAAAAACAATGTTGGCGAAGGGATTGTAGATGCGAGCAACATGCCGGCATGGAAATCTCCTTCGGAAGCGGCGCCTGGTCGGGGGGAATCAGCGCTTGTCGAATGTGTCAAAAATAAGATAAAGGTACCTTCACCGAAATAGACCACGGCACAATTTCGACCTCTCCGCTCGGGATCTTGTTTCAAAGCGTAGCCAACGCCCGCAGCTTGGGGTATTTGTGTAGCTAATGGTGACGAGATAGTATGAAAATGGTACTTGGGCGAACCGATATGCTGCAATAAGGTTAGAAGATTAAGATGAACAACCGAACAGAAGATAGCACCGTACCACAGGCATTTGACGACCTTTGGTGGCTATATCACTCTCATTGCCTACGCATTGATTGATAAACTCTTCTACGGCCAGACCACGCCACAGGAGCACCCCGACTTCTCTGTATTGCCCAAGTACCCTGCATACAGGTTTAGTTTGACGAAGCCACTGAATAACAAAGCACCATACTCATCGTCTGGTGCAAGCGCAGCAGCAGAGCCTACAATACTCGCTTCTTCTCCGTACTAAAGACAGTGTCAATACATATTACGACTACAAAAGTCATGTGTACGGACCGCGGTCATCTAATTATAGAACATGTTCGTGTCAGTTGATGTTGGTATGTATGAAAGACAGTTGAAGTGGCCTACATAAAAGGATATTTTACCCTGCCGTTGTACGTTGTACAATACGTTATCCATGAGTGGAAGCGTTGACATCGTCTCGTACCTTGTCATACCAGGTGAGTGGCACGGCATAAATAATAATAATAATAATACATACAGCTTCCTGCCGAATTGCGCGCCTATCTGTGGCAGCTCAGCGCCTTCTATGACTAGTCCATCTTTACCCAAGACTCTATAAGTTGCAATCTGCTTATCATCGCCCATGACGGAGTTGAAGAAGTGAAGCTCAGAAGTAATAGCTGATTGAGTGCTGCCTGGGAGCAGACCATGTCGACCTGACGGGTGTTGTGGAGCGGACGTAGCCAAACAGCGTGAAAGCGGTCTCAGAGAGCGAGCAGATAGCAGCCTAAGCATTGGAGATGTCATGGTGGCAGAAGACAGATGAGCATTGCGTATGATCCGGAGCTGGACACAGCTGGGTGTTCGCGCGTGATGTAATGATTATTGTACGCGTTTGAGAGCATAAATGTGCGTGAATGTCGCTCCTCCGCCAGTCTACATCATAAAACAGCAATCGTTGTAAGATGTATGGCGAGGACGATGCGCGATGCGCGTATATTGCTGTCGAACGAACAACTGAATTGTGGAAAATAAAACGAGTTTAGCGGAGGGAGAGATGATAAGCGATTACCATATATGGTATGAGCGGCTGGGAATGGACGTCTTCGATTCCCGCCGTTGAAACAGCATCTCTTGTCGTCCTCTCCTCTTTGTCCTCTTGTTTTTCGCTCAACTTCATCCTCGACTACCTCATCCTCTTCTCCTCTCTAGACTCTCGCCTTGCGTGCCGAGGCTTCCATTCGTTAACAAAAGTCGCTCATTTATCGCTCTGTCCTTTCTCTAAATACCCTGGCTTCGTCATTCCCATTCTGATCTAACTCCAATGGCAAACAATACTCTCGGAAAGACAACTGCACCTCTCGCCGGTCGTCCCCCCTTCGCAACTGATGAGCCTGATTCTGCTTATGAAAACTCGCCCAATGGACAAACCCGTCGTCTCAGATTTCCAGATAACCAGGATAATAAGACAAGGCCAACTTCTGCGTACGACGTGTAAGTTTTTTCATCAACAAATTATAATTGATTATCTCTCCGAGATTAACCTTTTATTTTGTTCGCCTTTCTTAATAGATATGATCACTATATCGACGAAAAGAACCCTCGTCAGTCCGGTTACGGAGACCTCGGTGCAGACCTCCTAAATGGCGAGTTAGATGACGACTCCGACGACGAGACTATCGCATATCACGGTGACATCAAGAAAGACTTTTCGGAAGAAAAACTTCCCCCGCCGCCATCACTTAACAATTTTCCTGCCATACCCATCATGGCACCGAAGCCCGGGTATGCCGCACCTGTCAGCGCGTTGACGATGCCCGAACCTGTCGCGTCGCCTATCGGCCAGCAGCGTTCTCATCAACAGCAGATGCCTCAGCCGCAAATGCGACAGCAACAGAAATTTGGCGCCGCTCCCTTATCCATACCGGAACGGAGCCCGTACGCAGCATCTCCGGTACCGAGTACTCCGCATCCGTTGCAGCCGCCTATGACGCCAATCACGCCAGCGTTCGCTCGTCCGCCGAAGAGCGAGGGTGGAGTTAAGTTCGACGCCGAGTCGATCATACGTGGGCAGCGTGAGGAAGTACCGCTTGCGCGTCGCGGACAGAAAGGGGATGATTTCTGGCGACGGTTTAGCATGGTCGTGAGGGAAGAAGGTGGGAGGAAGAATACGAGGTCAGTAAATCTCATCCATCCTGAAAACAAACCATTAATGCTTCGGTTAATCTCCGTGTTTTTAGTTCCTGGCTCGAGAAGACTCAAAACGGCTCAGCCCATCTCTCTCGTATGGTCTGGATAATCGGTATCCTAATCCTCGTCATCATCGGCGGAGCAATCGGTTTCGGCTGGTACATCTCACACAACTCCACCACCACGACGCACGCAAAGGCTCTAGGTGGTAGCGAAGGGCAAGGCCAAGACCTCTCCATCACGCAGACAAGCACGGCTGCAGGAGGCACGAGTAGCGAAGGCGTTCGTCCGACACTTACGGTACAGAAACGTTGGCCGGTGCCAGAGCCGACTCCGGCGAGTGTACACGTCGTACATGTACATCCTCACGCCAATGCTCATTATGTGCCGCCGTCGAACTCGTCGAAGCGACATAGACGCACGATGAAGAATCGTCTAGTATAGACGTTGAACCTCCTTCCCGTCTTTCATTCTCCCTCCTCCCCTCTTCCCCTCTTACCTGAGATACTTGCTGTCTCATGTTTGCCTTGAGTTCCCCTTCGGATCAGAAAGGTAGTCAATGACGGATCTCTCCCTCCCCACCCCACCACTCCAGATCCGTATCTCTCTAGGGGACCGTGCTCCAACCAACACAGCCCCGTCCACTCCTTTCCCCTCCCATTCCAACGTATACCAACACACCACGCACCCCGGAATGTACATATTTATCATTCACTCAATCGGAGGAACCCAATTTTATCCTTCCTGTTTTCTATTTCTTGGTTCTCCTTTGCTCAGAGTTACTTTTTTCTTGCTATCGCTCACGCAATTTTACCCACCAACCCACCAACCCAACACCCGTTTGCAATAATATTGTTCTTAAGTCTCAAGTCTTACGTCTTAGTTCTTTCTTATTGCCTACCTTGCACTGCTTTATTTTTTTGCTGATTTTTTAGCAAGTTTTTCCCTGTTTATGTGGAGATATAGTTTTGATGATGCTCCAATTTGAAACGTTGATTTGGAAGGAATGAATATAAAATACCCTTTCGATAATTTTGTTTTTGAACAACTGTGTGGATAGGAAAAGCTGGTTTCATGAACTTGCATGTATATATTGTAAGGAATTGGTTGAATGCAAAAAGGCTGTGTCAACATTTTATAAATTTATAAAGGGCACAAAAAGGAACTTTGTTCATTGGATAGATTCATTCATTAAGTTAAGAGATTAGATCATCTACTAGAACCCAGATATGAATAAGAAGTGAAAATAACGTATAAAATACATACTAATATCTCTCTAATTTGGTGACAATGAAAACATGTAGAACATTTAGTGAAAGATATGAGCTATGACTGTAAAGCAGAGAAGGGTAGAGAAAATAATATCATGTGTAAAACAGAGTAAAGAAAAAAAAAAAGATGACGAAGGAACGTGCTTGACAGAAATCATTGTCAATAGTATGACAGCATCGATGTGTCAGATACTATTACCATTACAAAGATTACAAAAGGAGAATGAACAAAGGAAAAGTTGGGCGTTGACGGAAGCAGGATTAGCGGAGACGAGTAGCAGGATTCGAGGGTGCCTTTCCAGCTCTGGCAGTAGGCTGTTTCTTCGGTGATGGCGACGGACCAACATGTCTCACCTCAGACACCTCAATCTCATCGTCAGATTGCTCTGTCTGATTTGCACTCGCCTGCCCAGTGATGTTGGTGTTGTCCCCATTAGAAACGACGTCTTTGTCTTTATTCTCCAAGCTCTTTTGCTTTAGTTCTTTCTCTGCCTTGAGCTTCTTCCACGTTTCGGACTCGGTGAGGATACGATCTTTCATCCGTTCGCGCATCGTAGCTACTCGATCGTTATGCCAGAGCTCGTTCCGCTCCTTTCCGGTCATTTTCTTGGATGCCTGCGAAAGAACGCATATCAGTCAAATCGAAATCTCCATGCCATGCATCTTTTCTTAAAGAAAGATGGGTACGCACGAAAATGACTTCTTTGTATTTCTTCGGATCCGTCATGAACGTCTGCGCAAAATGCAACAGATACAATCCACAATCGCAGAAGTTCGGCTGAACAGGGACTAAAGCCTTCTTCGTCAAAGCAGTACTTGGGTTCTGTATACCCTTCTTATCCTTTGCTTCTTCTTGAAGGTACTCGTTTAACCGGCTCAATGCACGAGGATGGGCACTTCCGAGAGAGTCCATGCAAAATATGATCGTCCTTCGAGAGAATGTGTCAATTCATGGAAAACATGACGACGTTGTTTGTGTTGGAGATAGACGCTCACCGTGATCGCTGTGTCACCTCCAGTTCTTCAGAGCTTCCGCGATCCACTTCTCGGTGCCCAAGCACGTCGAGTTCGTCTACGTCGCTTGCTGGATTACTCTGATCTTTGTTTCCATTGAACAAAGTCCGTTTCCCCCTTTGATAAATCCCCGTTCGCTGGGAGGCACCACCGTAAAAACTCGTCGAGGGAACCGCTCCAGTGGTTTGAGTCGTTTCACCCGGCGTTTTCGAAGCAGAGCTAGCACGAGACGCCTGATTATCTCGTTCACTGAGATCATCAACAGACATGCTACTTTCAGGAGAATCCTTAGCAGCCTCGTTTGAACGATCGTCGACATCCATTGGAGATAGTACGTTCGGATCAGGTTCAGGGGACGAGAGGTCCATCTTGACATCGGTCAAAGTCGACGGTGGAGTTGTTACAGTGCTATTCACCGCCTGCGACGTCGTTGGGACGTCATCCTCATCCAACTGGTCGACTTCTATACCGTCCGACCCTTCTGAAAGGGAGTCTTCCACGACAACCGGGTCAGGCTTCACTGCTTTCCTAGCGGACTCGGGACGTTCCACTTCATCCTCGACAATGGATAATGACCCTGTAGAGACGTCATCTCCATTCCGTTGCATTGAGCGTTCAGCCGGAAAGTGTGACTCATCAAGCGAACATCTTCGTAAGTCCTGTACAACGTTACCATCTGTGTCGTTCATGAGTTCCTTCTCAACTTCTGCAGCATCTGAATTGTTCTCCCAGGTAGCAGATGTATCATCCCTATTTTCGACTGTACCCTCCCGCGACACAGAGCCTGACGTGTTTGCGTTGATGGCAACGTCTGACTTATCTTTTCTCAATGATCGAGTCACCACTCGCGACGCTGCATCGCTGACTCGCTTTGATGTCCGTGGTGTTGGCTTGGGTAATGGAGGATCGAGAATATGTTCGGGATTGTATATAATAGCTAAGTACCAGTGAATACTACAACGAAGCGTCAGTGCAAAAGATCTATATGGTAGTCACCTTAACTCACTTCTCGTTGATCGGGACGATAATGTATTTCTTCTTGAAGATATCTACCTTCGCGGTCCATTTGCGAACGCTCTTGTGCCCATCTTCCGGTCTAAACAGTCGTTGAGCCACAAACACCAATTAGACATACTCGAAACTCACGTCTTGTTAGCCCTGCTAGCCAGCTTTTTGAAGAAGAATGAGCTGAAGACATGAATCTCGTCCGCAAGTTCAGGTTGTTCGGCACGAAGATTATTAAGCCAGAATCTACGCAGCATCAGTCATAGTTCGTCCGGGCATTTGGGTGTAACAGACGCACTTGAGACCCAGTTCAATGATCGTGTCATTGAGAAATTCGGAAGGCTGCAGTCGTCTGAGATCGCCGTTCGTGATATTGACAGCTCCTTGGCCCGAAGGTGGATATACAAGAATACTAGAAGGTACGGAAGATTCGTGAATTTGTGGTTACATGTGTCGAGCTGGTTCGACCTACATCTCCTCCAAATTAGCGGGCGGGGTCTCTTCCTCGTCCTGCTTGTCTTGCTTGTCCTGATTATATGGTTTGCGAGCTTCTGATGATAACCGAGTAGAACGGCGCGTTGGAACTGCAGCAGTGAACATTTCGTCGATGTTTTGGTTTTTCCGACTGCGCTCCTTGTATTAGTACACGAAGTCTAGAGTGGCGTGAAAGTGACATACTTTGCAGGTCGCGGACGTGGTTGCTTCCTCTTTTCTACTACAGGAGCATCTGTATCGTCGTCGTCGTTAAGCTCGGCAGGCGCACTGCGATTTGTATCCTTTGTTTCCTTCCCTCTATTTTGCGGTTTAGGTTCTGGAATACTAACGGACTGCAGCGCCGATTCAAGGCAAGCCCTTGTGCCAGCACCACTAAATAACATAAGTTAGTTTTACTTTTGTTAGTGCAGAATGTTAAATGCACTCAACACTACACGCCGCAGTTCCCTCCCATTTTCATACGCCTGAGCCTTTATTCGAGAGAACAAACTATCCCAGTCCGTCGTCATGTTACTATGCCGACTCAAGAATTTGAAAGCAAATCCAGTGTTCACAATGTCCTCTTTGTCCGTCGTCAGTCTTGGTGCTCGCAACCACAAACAAAAAAGGTGCGAAAGAAACCAACCTGGGACACTTTGATCAAAGTCCTTGTCAAACTCAAACCTCACAAGATGAAAGTCAGGATCGCTTGAGATCTGTCCTCAAAAACACGTCTGAGTGCTAATCGTGGACATACAAAATGGTATCTTTCACTCACTGTCGGATAGCATTCCTTAAGTAAAGAGAACTTGATTGAATGGATAGCTTTCTTTTTGTTAATATCAGTCACGGGATGTTTATGCAACTGTAGCTCCGAAGCATCCTTGTTCCAATATAACCAGTAATCCGGATCTGTCTGTTCCTCATCCAATCGATACAGTCGATTGCCCCAAACGCAAATTTCTAGAGGAAGGGCGAGCTTTTGCGTATAACTAGTCTGCGCTGTAGCTAATCTGTCGAAAGAGGGACCGATTGTTCGGCTACTGGAAGCCTTTCTTCGGTTTGTCACCTGGCAATACGTCGCATGAGAAGGGAGAATATCACAACAATGCCTTGGGGTGCACGTACGCTTGTTGATTTATCTTTCCCTTTCATGTTACCGATGACCGACTTCTTCTGGGGGCCTGCCAACGTTAAATCCGCGTAATGTTTAAGCACCTTCTTCCCCTTTTCCTCGATTTCATCCGCACGTTGTTTTACAGTGCCCGGTTTAATCGACGAAGATCCGGGTGTCGGTGCACGTTTAACCTGTCGGCTTCGCATCTGAACCTCTATGTGATCCTTTGATGATAATGCTCTTGGCGTCTCGGGGAATCCGTCGGCATCCTCGATTTCCTCTATCTCATCTACGTCTACCACTTCGTCATCAGGTACTAATTCTGGATAAATATGAGCAGAACGCGGAGTAGGAGACTCATGAGGTAATCGAGCAGAAAGTTTGTCATTCAATCGTTTCGTGCTCTCCCCGTCTTCAACCAGTCGTCGTGATCGTTCTCGAGAAGCGGATGAGTTGATGCTCGCAATCGGAGTCTGCTTCCTCGAGGGCGTAATACTTGATCTTCCTTCTTGTACTTCGACCATCTTGCCGTTAGAAAGTTTTCCATTGCTAGTCGGTTTACGAGACAGTACTGGGGATCTTGATGGGCCACCAATCAAATCAAGCTCGTCTCTACTATCCAGAACGAAAGACGTCGAACGCGGAACACCAGACCGAATGTCCCTTTCCGACTCAGAATCATCAATAGAAATGATTTCTTGTGAAGGCGATGTAGGCTTCATAGAGAGCGGAGGGGCAGGTTTATTTCGGAAGGATGATTCGCCAAGTCTCAACCGAGAGACTTCCGCAGCGTTCCGTAATGAGCCTGTACCAGCTGGAACAGTGGAAGTGATCGCGCGTGGCTCTTTAAACGACGACGATTCCCCACTCTTCATCCCCTTCGCAAAAAATCTTGAGCTAACCTCGGATTCGTCAAATCCACCCCCAGAAACCTTCCGTTTCTTTGGTGGAGGTGTATCTGTTACTGTCTTGCGCGCAATCGGGTTTCCACTCAATCCTATAGAATCTCGTAAATTTCGACCGCTGTATGGGGTTGCCACTTGGTTAGGTCTCCGCTACAATACGGATTATCAAATAATTATACATATATAAGTAAATAATTCAATTTCACAAGAAGTAAATAACAGACTCACCACGCTTTGGCTGCCTGGCGTCGGAATCGTAGTAGGTTTGCTACTCCACTGAGTGTTATTCCCCATGTCGTACAGTCGTGATGCGTTGGGTAGTTCCGCAGCTCTAAGCACATAACGCGTCAGCATCAGTGCATTATAGCTATTAATAACAGCATTGGGCGTGAAGCCCACTCGTGAGCTTGCAAAACAAACACACCTCTTCGTTCCTCGAGCACTTGAACTACCTATCCCATGGAGCTCCCTAAGCTGCTTACGATCGTTGGACATCGCATGGATACTCTGCCGGTGATTAAGATACAGCAGCAGCACGAACGTCACAAGATCCGAAGACACGTTCGAGCGAGGACGGCCAGTCGCGCACAAGTCCAAGTTGGAGCCCTGCCCTTGATGTAGGAGGGAATACAGGGTGCAAGGTAGGTGGTAGTGGACGTAAAAGGGTGGATGCTGAGCTAGAGGACGCCCTATTAGAGGTCTAATAAGGAGTACACTCGGCGTCTTCACGGTGCTTGTGAGCTTCTGTCGCCGATCAATCTGACAAATTAGGTAATGTTTACCAGGTCTGACTAAGCGTATTTACTATTTGGATTTATTTCAAACCAAACCAAATCATATACATTTTGCTTGCTTGTTTTCTTTCTTATTACAGTTGAATACTACGATGAAAATGTTATGATGCATAGCATTATAGGCATATTGTGCATAAGACACTGTGCCACCCTATAACACAATTGGGATTGCTTGCAAAATTTCTAAGTATGTGTGATATGCAAAAAGCACATAATACGCTATTTTCTTTGTATTTTCTAAATGTGAGTCCCGGATAGCTCCACAGACACTTTACTCAAGGGCACACTTCTCTCTCCATTCCTCTCAGCTCACTCATACACACGTTCCTATCCTCCGTCCCCATTCCTTCCTCTAACTCTATCCCAACACTTGCACTCTGTCTCTTCACGGTCTCTTCCGACCCTACCTCAGCACTGCCGCCGCGGCCATGCTCATGTTCCACAGCAACACACATCAAGCACGGTAGGGTCGGCAGGCGTACTGCGATTTGTATCCTCTGTTTCCTTCCCCTTACTTCACGGTTTAAGTTCTGGGATATTACTGGACTGCAGTGCTGATTCAAGGCAGGCCCTTGTGCTGGCACCTCTAAATAACAAAGGTCAGTCTCATCTTTGTCAGAGCAGAATATTAAAAACACTCAACATTACACGCCGCACTTCCCTTCCATTTTCATACGCTTGAGCCTTTACTCGAGAGAACAAACTATCCCAGTTCGTCATATTACTATGCCGGCTCAAGATTTTGAAAGCAAATCCAGTATTCACAATGTCCTCTTTGTCTATCGTCAACCTCGATGCTCACAATTACAAACGAACTAGGTATAAAAGACCAACCTGGGACACTTTGATCGAAGTCTTCGTCAAACTCAAACCTCACAAGATGAAATTCAGGATCGCTCGATATCTGTCCTCAAAAATGCGTTTGAGTACTAATAGTGAACATACAAAGCGGCTATCCTTCACTCACTGTCGGGTAGCATTCCTTAAGTAAAGAGAGTTTTATAGAATGGATGGCGTTCTTTTTGGCTACGTTCGTTATGGGATGTCTGTGTAACTGTAGCTCCGAAGCATCCTTGTTCCAATATAACCAGTAATCCGGATCTGTCTGTTCCTCACTCAATCGATACAATCGACTGCCCCAGACGCAAGTCTCTAGAGGAAGAGCGAGCTTTTGCGAGTAACCAGTCTGCGTTGTTGCTAATCTGTCGAGGGAGGGAACAATTGTCTGGCTACTGGAAGCCTTTCTGCGGTTTGTCAACTAATAAAAATAATTGGTCACATGAAAAAAAGAGTATATTACAACAATAGTTTAACATCACGAAAAAGTCGCAACAAATGTAATTAATAATAGCAAATGTAATGTAATAATGTACTTATATATCAATTACACTTCAAAATTATAATTATACTTTGCTTGTGTTATGGTTCTCCACTCTCGTACCTTCAGTTCCAAGGGTTCTGCACCCTTCTGTACCAGAACTCAGGACTTCCGTCCCTCAGGGGCACTGTCTATGGACTATATGCATGCTGACTCTTGCCACTACCCTTCCTTACTTCATCATTCCATTCCTTTGACCACCCCTTCATTCTTTGTTCATTCTATAGTCTCTTACCTTTTGTCTATCCCTTCATTCTTTGTACCTTTATCTTTGACCTTCCTTTCTTTCATTCTTTGTGGCTTATCATTCTTAGTAGCTCATACTCCCTGAGTGCTCTTGTGTAGTTTAGTATATATAGGTGTACAAGATCAGACTGGTCCTGTAGTCTTGATCTCATCTACTCCAGGTAGTCCTATACTCTTAGACTTACTCTATATACTCTACTCTTGTCTCACTCTCTCTCTCTGCCTGTTCTACAAGTTCTGACTATGTTCTAGTGCTTACATTCTGTATTTCTGTTGTGTAGGATAGTTATAGCCTGGGTCCCCTTACTAAGCCTTTGAGTCCCTACTATACTGTTGCTGACATCAGATTAAGACTACCTATTACTACCCTACAACTCTCCTACATTTTGAGCATTAGTACTTACTGTTACATCAATCTCTTTTCTTTGTTCTAATCCTTTTACATTTTTAAATTTTAAACTTTCTAAACCCTTTTAAACTTTTTCCACCCTTCTTCTATTCATTACCCCTTTTAGTTTAGTACTGATTCCTTTGTAGTATAAACATGGACCCTCCTACACTAACTGTCACCCCTACTGTCCTGCCAGATTAGTAGTTATGAGCAGATCTAGCTTAATACATGTAGACCTCTATCTAAGAGGCCTTTACCAACTATATACCCTCAGCCCCTTTAGAACCTGTTCTAGTTGTTTCAGAAGTTGTAACCTGTTCTAGAAAGAAAGTACATATAACTTACCCTTCAGACTTTAATAAGTAGCACTTTAAGGACTTTTAGTGTCAAGTTGAACTATATGTAGCTACTACTTTGACTGATCTATCCTCAGATCTCAATTGTATCCTATTTGTCCTCTCCTTTATAAAGGAAGGTAACACAGCTACCTAGGCCCAGAACTGGATTGAAGGCTATTAGATTGGAAGCCTGATCTGACTTTAGAACAATGAGTTGTATTCAGAATTCATAAGGCAGCTCTGTGCTTCTTTTATTAATCTAAATAAGAAGTACAATATATAGAACAAGCTTGTATCTCTGTAACAGGACAAACATTCTGTTAATACTTTCTTTCAGGAGTTTGATATTCTAGCCTAGAAGACAGGATTCACACTCAGGTTTAATAATGTTCTTATTAGAATGCTTGAAAAAGCTCTTTACTCAGAACTGGTTAATAAGATTCTTAGAATAATGTTAGAACTGATTACTTACACTGAGTAGAAGACACACACTATTTCCTTTAACTAAGCTATAGCTTAAATGTGTCAAGTTCATACAGAATACTTACACATGTGTCCAGCTTCAACAGTTCTGAGCTCTCAGATTGATCTGCCTATAATTCACAATCAATCTGTTCTGATAAACATTAGAGAAGCCTAAAAGTAAGGAGTAATACTTTACCTATAGAAAGTCAGGGCACCAGATTAAGGACTGCCTACAGAAGTAACAGTATATCTGTTAGGTCATTAGAGTAATAATAAGTAACAAGTAGGATTTGTAGTAAGAAGCCTTTTCTACAAATCCAGAAGTCACCTTAGAACTCTTAAACCCTAACTACATACTCTAGGATTTTGTAGAGGCCTAACAGTAAATACAGTACTGAAGAGCTATGACTCAGATTTTTTAATGGCTACTTTTGATTTAATGAACACTATAGGATTAGAAGTAAATAAAGTAAGAAAAGTAAAAAAAGTAGAAAAAGTAAATTAACAAAATTATTTATTAGAAAGAAAAAAGTCAAAAACAAAAGTAGATAGTCCTCTTATTTCTTTTAATTCTTTTGATTCTTCTCTTTGTACTTTATCTGAGTCTAAATCTATACAATCTAACTTACTACTTCTATATTCTAAGATCTTAGAATGTTCAGAACACTATCTAGCCCTGTTTACTACTTAGTAGTTTGTCTATAGTATTAAGTAAAGATAGTCTTAGCTGAGTTCACAGCTAAGAACATGAGTCTGTCCTTGTTGAAAGAGGAAGGTTAATAAGGAAATGTTAGTATATATACTTACTCTCTTAGATGACAAGACTGTACAAGCTGTATGTTCCCTTCAGAACAAGTAGTAGTTTATTAGAGAATGTTCTAAACACTAGCTCTAGGTCCCTATCCTCTTAGCTCCCTTCTTAGGATCCCTCCAGATCTGAACAATGACTCTAGTAAACAGTAGATGTACTAGTTTGTACATTAATAAGACCTTCATACAAGAACACTACCTCTCTACTTAATGTGTTCCACTTTCAATCCTAGTATATAATGTAGACAGAACCCTGAACCAGAATAGTCAGATTACTAAGTTTGTCCAACTATGAATGACCATTCAGGATCATGAGGAAAGTATTGAGTTTAGAGTTACTAACCTTAGAAAGACAGATGTCTTTATTAGATTTGAATGGCTTAAGGCTCATAACCCTACTATTAACTAGTTAGAGTAGACACTTGTGTTTGATTAGTGTTCTAAGTCTTGTAGCTACTTTGTACTACTGTTCTGAGTAGATGTAAATACTTCTAATGTTACTAACAGTTCTGATAAAGGTGACTAGTTGTTCTTCTTTGACTAGGATAAATATGTAGACACATATTCTAGTCAAGGCAGAATAGAGTTGATCTAAAGAATGTTTAAGACAGAACCAGTTTAAAACCCTCTCAGAATGACTCTACTCTGGAACACACATAGACTCAGCCTGCCAGATTTTGTCTGAGAGTTCTCTAAAGTCTTTAGTAAAGAGGAATTCAACCAGTTTCCTAAATACTGTCCCTAAGACTATGTAATTGAATTAACCAAAGGTTTCTAACCTAAGGATTGTAAGGTCTACTTACTCAACAGAGACAAGTAGAAGGTACTTGACAAGTTCCTTTAGGAAAATCTTTAGAACAGCTAGATCCAACCCTTAAAGTCCTTTATAGTCTCCCCTTTCTTCTTTATTAAAAAGAAAGATGAGAAGCTCTACCTAGTCTAGAATTATTATTGTCTTAATAAGAGTACTGTCAAAAACAAGTACTTACTCCCCCTGATTTAGGAGCTTATTAATAAGATGTATATATCTAGGGTTTTTACTAAGTTGGATGTTTAATAAGAATATAATAATA